TGATACAACCTCCCGCATGGAGGCTAATGGATGCGACCCAGAGATACCCTATTGGGTTCAACCGAGCAGTTTCTGCCACGCTCACCCTCCACTTTTCTTTGTGTTGTGTCCAACAATTTATTTTTCTATTTGCGGTGTTTTAGGCTCTCTTCCCCCTCAGGGCTTACATGTGTAATTCATTTTCATATTCCCTTTCCATAATTCCACTTTCTCCCCAAATCCTCCTCAACTGACCCCCCCGCTTCACCTCCTGCGCCTCCCCTCCACCTCCTCCTACCCTTCATCCCCTCATCCCTACCTTACAGCTGTTGTTTTGGATTAGTCAAATAGCTCCTGTCAGATTCAGTGATCCCTCTCCTTTGCCACCCACAGAGCTGCACAGCACACTCCACTCACTCCCTTTCTGTCTCCCCCTCAGTCTCTCTCTCATGCACATGCACACAAACTATATTGACGTCTTGGACAGGTGCGTGTCAAGGTGCCTCTGTGGGCAGGGCCGTTAGGTTGCCTTGGTTTCAGAGGGCTCTGCAGGCTTTCTTTCTTTTCAGTTCCAGGAAGGCGCGACGGTGTAGGCGTACTGCTCACACCTCTCAGCAAAAAAAGAAAAGAAAAAGGTTTGTTGTTCTAAACCGGACAAGGAGCGTCATAAATTCCCAGCATTTTACTTCCCTGGAATTCACCTTACCTTTCAACTGCTCCTCTCTTCTTCTGTGTCTCGAGGAGTCTTTATTTTTCCTCTTTTTTGTGTGTGTGTGGATTTTTGACAGCTGCAGTTCTGGCCATCCATGCTGGGTGAAACAGACTGACACTGAAAAGGGTTTTGACATGATGATGGCAAGAGTAATAGTGTTATTTCAGTCATTTGGAGAAAGAGTTACTGTGTGTGCACGTGTGTGTGGGATAGGAAGAGAGAGAGAGAGAGTCCAGTTGCAATAGCAGCAAAGATATGCATCGAAGCAGAATTGGGAGAGGACATGCTACATAATAATTTGACAGAGACATGTTGAATAGATAATGTTGTTTCAGTGATTACAGAAATAGGTTGCTTTTAGTTTCAGTGATACAATATAGGGGTGCGGTGCAAAGATAACAAAAGAGTAGCTGTTTTGTTATGAATGAGTGGCAGAAATATGTCTCCTTATGACCATATTTACAGGTTTGGGCTGAGATCAAGCATGTAGTAGCAGTCAAATATTTGCAATCCAACTCAGGTCTTTTCCAAATCACAGGTTGCCAGGTTTGTGATTGTGCATAAACAAGACAAAAACAAGATATGTGTGTTATAAGCAAGTGAATATGTAAAGATTTGTTTATATTGGCATTTAACATATAATAAACTGCTTTAAGATTAAAAGTGATAATGTGACGATTACTCCACAGTGTGTTGGATTATGGGGAAAAAGCTGCACGCTAACTAGTTATCACACAGACTGGTTTAGCCTTGTCCAGACAAGGTACTGTTTGGGGGTTGATAAATAGAAAGACTTAACCATTTACAACCATGCTAGCAACTCTGCGGGGCTGTACTTAGGCACAGCGATGAGGTTTTGAGATAAATGCTAATATTAGCATGTTAACAACCTCACAATGGCAATGTAAATATACTGATGTTTAGCAGGTATAATATTAACCATATTCACCATCTTAGTTTAGCATGTTAGTATGCTAAGATTTGCTATTCAGCAGTGAACAAAGTATAGCTTCATTTTGCTGGTATTTGGTCATAAACTAAAGTATTGGCTGAATAAAAATTTTGACCTGCTCGATGATGTTACATGTTTTGGCACTTCTTAAGAGATGACTAAAGTTATTGCAATTCCATCCTGAGGGGGACATGCTCGTCTGTACCACATTTCATGGCAGTTTACATTTTACACAAAACCACAAATGTTAACATCAAGGTGGCACTACAGGAAAAGTGGGTTGAACGTGGATGTCTGTACCCAACTTCATGGAAATCCATCTTAGAGTTGCCAAGATATTTTAGTCAGGATCAAAGTGTTGGACAGACCGACCAACATTGTCATTCCTAGAGCTGCAACTAAAACATTTTCACTGTAGAAATGTCCTTAATGAGAGCCTGTATTTGAACTGTGGTCCTCAGAAATTAAAAGATATTTACACACCTATCATCCACTCCACTGCTCATACTCCTGTTTCTATGAGTTCTGAGCTGTTTCCAGTTGTTCCTGATTTACATCAACCTTTTAAAACATGTTTCTCTCACTTGTATATATGAGGCACATATTTACACTTAAATGCATTGTGCTCAAATCACAAAACCAGGGAGTTCAGTGTTTGACCCCTTCCTTCTCAGAACCAGTATTCAGGGTAACAAGATAATTTGCACTGTGGTGGATGAACATAGCCTTTTTTGCCCACTAAACCTAAAATCTAATATTTGTTTCTGCCTTCACATATCAGTCATGGTAGCTGTCAAGTTCATTATGACCGTATAAATGATGTATCAATCACACACACACTTATACACGCATAGATTGATGTGGTGGCTTTAATCAGTTAAATGGCTCTGTGCCAATGCAAAGTATTTCTATCCATTTAGTAGACACCATTATAAAGCCATCAGGGTTTTTACACGCTTGATCAGCATGTATGTGTGTGTGTGTGTGTGTGTGTGTGTGTGTGTGTGTGTGTGAGAGAGAGACATTACTGAGCTATGTAAAATACAGATTGGCATCCAAGGTTTTTAAATTATATCCTTTTTAATGTCTCACACAACCTCAAGTTTTCAAAACTGACAGTGAAATTAAAATATGTCTTATTCACCGAAAGGGCCTCTGGGGTCCTTCTCCAGAACTGTATGTGCTTCTTGACCCCTGGTTTATGTTTATATACACGCACATGTATAACCAGCTTCCCCATCTGATTCAACTACTTTACTCATAGCTGGTCAAACTCCCTGTCGGTAAAGATTTACATTTTTGGAAATAACATCTTGCCTCCTACTCTTCTTCCTCTTCCTCCTTCGCCTCCTCTCATCCGCCTCTGCCCTGTATTCTCCTTCAGCTGAGGACAAGATCCGACCTCCTCCTCCACTCGCAGGCTTCCTCTGTAAGACAATGTCAGGGCAAAGGAGCTGTGTGCACAGAGTGTGTGTGTGTGTGTGACTCTTTATTTGCAAATGTATTTCTGTGTGTAGGTGAATTATAAGTCATTAATAGCATCTGTATATGTTTTATTTCTGTGTTTTTAAATCTGTGCATGTTTTTTGGATTTTATGCATAATTATGGAGCATGCTTTTGTTTATTAAGTATATGTATTATAATGTGTGTGAACATGTAACATGTAGATTTATGATGCAGGAAACAGCGACTATGTCAGTGTAAAACAATAGAAGATTCACAGCACTACTGCAAACATACGCCTACATATACACTTGTGCACTCTTTTGGCACTCACTTCTCCTGAGACCCCTCCGCTTCTACCACAAGGCACTCCCTTCCTGCTGCAATGCTGGCCGACACACACACACACACACACACACTGAGTGACACATCCCCTGGGCTCGTCAAGTCCTCAGGATAATGCTTCCAACAGTCCTGCATCCTCTTTTCAAAAATAAGGGTAACAAAAAAAGAAGAAATAAACCACATGGGAAACAGCAGAGACAGGACGCAGGAAATATAAGTGAGAAGTTTTGTATGTCCACCTACGAGCTGTCAGATTTATTTATGAGATTATGACTGTAAGTAGAGAAAGAGAAAAGTGTTGGGTGTGTGTCGCCCTCATAAATCAGCTAACTGTCCTTTACTGCTTTGATTAATTGTGTCATATGCAGCCAAATGCTGGTATCAGACTGGAAATCACTGCATTATTGTTGCAAAGAAAAAATAAATGTCTAGTGTTAGCCCATAGCCTGCCTACTGTGCATAATCTTTGTGAGACAATGGCCTTGAGTGCCACTGTTCACTTACAGAGGTATAATAAGCTTTCTTTCATGTAACCCTTCCCCCCTCTGTTGCGATGGAAGCGGTGAAGGCCCACTTCAGACGGGCAAAGACGTCGCAGCCATGTGTTCTACCCCTGTGAATGCAGACAGTCACCCTGAGATAAAGGTGATATAAAATACATGAGATTATGGTGGTTTCATTGAGCTTTTCCCCCAATTCTCTTGTACAATGCAGTAACAGTCAATCACCTGCATAAAACAGCCTAAATATAGGGTTTAAGACTTGTTACACCACTACCCGCAGGCTTGTAATTGAAACTTTTCCATTCTATTTTTTTCAAATGCTTTGGCTGCCGAGGGGAGATTGGCAGCTTTGAGTGGCCAGCAGATGAAGCGGCTGGCGCGCTAATGAATAGAACGCTGATTGCAGGATCCCCAAGATGCAAATTACTGTGCCTGCCACCCCTGACGACCGGCAATTACCGGGCCGCCGCTGCGGACGCCTCGTGCATATTCATCGCACCCGCTGGGCATATTGATCAACAACTTACTTCATGCAAGAAGCGCTGAAATGTATCATGTCGCTCAGTCGATGCTAAAAAAAACTCTCTTTCTTTTCCTGTTGTCAAAATTGACACAGTAACATCTAGCAGGACAAGCCCTTTAAGTAGGAAAGGAGTATTTATTTTAATCAGGCGTAGGTGTCAGCTAATTGCTAATAAGTCACATTCAAGAAGAAGTGACAAAACATGTCATTCATCAGAAAAGAGTCTTTCACATATTATAATTCAGATATTAATTTCTGCTTGTACTTCACCTAATTAACTGCACTTAAAGTTCATTGGCCCTATCTTGACAACTATTTTATTTTTTAAAGATTAATTGAGTAAATCAGGATTTACTTATTTGATTTACAGTGGATCTTTACACCACATACGCTCATTAAACAGTAGTTCAGTTTCATTTAGTTCACTAGTCTTTGTAAGAATTATGTCATTATACTAATAGCTGTTCATTAGGGACTGTGTTACAATGACACGCATTTTTACTGTTTTCATGCTGCAGAGAAGCACCCACACTTACCTGATCACTTTTTAAGTTTTCCTGTTTTAGTTAAATGTTTTGTTCATTTAACTTAGATTTTGGAGAGCACAGTTTTTATGGCATCATTCCTGAAAACACACACACACACACACACACGCAGTGCAGACTTCAGAACAGAAATATGAATATGAAAGGACTTCATTCAACAACAGCGGAAAAACAAGAGCGCTGCCAGCGGTTAATGAGACCAAATGAAGGAAAGCTGAGCAACATCGGATTTTGAGCTCTCTCCCTCAAAACAAACATCCAATGATCACATTAGCAATGGATCACAGAGCTGTGTCATTACTGTCTTGTGTGTCTTGTCTGGTTTAGAGCCTCAGTCATTTTCACGTTTGAAAGAAAAGATTTGAAATGACAAAAGCTTTTCTTTTTGGAGAGTCAAATTTTTTAAATAATTATTAACTTCTATTTTCCAGCCTTGTTTTTGTGAATACTGGGCAGAAAACAGTGATTCACAAAGCTCACTAATGCCCACAGTATATAGGCCTACATGATGTTTAGTATTCTTTACACTGAAACACCCACCTAAAAATAACTCAACCTTTATCATGTTTTTTAACCATAATGTTTTTTAAATTTTCAGTCTCTCTTCATGAAGTGACCTTTTTACTTTTTATTTTGCTGTTTTCTCTTTTTTATTCTTGCACACAAATAGCACATGCCAACACAAAGTAAGTAGCATTCAGCATCTCAGTTACTGAGCACACTTCAGAAAAACAAAGGACAGAAGACATAAAATACAGGATCCAGACTGCTTTGCCTGGTTGGTTATCCAGCCATAGTAGGTTTAAACCCTCACAGTGGGAAGTTTGTAAGAATCTGTCCTCTACAACTACTGCTAAGGTAGCACTGAGCAAGGCACCAAACTCACATAACTGTTACAGTGGCTCAGCTGTCAACAGGACTGTAGTTGCACCACTATGTAGCTCCCAAGGATGCTGCCCTCCCTCCCTCTGCTGCTACTTCTCCTGGCCGCACACAGGATCATAGTGTGCTCTCCTTAGTGAAGTTTCCCTCTTAAATAAAGGTTAACACACACACACACACACACACACACACACACACACACACACACACACAGACCTATTTCCCTTTCAACTTTTCATACGCTCACCAGCTATGCATATAGATCCATATCTTAAATATTAACAACCCTTCTGATAATAATCTCCACACACATACTGAGCGGTCTGACATATTTCCGTCACACAAAAGCAACCTGCACCTAGTCAGGGGGGTGGGAGGGGAAATAACTGATAGTTAAGGCAAAGGAAAAGAAAGAGCGAGTGCAGGTGCTGACCTCCAGAGTTGCTCACATATGTTGTTATCTGTGTGTAATTACTCTGCTGCAGATTCTTATCGTCTTATCAGGGAATGGCTGGTGCACTGAAGTCCGCCCATCAAACAGGGACTCGGGTCCCAAATTGCACCAATCAGGGCTTGGAGTGGAGCGGTGCTTTGAGTTCCTTAAACTGGTGGAATAACGAATATACTTCCATTCGTTACCTTAGATTTAAACTTTTGATGTGAACCTGTGAGAAACAAAGCAGAGGCGGTAGAAAAATAGTAGAAATAATGAGCTGAAAAAACCTGCAGTTGAGATCATGGCTCGTGTGCCACTTGATGCTGCCTTAAAGTATTCAGTAAGATCTTTGTGAATTTTTGTGAAGTTATTTACATTACTTATTTGAAAAAAGCAAGTGATTGTAAACAGCAGATTGCTTTAGGCATAAGTCAGTCTACCTCACAAATCAGATGGATCTCCAGAGTTGATCACACTTCAAATAAAATGTCTGACCTTCCTCCTATCCAGCATGTATCATTTAAAGGCTCAAACTAATATGTCACATGTCACATGACAAAATCACTGATGACTCCTAGGTTAGCCAGTTGACAAGCTTTATGATATGATACCATACTTTTGTGGTCTGCAATGATCCGATTCAGATTTTCATAATAAAATGAAGTTGATTCCATACAGTAGCCTACCTCTATTTCAGTGGAGTAGAATAAAGCTATAAAGAGTAACTTTTTTCAACTGGGACCCTATTTTTCCATGTTTTTGTGTCTATATATGTGTCTTTTTGAAACTGGTCCAGTATTGAGCGAGCACGCTGCAGGCGGCAGCAGCGAAATAGGGCTGCAATGTAATCCTTGCAGGCAATTGCGCACCGTCAAAGTACGTCCACCTTAGTACTTGTTTTTTGCCACCAACAGATTGTTATAACAATTGTGGAAAGATTGTGGATCCCTACAGAAATAGAGGATGTTACTCTTTAAAAAAAAAAGAAAAGGTCTGTCTCTGTAGAGACAAGGAGTTGGACAAGTGTCCAACAGTGCACATAGAAAGAATGCCACCTCTACCTTTTATTTCATGAAGCTCTTGCCAATGTATGCCAGCCTCTTTTTCTCCTTTTATTCTCCTCCGTCAAAGTCCTCTTCGCCCACTCAGCCGGCTCTGGCACGACACCGGCGTTGCTCTACACAAGCAGCAGCATAACGTTGCTTGAAACTTGACCAATCTTGACACAGCCATCTTAAAAAGTGGTAAGGTGTTGCACTTACACTTGAACTTCTTTGGCTTATGCAGTTCTTCCTCCTTAAGAGTGGTTCATATATTTTGCAGGCAAACTATATACACTGAACATAATTATGAACAAAACACTTTAGTTTTTGTCCCCATTCATCATGAGCTGAACTCAAAGATCTAAGACTTTCTCTATTAACACAAAAGGCCTATTTCTCTCAAATATTGTTCACAAATCTGTGTCAGTGAGCACTTCTCCTTTGCTGAGATAATCCATCCACCTCACAGATGTGGCATATCAAGATGCTGGTCAGACAACATGGGTATTGCACAGGTGTGCCATAGGCTGGCCACAATAAAAAGGCCACTTGAAAATATGCAGTTCCATCACACAGCACGATGCCACAGATGTTGCAAGTTTTGAGGGAACGTGCAATTGGCATGCAGACTGCAGGAATGTCCACCAGAGCTGTTGCCCGTGAATTGAATGTTCATTTCTCTACCATAAGCTGTCTCTAAGGCATTTCAGTGAATTTGGCAGTACCGGCCTCACAACCGCAGACCACGTGTAACCACACCAGACCAGGACCTCCACATCCAGCATCTTCACCTCCTAGCTGGTCTGAGACCAGCCAACTGGACAGCTGCTGCAACAATCGGTTTGCATAACCAAAGAATTTCTGCACAAACCGTCTCAGGGAAGCACATCTGCATGCTCGACCTGACTGCAACTTTGCACAGCCACTGAAGAGGAGTGGTCCAACATTCCACAGGCCACAATCAACAACCTGATCAACTCTATGCGAAGTGTTGCACTGCATGAGGCAAATGGTGGTCACACCAGATACTGACTGGTTTTCAAACCCCCCTTATCCCCCCGGCAATACAGTGAAACTGCACATTTCCGAGTGCCGTTTTATTGTGGCCAGCCTAAGGCACACCTGTGGAATACCCATGCTGTCTGATCAGCATCTTGATATGCCACACCTGTGAGGTGGATGGATTATCTCGGCAAAGAAGGGCTCACTTACACACAGATTTTGACAGATTTGTGAACAATATTTGAGAGAAATAGGCCTTTTGTGTGCATAGAGAAAGTCTTAGATCTTTGAGTTCCGCTCATGATGAATGGGGGCAAAAACAAAAGTGGTGCACTTGTAATTCTGTTCAGTGTATCTGCTTTTGTTTCAAACATTTACTTATGTGCAAATGTACAGGACAAATGGTTTTGTTTCAAATACACATACATTATTTATTTAGCTGACAGTAGAATGGTATCTTTGGTACATGCAGATTTAGTTACTTCTGAAATATCTGCTTCTTTTTTGTAACCTTTATTTCTTTTGAGCTCACCAGCGAAATGTCGCCCTCTGGAAAAAGCCTGGCGCCTGGAACAGGCGATGCTTTATAGGGGAGGTGGTCAAATTGGACACTACCACTACTTGTCATGTCAGGGGGGAGCTTCATTCTCTCCTTAGATATTTTGATTCTTGATTTATATTATATGAAGTATTTTTGTTTTGGTTAATGCTAAGTAAGCTAAGCTTTTGTTAGAATAAGTGTTTAGTTAGTTTTGTTGTTATTTGTAACTTACTTAGTAATGTTTTATTGTTAATCTCCCCTGTGTGTCAAACCTGGTCTGATCAACCAGTATATAAATCTCCTTTGTTTCTTTTACAGTATTACCAACTTATTGACTTTGTCACTATATTTAGCGAGTTTTCAGACCCTCTTGTGACTATTTTTCAAAAAAGCGAATAGTGACAAATCTAGCGACTTTTTCTGGTGTTAGAGACTTCTGGAGATTCTGAGGTGAAAGCACATATCGTTCTTCAACGAGCCGCGGGTGTTGTCATGGGCCCCTCCCCCGTCCCAAAGCACTCACAGGCGGCCCGGTCCTCGCACAGCAGTCCCTTCCAGATGCAGTCAGAGCACGAGATATTCACCCCTCTGAATCCAGAGACTGCAAATAAATTGCGCATGTGAAAATATTTTTAGAATTACATGGTTGTAGTTCTCAAAATATTTAGGGTGTTTTTACTCACTTTTTGTCTCTCCCACAACGTTATTCCTTTCTCCTACAGCGTCCATCACAATTACATGCACATGGCAAATTATGCAAATTAGGCGATGATGTCATTTAGCGACTTCTAGTGACTTGCAGGACAGCCAATAGCTACTTTCCTTACTGAGCAGTTGGCTACACTCTTCTTTTATGGCAGGTCAGTTGTATTTTGAGTTTGTTATGTTCAGAGCGTTACTTACATTCTGTTGAGCGAGTGCGCAGCAGTTAGGACTGCAACTTAATCCTCGCTGTCAATTGTCAAAGTACATCCACTAAAGTGCTTGGATTTGCCACTGACAGGCTCAGATTGTTCTTATAAGTGTCTGACAAGTACACTATATACTTTCTGCTGCTTCTTAAAGCTTTCTAGCTGAAGAGTTGTTCTGGTGCCGTAAAGCATTACACTATTGTCGTGATAAATGTCCTCCCCAGGATTCCAATGTTACATAGTGCAGTAGCAAGAATTGCAAGCCTGGAGTGGCAATGTCAAGAGACTCCATTCATTACAAGTTAGTGTAGCATCAAAATGATTTTGAAGCTGTTATTTTAAGATAAAATAACCACACAATGTTGCTTTAACAAAAGAGAGCATTTACTTTTCCCACCGTGTTAGACCAAAATTTCTACCTTCTCCCCATGTTTGATTGCTGTCCCTTATTCTGAATACTCTTTGGCATTCTCATGTGATAATAAGTCCCAGTGGAATTACTGGAGCATAACTTTTACTGTGGAGATGATTTGGTATAAAAGGTGTCTCAAAGGAGAAGAATGTGCGTAGTATTTCCCAAAGAAAGTATATATCCCTACTCCAAACTGCCCAAGTGTTTGTGATTTTGTACTGTTGAGAATAACTGAAGGATTGATTGTTCCATTGGTTTGAAAAAAATCATGTTTATCTGAAGCTAAATAAAAAAATGTAAAATATTTGATTACCTGAAAAATCCACTGTCACACAGCTGAAAACAGGGCTGTCTTTCTTAGCTCATGAAAAGTCGATAATTTGGAGATACACTGTTCACAAGACAATGAAGCTACAGAATGTTTTTGGCTGTCTCACTTACATCACTTGGATTAGCTCCCAAAATCTGATTGAACCTTGTTCTTGAACTTGCAAGCTTTCTGCTAGTCTGTCAGCCAGCCAAGTGAGTCCTGCCAGCAGAAAAACTGTGAAAGGAAACAATCACTCAAGGAGCAAAATAACTGTTGAGAGGCGTCAGTCATGCTCATAGCTAGAGCAGCAAGGATTCTGCACAGCTTGATGCTGAAGTTTGTTTACCCAAGATATACTTTTATTAGGACTTTAACTATTCCAACTAATAATTAAATTCCACACTCAGTTTTCACAGGAGGTATTGTGTTTTAAATGCTTTCATGTTTGCTCTGGCTGTCATGTTTGTGTATTTGTGCTTTGTTATGTGGCTGCGTCGCTCTGCATCATGTTGTGTCCTCAACTTACAGAACAGAATTTTTCTCCGAACTGAGTGCTTATTTATGATTTTGTGTTTATGCTGCAGCCATGTCCCAAGCTGTCACGCTGATTTCAGTAAATTTCCGATTCACACTTACTTTTCATCATTCAAATAAACCATAACATTTTCTGTCTGTGTGGTTTAATACGTTGTAATATTATGAAAGTGATGACCTGACCTGGATGTCGTCAGCACAGTGTTAGTACGGTGCTGGTGTAGTCACATGATCACTTGTGACAGAGGTCATGTGGGGTCAAGTGGGGTCATGAGTAGTATCCTGACATCCTGCCAGTCTAATCACCTGTTTATTTTTTTAAGAACCATTCAGATCCACTGACTGAAGGAGAGAGAGTGAGAAAGAGAAGAGACGAGAAAGTGAAAGGTTGATTAAGGTTCATCTGGATCATGATTGATCTCATGTAGGGATGGGCAGCTCATATTTAGTTGTATTTTTGGTGCAAACTGCTGGCACGCATTGTTTTTAAGCTTACGTGCCTCTTTGTTTTTAACACCTTAACATGCAGCAGCCTGTCAGTGGATAAGTTCTTACAAACGTATGCTGTGCAGCCAAACACTGTTTCAAATGTACAGAACTTTATTTTAAAGTCTGGTAGAGACCCTAATGTTTCCAAAGATACCGAACATGTCAGGAAATAAATGTGGTTTGGGGGAAATGTGTATAAAATTATGTACAAGACATCTTGGTGCAGCCATTAAGAAACATGGAGTCTTGGGTTTAAATAAGTATAAACATAATTTATCTTCAATGAGGAGCTGAAACAAGCAAATAATGTAGATTAAGATGGTTTTCCAACTTTAAAACTACTTAACATGGAAATTAAAAGACAATACCATATATAAAGAGGTTGAAAGAATATATTTATTTTAATTTTTACTCTTACTCAAACACAAACCCATTTGAAATTACATTTTGATTTAACTGAAAAAGTCCATTTAGACTGTGTTTGGGATAACCAAACCATAGCAAGCACAACAGTAGTATAGCTTGTTGCTGCCCTCTTTTGGAGAGTACTGATACCTGTTTTGTTGTGCACTTCACTTGTATTTACCAGCATTCGCCTCATAGTGGAGATAGATAGTCGTTACAGCAACCAGGAACACTGAGAACCAGCAGTATCACCAATCTTGGCAAACGACCCCACTGAGGTTAAATAGCTTGAGTTTCCCTGCCAGTCAGTCAGAACTGAAGAAGTCCCTTGGATGAGGGACGAAACGTCTTCCAGTATCTTCAACCAAGTCCAGTTGCCCTTGACTTTAACCTTCGTTGGATAACTATGGCCTGGATGACTGAGAATCTTCATAGACGTCTGTAATGTTGGTTTTAAGTGCAATACAAATAAATTATCCTTATTTAAGGTGAAAGAGATTCACTGCCTAAGTCACATAAATATATCAGATTGGACCTGCAGCAGTCCAAAAACTTCTTTCTTAATACTATCGCCTCATTATAAACATTTTTTTTTACTTCTTAGGCTTCATCAGAGCAACACAACAGTGATATGTAGCTATATTATGATAATAAATATAATCACTGCATGATCCCTATAGTGTTTCCCTGAAATGTAAAATGTTCAACTGAGGCCAGAGTATTGAGAGGATTATTTGTGTCTTTGGAGGGCCACTCTGATTTCTTACTAATGTTGCATCTTGTAAAATGCAGGGACAAAGATAAACTAATATCATAATAATATAGTTATTCACTTTTTGCACACTTAGAGACATAGAGACATTTGTAGGGCTTAAAAACGCATGGCGTATTTTCATCTCATTTGAATTTGAATATGATAATACATGCTTCACCCACACATTTTTTATATCACATGTCCCTCTATGTTTCTATAAGACTTTGCATGAACAAAGTTCACAAAAGCTATAGTTAGAGTGAGTACACTACAGTAGCAGTCCTGCTCTTCAGGCTATGGGCTGTGTAAGCACGAGAAGGTGTATGTGTACACACACACACCCCAAACCATGTTTGTTTCGAAGCAGGTTTTTTTTCTCTGGGTGACTTGTTAAATATTTTATCTCCAACAGGTAGAAAGAGGATCAGGTTACAAGAAGATGACTCCAGAGAACTGGGCTCCACCAGAGCTCCACCCACCCAGGTACAAACAGTAAAGGGATGGTAATGATAATGAGATATTTAATAGCACAGATACATGAGAAGGTATGCTTTACCGTGATCAGTAATGCTGCTAGGTGGAAGTACTGTCACCATCACTGACTGAATGTTGAGAGAATATGTTGGTATGCAAGTATTGTATTTTAAAAAATATTTTAAAGCTGCATTAATCTATTTTTCTATATTAACTAAAAAATTAAATGTGTTGAGTTTCTCATAGCAGTGAACCCACAGAAACTCAACTGTTCTGTTCCCCTCAGGTCTACAGAGCATTTTAGCCTCTTTTACCTCATCATTTTGGATTTGGATTTAGCCCACTGTTATACAGTTGTCGTTGAAAGCTGGCAGTTTTCAGTGAAAAAGATGCTACCTGCACAGCACCAAACGGCACACAGACGGCAACTAGCTGGGGAACGAATTTGACTATTTAGCAGCTAAATGGTTGACTACGCTAATCTCCTTTTCTCTTCACCCACATTCCCTCAGGAGTTGGTGGAGACCAAAAACAGAGCTAAAAGCAAAGTAAATATTGAACTAACATTCACCAGGTGGCCAGTAACACGACTCTAAATGAATGCTAATGTTGTTCCATATCTGCTGGATGTGCTAATGGGAAGTTGTTTGGTAACATTAGGGTGGCCAGAGGTCCCCGTTTTCCGGGGACAGTCCCAGGTTTTGGTGGCCTGTCCCCGTCTGGAGCTGTCCCCGTTTTTAACTGTGTTAATCATAGATTGTATAAGGTGTTAACAGACCTGAAATCAGATTGTACGTGGCCGGAAAGACTGGAAAGCAGATTGCCGTGCAGTATGTTAAAGATGTAGATGCAAATAAACACCACTTTATGTCCGTGGTATTAGCAAAGGTGTGTCTTCGTGATACTTTAACGTTTCTTTTAATGGAAAAATCACAAATGTCGCCAAATAAGTGTTTGCAGTTTTATTTTTTAACGTAACCAGGCACAACATTCACATGATTATAGGCAATAATACAAGGCTGTTGTTGCCGATGGATTATGTGTTTGGTAGGCGTATGTCTAATATCCTTGTTTATACATGGAAAACAGACTGTAGCCAATAATTAACATGACTTACTGTTGAGTTATATATAGAATAAAACCATGATCTCTTTTGCATTTATCCTCATGACTACATTATTTAACTTGCTGTGTACCAACCAATCCAGTCATTTTTACCTGTTGAAATACCTTTAATGGCCAATGCAACCCATAACATGCAGTATTCCACTTCCAGAGAGTGACTGCAGATTCTACTTATTGACTTATTTGCCTCAAAATGACTTGATTTCATTCAGACGAGTTATATTTGACAGATTCTAACTCACATAGTACTTTTTACCTCTTATAATACCGTCGAATGGCCAAAACAACACGTAAAATGCAGTATTCTGCTTGCCAGACAGTGATTGCAGCTTCTACTTACTGACTGAAATGTTATTTCTGCTCTGAAATGACTTGATTATATTCATGAGGGTTAAATTTGACAGATTATAAAAACGGTGTTGTCTTCCTTTTTTTACGTCTTAAATAATAAGATATATTTTTACAACATACTGACCACCAAACCAAAAATGTCCCCGGTTTTCATTTCAGAAATCTGGTCACCTTAACATGTTCACTATATCAGCATGATGAGGTTATAACATGTCAATGTTCTGTTTAGAGTTTGTTGCTCTGCCCCAATGTTTAAAGTCCCCCTCCACTCAAAAACATGTTTAGCTTGTTGTTACTTCACTTGGATGTTTCATGTTCATTGTGAAGAATGATGTTTGTGCAGAGGTTTACACTAGAAAGCTGTGTTCACATTAATCTGCTGAGGGGGAAAGTTTTGCCTGTGTTTACCTTAAATCTTTTTCAGTTTCAGAAATGTTAATATGAGCATGACTTTGTGAAATCTCAACTAGTTTCGAGTCTATCCTGTTCCAAATAAGCAATTTGCAACCATGTGATGTGGAAACTCCAGTGCACACAATTATGTTTGTTTTTCAGAGAATGTTGTATGCTGTTCAGATTGTAGTCCCTTGAGGGGAAACTGTGATCTGTGATATTGGCTATATCAATAAAATTTACTTGACTTTTAAATGAATTTATCCTCACAATAGAACTATTTTTTGGAGGATAAACCATATCAGACTCAAATTAATATTAAATATTCCCTGTCTTAAAACATGTTGTATTTTAGACATCAGAACAAATGGAAGAAGGTTAGACAAGAAATAGCTTGTTAAGTACAAGTTCAAGGAGAATTTATCAAACTGGAAAAATGTTTTGATAACGTAAAATTGAATTTGTCCCCAATACGATATAATAATTATTCCTCTTCTAATTTTTTTTTTTTTGTCAAAACGTGTTGTTGTAGTACAGACCTGTAATGCCTACTTTGTAACTGCAGGTGAAACGGAAAGGTATGTTAAACTTTCATTGCAAGACTCCCTAACCTAACTACAGGCGCAGCACGCAAGTGTTCAGAGCTAGCTCCTCCCACTTCCTGTACACCTGCATATAAGCACACCTGGAGCTCAGCAGCACAGAGCCTCCTAGATTCTCCTGGATCCCACTGTGCCTCTAGCTGAAGAAAACCCTGGTGAGTTTTTTTAAAACAATTTTTTTAGCTATTCCATGTATTAGAATTGATGATTTAAATGATTTTCAACAATTCAATCTTTTTCTTTTATGAAGTTTAATAGATGAGATTATGGAAAAGCACATTAATCTTATTTTCTTGTTCACTTTCATTCAAAGTTGTCAACACAATTTGTCAGATAATGGCACGACGATTTTTAAAATCGTGAAAAAAATGAAATGGAGGTCCATTTCCTGCTGAACAAAGTGTCTCCTTGTGTCACTGGAATTCACTAGGAATATTTGGCCGATCATTTTCCCAAGCTCTATCTTCCATCTGAACAAGGACCGTCTGTCTCCTGCTTGGTCCTTTGTAGTGTTGTGGGAACGGTGTTGCAAGGATCAAATGACAGGGAGACAGAGAGGTTCTCTTGGTCGCAAACACACAAAAGCAAGCATGCGCGAAACACTCACTCATTCACTGACTTACACACTTACACACACACACACACACACACACAAAGATACACTGTCCGGTACAATGTTCAAACATCCAAACGCCAACCAGTCACACTTGAAGTCCAGGAGGGAATGTAAACACCTGTTAGCTTAATGTCAAATGAGGTTAAAAAGGTAGGGAATAAACAAAGTAACAGTAAAAAATGTTCTTAGCATTATGAACTGAATATAAACAGAAACATACATTTTAATTATTTAGTAACATTTAAAGCCATCTCTTGTAGTCTAAACCTTATAGGAAGGTTTCTATTTTTTGGAGCCACTTTTCATCTCCTCAGTTTTTTCCTTTATTTGTCTCTTCTTGAATGCATCTTATTATCATAGTAACAGGCTACATGAGAGTGTCCTCAGTCCTGGTGAGAGGCTTGTCTTCCACCCGGGGTTGAGCTATACTCATTTGCATTTTGATTTCCCACTGACTTCTGTTGAAGTTGCATTTGAACGATGCAGAGATGGACAGACTGAAGTGGCTCTAACCCTAAAGTCATCTCTTCCATGCAGATGGTTAGTTTGAAAAACCATTAGCCAGCCGTAGGTATACTCCTTTCATCATCTTAAGGGGGCCTTCAGTGGGCTTGAATATAAGGCCCTACTTGTATTTAAGTTTGGCCAAATGCTAGAATAAAACTCATTTGCTTAAGAGCCACAGAAGAGCTTTTCTACAGACAGATCTCATGTAACAGTAGCTTTAAATGACTGCAATAGGTCAAACAGTCCGGCATTTGAAGTTATGCATTTTCCTTATGACATCTGTAATTTGAACATCTATCTACTCTCTCTTCAGAGAGATGAACCCTTAGGAGCCATGATGGATGTAACATGTGTGATTGTGTTCTTGTTCTGTTTCTCTCTTCATGTCTTGCCTTCATTTTGTCTTTACAAGTCTAATTCTCAGTGTCTATGTGTTGCTTTTTGTGTCCCCCTGCCTTACAGCCACCCATTATGGCCTCCAGCATGTCGGTGAGGAGTTACTCCATGAGCCGTCAGCCCTCCTTTTCCAGTCGTTCTCTGATGGAAACTGGGCGTGCACGCTCCCGTGCTTCGGTGTCTTTCGCCTCAGCCAGCCCGCTGGGCCGCTCAGCCTCTATCAGCCAGGACCTCAACGGGCCAATGAGCCTGCAACTTAACGGAGTGCATGGCAACAGCACCAACGACAAGGAAGCCATGCAGAGTCTCAACAGCCGTCTGGCCAACTACCTGGACAAGGTCTGACATATGAAACAGTATCACATTATTGGTCAGCAGCCAAATATGTGATGGGCTTATCTCTATTTGCACCATGCAGACAAGGAAATGACACTATTAGAAGCAAGCTGAAACATTTGATCATTTTTTTCCTACTTTCACTTCCTCCAGGTGCGTTCACTGGAGCGCTCCAATGCTGACCTTGAGATGAAGATCAAGCAGCTGATGATAGACCGCATTCCCAAAGGTCATGACCTTGATTCCATGATGGCCCAAGCTCATGCTGTTGAGCAAGAGGTAGGCATGAAAGAACATGCAACCATGCCAGGCATACAATATAAAGATCGGTCCACTTTAACAGCTGGATGGCAAGTTTTGAATTTTTGTGTCAATCTACAAAGCCCAAGGTTATGATGACTTGGCTTATTTTACATAGACAAAACATTCATGCAAATGTCGGCATGTGCTGTGTCTTTTAGCAGGAGCTGCGTCAGTAGATTCACCAGAGGCAGAATCTGAACCAGTACTTGATCTTTATGTTAACTTGTTCAAAACAAAGCCGGAGTGAAGTTAATGATTATTCCTGCATATTATGACCAAACAGAAGAAGTTACAGTTTAATGAAGTTGGAATGTATTACCTAATTGGACAAGGATTCAAATGTTCATGTGTCTTTTGTGCCATTAACAACTGCGCTATAATGTAGAAAGACTCTGCCTTTGCTATCAGCAAAGCAAATGCAGTACAAACATAATGTTTAAACACGGTAGACTTCAGTGTGAAGACTGACTTCAATGAGAGTCTATTGTAACATTGTTTCCCCGCATTACTATTTGTCAGGTGAGGAAGAAGACCTTGGAAAATGCTCGTCTCATGTTAGAGATTGATAATGCTAAACTGGCTGCTGATGACTTCAGAATCAAGTGAGTGATTAATGATTGCAGTATGAGGATTAAAAAACTGAAACATCTGCTTGTTATCTCGCTTTTTTTGACATGACTTATTGAGCCCTGTAGAGTTTAATCCATGTCTTTTCTTAAGGTCTCAGTAAGTCTGCTTCATGCAGTAGCAGCATTTATGATTCTACAGCATGGCAGAATTAAATGACTAATAAAGTGTTATATATATTTTAGTGTAATTCTTGATCAACTGAAAGTCCTAACTGAGATATTTAATGCAAATTCTGATAGTTATTGGAAAATCATCATATCATTTCCCTGTAAAGTCTTCCTGAGCACATTTTGAGTATTTAGAATTTTTGAGTATTTAGAATTTTGAATGAATATTATGCAATGAGATGTCATGACATGTGTGTATCAATGTAACCTTATCAGCCATTTTCTACTGAAATCAAAAAGATTATAGAAGAAAGAATAAACTCCAGGTATTCTGTTTTTCTGCTTTTCTTTGCTATTTCTCTGACTGTGCTAGGTGGGAGACGGAGCTGGTGATGTGTCAGTCTGTGGAGCGGGACTGTGTTGCTCTGAAAAAGGCCAAGACTGACCACGAACAGATCATCGCCTCTCTGAGGGGAGACCTGGACAGCCTGAAAGAGGAGCTTTACTTCCTCAAGAAAAACCATGAGGAAGTAAGTCTGTCTGTACTCGCTTTCTTCTTATCCCTTCTCCTTTTCTCTCCGCCCACATTAGTATGGTATGCAGGTCTTTTGATACACGTTTATCACATTTACTTTGCCTTCTCCATTACTCGACATTTGCTTCAGCTCACTTTCATTTTGGCCCTCTCTCTTATTCTCCAACCTGCCCTAACAAACAACAAGTTGTTTGATACCGGATTGACCCAATTTGGTGGACTCGAGGTCTTTTTAGACCCTAAGCTGACAGGAAAAAAACATGTAGGGTGGGGGAAACTCAGAGAGGCAGCCCTCTGGTTACTACAGACAAAAGGAGCAGGTAGATCTGGTTTCCCAAACGTAATCTTTCTGTCCAATCAGCTGATCCGAGGCGTCCGGACTACTGTTCTCTTGGGGGATGAGAAACTACGATAAACTTACCCCCTCTCATCAAAGGAAGGGTCGATCTCTTACTTACTGAAAGTAGATGTGACTATGACTGTGCAGATCCAAGTAATTTAAGATATTGGATGCCGCTTACAGAACACTACAATAATGGGTTAGGGGTAGGGTTAGGGGTAGGGTTAGGGTTGTGGTGCAAAGAAAGCTGAAGTTCCAGACCATCATACACATTGCAGATATTGAGAATGAATTTCATCAAATGAGACTGGATTACTATGGCTTTTGTGAATCCTGGAATACATCACATGTATCATCTTACCTTTGCTTCTTTGTCTTATTTGACTACATGTTTCCAGTGTGAGGAAAGTGGTTAGATGGTGGTTTGGTCTTTTAAACTGGCTCATTTAGAATTCTAAATGCCTCTTTGTCTGCCCTCCTCTTTGAAATCTATGTCAGTCCTTTATGTTGAAAATATAGACTTTCCTCCTACTAAAATAGAAAAGTAGCATCTCTGGGGCTTAGCTCGGAAACTGGATCACACTGTTTTATCTCATTCTTCCCCTTCCCACGCGTGGATCCAATCATTGTGCATAAAATAAAGTATATTATTGCACTTTGTTGTCCACCAAAGGCTGGAAAATTATGTATAAATATAAATCAAGCACATCACAATGAAACATATCGCATGTGACATAACACAATGTCGCAGAGAGGAGAGAGTGAAAGTGATCCCGTGAGCACCAAGTAAATTATAGAGTTTAATGTGTGTGTGTGGGTGTGCATGTGAGTTGAAAAGCCAGGGGTAAGGTGAGCTCTGCCCCATCAACTATTGATGGAGAACATCTAAATTATGAAGCTGCCCTCACATCCTGTCTGCCACCCTGCAGTGTAGGATTCACAAAACAGTTCTTGGTTCCATATGTCGCCTGTTCACACAGTCGGTACAACTTTAAGTCAAGTGTATTTAGAGACGACACAATGCAAGCATAATGTTCTTTTCATTCAAAAATAACCATAGAAGTATTAAGTACTTCTTCCCCTGCAGGAACTGGAGCAGATGAAGTCTCGTATTGCCAAAGATGAGGTGAATGTGGAGGTGGACTCTGGTCCCAGCGGGCCGGAGCTGGGCACCATTCTGTCTGATCTGCGTTCCCAGTATGAGGGGATTGTCAAGAAGAACAAGGAACAAGCAGAGCTGTGGTACCGCAAGAAGGTGTGGGGAGAAACTGCTATGTCTTTCCTTAATGAACTTATTCATTGAAATGACAATTGACAATTATTTTCATTAGCAATTCACCTGCTGATATTTATTTTAATTAATTGTTTAGTGTGTGTATGTCCAAAAATAGGGAAAAATATGCCCATCACAACTACCAAAAGGCCAAGGAAGCCAAGAATATTTGGCAAGTGTTTGTTTTGTTTTTAATCGAAAAGGTTTCTGAATTCTTTTGTCGATCGACTATTTGTCAGTAACACCTTACAGTCTAATCCACAATGTATCTATGTTTATGTACAATGGCCTACATAAAGTTAAAAATAAATATTATAATCAAAGGAGAAATAGTGGACTAAGTGAGGGCAAACATACAATCGTTAAATTCATCTTGCATGTATTTAATGTGAGTGTCCGTTCCTGTTATCATTTTGTGTCCTGTCCAGCTGGAGATGGTGCAGAACGAGGTGAAGGAGAGCAACGAGGCTCTGAGAGGAGCTCAGAGCGAGCTGATCGAGAGGCAGCGCTTCCTGCAGACCCTGGAGGTGGAGCTGGAGGGTCTGCACAAACAGGTGAGCTCTGACAAGTAGACCAAAACATATCCTATGAACCAACATGCACGAGAGGAGGATTTTATTCTACGCACAGTACGATAAAATTTGATGAAAGTGGTGTCTCCAAGTCCACATACAAAGGAAATATGTGACTTCATATACCATTTGGCTCCATAAGAATGAAAAAGTTTGATGTTCACAATAGAAAACTGAAGAATATGCTACCTGACATGATTGTGTTTTGGTTTAAAAATACCCATGCAAGTCATATTTCAACATTTGGAGCTGTGCAAACAAACTCTAATGCGCATAAACCTGTGCAAACACTACAACCATGATTTTAAAACATGGTTATGAGTATTACCTTTTTACAAAGCCATGATAAGTTATGGTATTGTTTAAAAGAAATACCAGTTGTATAAGGGATTTGTCGAATGACAACTCGTAATATCCTTACAGAGGGTTCAGATTCAGTCTCAGTTAGACCAGTTTTTTTACTCCTCCACACTGCTGTATCACCGTCTGGGAAAATCATTTTATTTTTCCTCTCTTGTAATCCTGTGTTGACAGTAAACATGTTCTCCCATGGAGAAAAGTTAGGCAAGGACAAAGCAAATATGGTTGCTTAACTGTGGGCCATGCGGGTGAGTATCGGTGGTGCGATGGAAAATCTTGTCTGAGCAGGGAATGTTTGTTTTTGTTTTGTCTTGTCAGTTTGTAAGTATTCGTAGATAATGTTTTAGAAGGGATTTCATAATCAGGAAACAGTGAAGTTCGATTTCTACTGACAAACAACTTTTGAGGAAATGTGAGGAGGCTGAACTTTGAATATCAGCCAACCTGAAGCATAACATTAGTGCACACTGGTTGCCATACAGTCAGTACGGACACTGTAGATGGGTAAAGGTATGGAATTACAGAATTATGAAGCATTTTGGGAAATTTTTTGAATTGGACAATGCTCATTCAATTCAGTTCTTTAAAAGCACACAATGGTAATATTAGACCCAGGTATGCAGATATGGCAGGTCATCTCTCTTATTATTTTCCCTTTCTCTCCTCAGATAGCAGCGCTGGAAGGTAACCTGGGTGAGACGGGTCAAAAATACTCTGCTGAGATGGAGCGGCTGCAGGCCACCCTGAACCAGCTTGAGGACGACCTCTCCCAGCTCAGACTGGACATGCAGCGCACCAAGACCGAGTACGAGCAGCTCCTCCGCATCAAGCAGAACCTAGAAATGGAGATCGCCACCTATAGGCGCCTGCTGGAGGGAGAGGAAATGTGAGTTCTCGTCAGAAAATAGGAGGAATAAAAAAGGAATTAATGCAAATGTTTAAATTCTGGTTTATTACAACATGAGTCTTATTTTTATAGTTTTGGCCATAATTCCTATCAGTTATAATAACTTTGTACTCATTAAGTTAATTGCTGAGCTCTTAACACAGCAGTATCACTAAAATTATGTCTGACAAGCACAAGCACACAAGCAATTAGAAGATCATACAGGTTTTAAACAAATCCCCACGCAGTGCAAGGCCCTGGTTTTTCCACATTCATGTGAATACGTCATTACAACACAATACTTCGTTGTGGCTATGTGACTGTGTTCCCAAATATCAGCTATTACTTTGGTGAGAATGCTGTTTTCATAATCGATAGAAGTGATGGGCAAAACTATGAAAATAAGATTAAGAAGTTGTCACAAACTGAAATAAGTTTAACAATGTATAGTAGTTGTATAGTGCTATTTCTCAAGACACATCAACCAAAGTGGACTTAAATTAGAGTTGATGATAAAATTAATACCACGGTCATATCTGTCTGCTACAGGCACCTGTCTGTTAGCTCAGCTTAGCATATAGGCTGTAAGCAGGGAGAACAGGTTGCTTGGCTCTATCCATAGATAACAAATGTACAGATTAAACAACTGTGAGTTTCTGAGGTGCTGGAAGGCAGGTTTTGTTACCTTTGGACAGAGCCAGGTTAGCTGTTTCCCCCTGTTTCCAGTCTTTATGCTAAGCTAAGCTAACCAGCTGCTGGTTCAAGCCTCATATTAACTGTTACAGATATGAGAGTGGTATCGATCTTCTCATCTGACTCTTGGCAAGAAAGCACATTTGACAAAATGCGGAACTATTACTTTAATTACATCTGTTCATGTTGTTTTCAGGTCAATTCAAAGCTAATTCCAACATGTTTCCTTTCTGTCCCTCAGAGTCAAGGAAGTTCCTCCTCCACCAAAAAGTGAGTACTTGGCTTTTGATTTTAACAGATTAAAAGAAAGCAAAGTCACCGCTACAGAACAACAGAATGACATCCAAGCACCGTATTATACAATAGTACATTAGCACGGCAGAGAGTTAATTCATATTAAATGCATTTTATCACAATCTGGAAACATCAGGGAGGTAAAGCATGTCTCATGCTGTAATGACAGAGGAGATAAGTTGAGCAGCTGCGAATGTTCATTTAACATCTGTTGCATAATAGCCATTCCTTATATGGATCAGATGTGAATTTGAGAAAGCATTGTAGTGAGGCTGAAAGACAGATGCAGACATATATTCTGTTGCACACACCCAGGTGGCCCAGTACTAATGATTGTTTTATTAACCATAAAACAATGCAAACACCGTTAACAGTTCAGGTCCTACAGCAACAAATGTGGGTGTGAAACCATTTATCCCGATGTGGTAACTGCATCTTAATCTGACTGACTCACCCTGCTGGACTGACAAAGTGTTTTGAAAACGGTTCATCTTTGTCTCGCATCATTAGAAGAGTAAAGACAACACAGAGTCATAAACCATGATGTCTCTAAGAGTCCTTCGTGAGACAGCAAAGCTGAATAGTTAAAGCGGTTTGTCCTTCACCCGAAGCTGTCAAGACATGTCATCTCATTTAGTACAGTACATAGACATACACATGACATTAACCAATATTTATATAACTAAATTACAAAGGAATATAAGATTAAATTGACTCATCTCATATGTTATTTGACATTTTGTCTCACTTCAAATTGTTTTATGTTCTTCTCTTCTCTTCTCATCGCATGTCATCTAACTTCTCTTCCATCTCATCTTGTATCATCTCTTCTTATTGTAGCTTACCTTCTCACCTATGTAAATCTCATGTGATCCCGTTTAAACTCATTTCATCTTTGCTCAACTCATTAATCTATAATCATTTCACCACATCTTATTCCAAATAATTACTTTTTTCTCTTCCCTTATTTCCTCTTCCATTTCATCTCATCGCATTTAATCTCATCTCATTCTGTGCAGAGGAGCCTGATGTTCGCACCAGGAAGATTGTGAAGGTGGTGACTCAGACGATGGTCAACGGCAAAGTGGTGGATGAATCCAGTGAGGTGGAGCAGATCGAGGAGACCAAGAAATAAAAAGGGGAAGGAGGAAGTGAAGATAAAAGTTAAAAGAGAGATGTAAAGAAGAAAAATATTAGTGTCCTACTATAACACATGTGGAGCATCATTTATTCTTGCAACAGAAAAAACATTGTTTTGAATAGAGAATTTTTGGTGGGCATCACTCGACTGCGAATGTTTTGTGTTTTCAGAGAAATGTTTTCCCACAGTTCACCTATAAGTTACACTTTGATCAATTGTTTTTGGAGAAAATGCCACAAACATATGCTTTAGTTATGCGTGCTTATACTAATTTTGAATACAGATGTGTGTGTGTGTATGTGTGTGTTTGAGTGAGAGCAACTGACTAACCATCTTCATACTGTTATACTAATATAAAGCTATAGTTAAACAAGATATTTATTTCTTAGTGTGGAAAAGTTTACCTTAGTAAATGTAATACATACTTTAATCCTTTTACAAGAATATCTTTTTCAACTGTTTTTGTGCTGTTTTTTTGTTTGTACTCTGTCTAAATAAAGTTTCTTTAATCCATTTTTACCTTTTATGCTGAAACCAACAAATGCCAATGTACATTGTCCCCAGTGGGCTCAGTTCTTGGGCGGTTGAGATGTTGCATCTACCTACTGTTTTTTGCTGTTGATCTAGTTGCATAAAAAATTCTCTTGACTTTAGCTCAAGCAAAGGCTGTTTAACAAGACCAAGAGTTTACATCCATCAGTGGTGTTGTGAGGCTGTTCTTAGACACAGCAGTGCTTTAAGCTAAATGCAAACTTCAGCATGTAAACATGCTCACAATGACAATGCTGATGTTTAGCAGGTATAATGTTTACCGTGTTCACCATCTCAATTTAGTGTGTTAACATTTCCTTATTAGCACAATTATAGTACAGATGAGGGTGATGGGAATGGCATTAGTCTGGCAGGTTTGGTCATAAACCGAAGTACTGGACCAATTGAAATTTTGACCTGATGAAAAGTCAGGAGAACACCAAAGTCACTCAGTATAGGATTAATACTCTGGGGAACATGTATGTCGGTTTGAGTTTAGAACAGCAATCAGACTGTAAAGTGAGAAATGTGGTTGTGGTTACAGGGAGTGATCAGTGTGTCTCAAGTACAAGTGTTAGTACAACAATTGAGAAAAACTGTAATATAAAAGTTGTTGATGAATTGGTTTCCATTTTTACTGAAACCTTTACTTATTTACAATATACATTTTGAATTTGGAGTGCTGCTGAAATCTAAATAAGTTATGCAAAAGTGTAGGTAAGATAACACACTGTTATTTATTTATCTTCTGAATTCTTGTGATGTTTAGCAATATAAGACTGTGTGTGTGAAAAAAGGAATGTGGGGACTTCTGTACTTCTGTACTTGTCATGCTTTGTTGCTTCACATAACCTGATGATGGGTGTATCATTAGAATTCAAACTTTCAATGATAAAACAAATCATCTCTGTCCAAACTTGTTTTGGGGGGAAGATTAAAGTAGCTACCCTGATAATGAAAAATAAACAGAGGGATGATACCAAAGGAAAACAGAAGTGAAAAGGTGAGAAACGTTTGCTTTATAATTAGTGCTGTGGGTAACACATGGAGCCTCCCCACAGGTATTATGAGGGTGGACACATCTGTTGCCATTGAGGTTTGGTGTGAAGTAATGTCTCTTGCAGGTCTTTCATCAAAGACACTGGAGACAACCCTGAGGTAAATACGGAGAAAATTACTATAATGAGACGTTGTTGTAAAACTCATTCAGAGACGGGCAATGTGTGTGTAAGTGTTGAGTCATGCAACTGAGATTTATGTCTTTGCTTTAAATGTAAGACAAATAACCCATAATGACTGACGTTGCTGTAGTCTACATGCTTGGTTGTTATACACACAGGTTAATCTGCCAGTAGATTACATAAGATAAAAGGGTGAAGACCCACAAATACAGAGACGGAACTCCTTTCTGAGTCATTATAGGATTTCTTTTCTCTGCTCTGCTAGAGAGAAAAAAAAATGGAATCCCTTAATAAGCACGTCCTACCTGAGCACACACTATGTCATGATATAACAACCCCACTGTGATGCCCATCAACCCTGTAATTAAAGGTCATGACTTTTTGAACTGGGGTCACCATGCTCCAAAAATCCTCTTGAGTTAAAAAAGTTAAAAGGAAGGAAACCAAAATGAACCACTGAGAAAAGTCTAAATTTTAAGCTGAAAATATAAATAAGATTGTATATGTAATGGTCCAAATGCATCACTCCACTGTATTCAAGGCCACATTAATGACAATTAATTAGATGGCTTTAACATGTTGAAATTTTCTATGCCAACATTTTCAGGTTGTTTCTCAAAAGTTCCTCATTCACATTGAAACAAAAGCAAAACATCACGCTATTGACAATATACTGAAGGTTTACAGGCCATTTGAGCCAACAACTCTACACAGTTTCTGCCCAGCAGCTTTTTTCAATTTTCAAACATGTTGTTGTTTACAGAGCAAACATTAAGAACTTAGTAGACCAGCAGGACACACAACATTAAGATATCAACAGGCTACATGAGATCACATGGCAAACATAGTACAGCGTACGAGCGTTTTCAAATAACAGTTAGTTTTAAAACTCCACAATACACAGTGAGACTGACATTTTAGAATTGATTGCATTCAGAGAGTTTAAAAAAACACACACTTTCTATAAACCCTGTATAGGAAATGGTGCTTTATTCAGGATGGAGAGACTAAATGTTAACACTGAAACACTACTGATTTCAGCCTGAGGTTATCCTCATGGCATCTTGTTGCCCCTCCCTTAATATTGTGATAAAGACACCGCCCGTTTACAGAGCAGTTAGACAGATCTGTCAAGACTCCCAGCAGATTGCCAGTCGGACGACTGAAAGAGTCATAAAAAGACAGAAAGACAGAAAAGTCAGATGAGTGAGACCAAAACAGTTAGTGAGCATTTCAACATGCAGACATTTGGACAAACAGAAGACAGACAGAATCTCTGAGAAAAGTCTGACACTGGTGCCCTGTGCTCATAATAACAATAATTTAACCTGTTTCAGCAGCATTTATTATTTATTATTATTTTTTCTCAAAAGCTATGAAGTAACAAGGCTTTATGGGAATTGGGAAATCTGTTTGTCCAATGATCTTTTCCCTGTCATGCGCAATAACGCGCTTGGATATCCCCATGCTATCTTTCTTGCAATGGTTTGACTTTATAAGGAAAAGGCTCATAGAGTTAACTTCTGATGGGTGAGTTACAGATTTATTTCTGTTTAGAGTAGGATCAGGGATGTAAGTTGTGATCGTTACCTCTTGTATGTTGGAAAATACGCACTTAATGTAACCTGTCTGTGTAACGTCTCTGGCCGCTTTGCCACTGTGTTGATAACTGACGAATAAGCCTTTCAGGTAGCAGCTGTCCGTGGTTTTGATCAAAGGCTGGTTTGTCAGGGCCCAAGGAAAATATTTGCACCAGGGCCCAGCATAACTATGTTACGTTGCTGCTTCTAACCAACTGACACCTGATGTTATGTTAATTTCCCTCAAGGAGAAAGTATTTGTATAATGAAAGGAGAAATCCAACTGTTGCCAGTGAAACCAACATATAATCTTTTCTGTAGGACTAACAGCATTTAGGACCTTTTAAATTCTGAGCCATTGAAGCTTAGAGCAAGTTTTAATCTGGCTATCAACACTGCAAAATAATTTGATGATTTTTCTTTTTCATCTCAACTTGATTCAGGAATTCCCAATTGCCATTTTCTTGATATTAGTGCATCATTCTGCTGTTTATTACAGCGCAAGATACAGACACTCATTCCTGAGACCAGGAGAACTGCCCTGGGAACAGAATTAATCATCTTGCTGACTTAGCATCCAATTACCCTTTTTTGTTAGCAATAAAAACAAGTCTTGAAGGTAGAGATTGAATACAAGATCAGTGATTTGCATCATCAATCTTGGTACATCTTGAGACAGAAGTAAGATGTGCTGCTGGCAGTTATGAGCAACAATAGGTTGTTTCAACATGTATTCTTGGCACAGGTACCTTTGTTTGCTAAACAACAGGTTTCCGGAGGGAATTCCTGAAAAGTCTTACATTAACTGGAAGCAGATATAGAAATCCATATGGAGTAGAAAAAAAGGTTTTCTCCATATTTGATTTGCACAAATGTCCGGCCATGACCACTGAGCAGGGGCGGAGGCAGACGTTTTTAACATTTTGGGGCTTAGTCGAAAAAATGGGGTGTTCCCATTCGTGGCAGCTAAATACAGTATTTGCCAAGCTGTTTTGAGATATTTGAATTCCTAAAAATCTATACATCATTTGGGAAAAACTTCAGTCTATCACTGTGAAACCATAACACAACAAATGTTAAGTTACATACCAAGGGTAGGGTAGTGTAGGAATTTGGCAGAAACAGCATTACTTATTTTTGTTATACCATGATGGCTTTGACAGAATGAATCACCCCGACACAGAGTCTGGGGAAGAAGGCCAGTAGTCTGGGAATACTCCCAGACTTCTCAACAGAATGGAATCCATGAGACAAAACAATCTTACAAGGATTCATTATATCACAACAACCAAGCAGGACAAAACTAGAGCATTACAACAGAAATGACAAGAATATTCTTAATTTGACACAAGCTCTTAATTTGACACAAGGACTTTTGCTACGCAGTCAACAAGGTGCTGCTTCCTGTGCACATTTCATTTCCTGACGCCGACAAGTTTGTAGAACTGGCCACATTCTTTCAGAATTGTTGGAGAGTACCACAGTGTGTTGGAGCAATAGATGGAAGTCACATCCCTGTAATAGCACCAGAGGAGTACCCTTGAGACTATTACAACCAGAAAGGATGGCATTCAATTGTTCTCCAAGCAGTGGTTGATGCCAAAGGTCTTTTCTGGGATGTATTTGTTGGCTATCCAGGTAATGTTCATGATGCAAGAGTACTGCGACAGTCACATTTGTGGGAAGTCCTAAATGACGGGGAGTTATTAGGCCAAAACAAAATGAACATCTCTGGGTGTGATGTTGGACATCATCTAATTGGTGAACCAGCTTACCCTATGCAGAACTGGCTCATGAACCCCTTTTCAGACACTGGTAGACTGACACATGAACAGCAGACCTACAATTACCAGCTGAGCAGTGCACGGTCAGTTGTGGAGATGTGTTTTGGGAGACTAAAAGGTCGATGGAGGTGCCTCCTAAAAAGAAATGACTGCAAGCTGGAGCTGAGCTAGCAAATGACACTCGCCTGCTGTGTGCTTCACAACATTTCTGAGGAACATGGAGACAACTTTACAGAGGAGCATCAAGACAGGCCTATAAACATTCAGCCTCCTATCCAGGCGCTACCTGAACATGGCAATCAAGAAGGGGCTGACATCAGAGCTGCATTAATACAGTACTTTTGTAGAGGGAATGACTGATTTCTTTTTTTCTTACTGCACCACTGCCATACATTGTAATTCTACATGAGTTGTATTTTTGTTAAATAATTAAACTGCTGTAACACCAGATGTAATATTGTTATGTTTACTTGCTGAGTTAATAGTTCTCTCTTTCTGGTTTCCTGAAATGCAGCAGTGTTTAATCTGCACAAATGTAAATAAAACATTTTTTTTTAACCTTGATTACTTGCATTTGTTTCTCTGTTGATTAAGCACACTACAGCAGACATGTTTCTTCAAAAAACGTTTATTTTTTGCAAAAGTACACTGTGCAAAAACTAATAGTTTCTTTCTGATTCAGTAGCACTTATCAGTGAAGTTGCCTCTCCATCACCGTGATCATACGCTCCATGAGTCCAAGCATTGCAGTTGAGTCTGCATCCATTTTCTTCAGCAAGGTATCATTCATTTCCTTGCAGTGCTGCAGGAACCTTTCGTCTGACCTCTCAAAATATTCCAGAAGCTCCCCATTCATGTCTCGTTTCGTTTTGCCTGTGCACAAAAGACATTACAATAAACACAGATCTTCGTGTATTTTGCAATTGTAAAGAATCAAACACAAGAGTCAATGCAACATATTAACAAAATAATATTATATGATACTATAATACTACACTGTTACACCTTATAAAGTATGTCTACTATCATATCCCTACACTTATTGGGCACTTCATGCAAATTAATCAAATACAACAGATCTGCATTAAATTATTTAATGAAGGCTGATATATTTCAGTTTGTTGATACTCATAACAAGAATCCTTACCCTTTCTGGTCGACTGACTGGAAGAGGCAGATGAGGAGCTTTCAGCTGCTGAGCTGCAAGACGGTACTGGTGAGCTGAGCAACAACAAAAATAAGACAGTGTTTAAATCACAAACGTTTCCATTGAACCCTATACAGTGTCTGCGTTAGCTATTGTTAGCAAAAGCATGCTAGCTAGCTGACTGGCTGGTCAAGCAAGCAGACATATAAGAAATGTATAGTTGTTTTGCAACAAGGTAATACATTAGAAAAGTTAAACTTACCAGAATCAGTAACGTTGTTGGCAATACCCTGCAGCAGCGTCTCATTCACCATAGATTCTAGCATGGCAGTGGCAGAATTTAATGCCCCGGTGACCTGGCACGCCGGTCTGTCGCCGAGGACCGAGTCCAAAACCTCAAAATGGGTATTTCTACTAAATGGCCGTCCATTTCACCTTTGCCCCAACTCCTTCTTTTGGTCTCTGTAATCCTTTGTTAGTTTTTTTTAACTTGTTATTGATCTGCTTTATGGTTCTGTTAAACCCCGCTGTAGCCATCTCCCTCTGGATCTCCTCGAACACATTTTTTGTTCTCGAAGCACCTTCTATTTTTTGCTGTACCTCTGCCGAGGACCATATCGCTAACAAACAGTTTGTCTCCTCCACCGACCACTGTTTCGCTTTAGAATCCATTTTCTTCAATCGTTGTACTATCTTTACTAGCACTGTGTTTTTAGCAATGGCGGTCACAACCTTTCCCGTCGTGTTGTTGGTCAAAATAACCCCGCCCCCAGCCCCCTACGTAAGCATGACGTGGTAAAAGAAACGTTCTAGTACAGCAAAGAGTAGGTGCCGCTTTGGAACCAGTTTTCCTGGCCGAGAACCGGTTCTTTGGCTGTTGAAACACAAAGAACGTCTCGGGTTACGTATGTAACCCTGGTTCCCCGAGAAGGGGAACGAGAGACTGCGTCGGTTACGACACTATGGGAACGCCTCTAGGCGAAGCAGGTCTGAACGTGAATGAAATCACTCCAATCCTATTGGCTTGTTGCTAGAACGGTAAGGTGTGACGGAATAACCGGAGGAGTATAAAGCACACCTGTACACACCCATCATTAGCTTAACTATGAAGCAGGCGCTTCAGGCGGGGAGAGAGGTGCGGCGGTTACGACACTATGGGAACGAGATACCCACTAAACCGTGCCGAAAACCCTGCCTGCCCCTGTGTGCAATAAAGTGGCACGACTAAGAGGAGAGCGCACGAGTGCCAGGTGACGAAGGAAGGTCAAGACTGTAAAACCGAATGAATGTGTGCGGAGTGGCCCAGCCAGCCGCTAAACAACATCCTGCAAGAGGCCCCGGAAAGGAGGGCTCGAGAGGCCGCCATGCCTCTGGTAGAATGAGCCCTCACAGCCACAGGTGAAGGCAAACCGCGCACCTGATAGGCCAGGGAAATAGTCTGAACAAACCAGTTGCTAATAGTATGTTTGGATGCAGGGAGCCCGGCCCTGGGAAACCCAAAACACACTAGCAGCTGGTCAGCCTTCCTCCAACGGGAGGACCTCAGAGTGTAAGTACTCAGTGCTCTGACAGGGCAGAGCAGATGAAGTCTCCCGTCCTCCGACGTCACATGAGGTGGAGGATGAAATGCCTGCAGCACTGTGGACCCTGCCGCACAAGAAGGCACTTTAGGGATGTATCCTGAATGAGGGTGCAGGATAGCCCTAATATTCCCCGGGGCAAACTCCAGGCTTTGCGGGGAAACCGAAAGCGCTTGGAGATCCCCCACCCTCCTCAGAGAGGTGATAGCAAGGAGAAAGGCCATCTTGAGGGTCAAGTGCTTAGCCTCAGCTGACTCCAGGGGTTTGAAGGGGGCCTCAGCCAACGCCCCAAGAACCACTGCCAGATCCCAAGTGGGAACCTTGGACCGAGTCGCAGGTCTCATCCTCCGGGCACCACGGAGGAAACGTACAACCAAGGGAAGTTTCCCCAAGGACCCCTCCCTCAGAGGGGTGGGGAAATAGCTGCCACGTACACCTTGAGGGTGGAAGGGGAAAGACCAGCAGAGAACCGGTCCTGGAGGAACTCAAGTACCTGAACCACCGGGCAGGTAACTGGGTCCACCGACCGCTCCCTACACCAAGTGGAGAAAACACTCCACTTCAGGCCGTACATCCTCCGTGTGGACAGGGCCCTGGAGCTCAGGAGGGTCTCGACTGCTCCGGCTGTTAGACCCGCCTCTAGGTACTGTGCCCCCTCAGGGGCCAGACCCGCAGTCGCCATATGGCGGGGCAAGGGTGAAGAACCCGGCCCTGCGCCTGGGACAGCAGGTCTCTCCTCAGAGGGACCCGCCACGGCGGGCCGTCCAGGAGCGACATGATGTCCGAGAACCACACCCGGGTTCGCCAGAACGGGGCTACGAGCAGTAGGCCGACATTGTCCTGGCGGACCCGCTCCAGAACTCCGGGAGCAGAGCGACTGGGGGAAAAGCGTACAGACGTAGCCTCGGCCACGAATGTATCATGGCGTCCAGACCCAACGGGGCTGGAGGAACGAGAGAAACCATAGCAGGCAGTGCGTAGTCTCTTGAGACGCAAACAGATCCACGTCTATGGGGCCGAACTCTTCGCACAAGAGCTCCACCACTTCGGGGTGAAGTCTCCATTCCCCGGGCCTCAGCCCCTGCCTCGACAGCAGGTCTGCTCCCTGATTCTGTGTCCCGGGGAGATACATCGCCCTGAGCGATAGTAACCTCTGCTGGGACCACAGGAGGCTCTGACGCGCCAGTCTGTCCAGAGGGCGTGAGCGCAGACCGCCCTGGTGATTCAGATAGGCCACCACCGCTGTGTTGTTCTCCTCGGAACGAACCATGACGTGGTGGCCTTGGCGATCGGGCAGGAAACTCCTTAGAGCCTGGAACACCACCAACATCTCGAGACAGTTGATATGCCACTCGGATCGATGCACCTGCCAGGATCCCCTTGCAAAGCGGCCGTCCATGACCGCGCCCCAGCCCGTGAGGGAGGCGTCTGTCGAAATAACCAGCCGGCGACAAGACCCTCCCAGCATGGGCCCCTGGGACAGGAACCAAGTTTCCTTCCAAACTGATAGGGAACGAAGACACTTGCGCGTAACCCAAATCAGACGGAGAGGATTCCCCTCGGGGGAAAAACCCTTGTTCCTTAGCCACCACTGCAGGGGTCTCATGTGCAGCAGTCCAGATGGTATTACGCTGGACGCAGCCGCCAGGAGACCCAACACTCGTTGAAAGTGTTTCATAGTGATGGCGTGGCCTAACTTCACCCCTTTCACGGCAGCCAATATGGTGTCGACACGTGCCGGAGACAATTGTGCCCGCATCGTTGTCGAATCCCATGCAACCCCTAGGAACGTAGCCCGTTGGGTGGGCGCCAGCACGCTCTTCTTTGCGTTGAGCCTCAGCCCTAAACGCCGCAGACGAGCCAGAACGACATCTCGATGCCGAACCGCCAACTCTCGAGACTGGGCTAGGATGAGCCAGTCGTCGATGAAGTTGAAATCCGGATGCCCCGGAGCCTCAGCGGGGCCAGTGCTGCATCCATACACTTGGTGAATGTGCGAGGGGAAAGTGCCAGGCCGAATGGAAGAACCCGATACTGGTAAGCCACACCCCCGAAGGCAAACCTCAGGAACTTCCTGTGAGAAGGACGGATGGAGACCGAGGCATCCTCCCATAACCACGGTCCCTAACCCCCATCACATTACTGTAGTTCAGTGATCGGGGTGTGGAAAGCCATGTAGAGAAGGGTCTGCCCCATGATTTACTCAGTTCATCATGTAAATCAGGAAAGAATGGCAGAGACCGGCGTGGAGGTGGCGTGTGGTGCTTAAGAAACCTTTCATCAAGCTACCACTAGCCTGTGGTGTCTGCTCCTCCTGTGGCCAGTTGATGTTGAGCTTAGCCACGGCTCTAGTCACCACCTCCAGCAGCACGTCATAGTCGGGCGTCGCTAGATGACGCCGCCCCGACACCCGGAAGTCATCGTCTACTGCGCTGAGCACGTCCGCCTCCTCGGAGTCGGATTGCTGCAGCGTCTCCGGATCCAAACCGCGAGCGGGAGAAGCCGAGAACGGGCTCCCGAACGAGGAAAGGAAGCGTCGGAGCCAGCGGATGAAGGTCGGGAAAAAGCCTCAGCCGTCCCGAAATCCTCCGACAGATCACGCTGTGAACCCCATGAGTGAAGCCGCCGGGCCGCCTCAGCGGCCGCAGGGCCCGCACCACGGGGAGAACACATCCGGCCATCCTCGGAAAAGAGAGCCATGCTGTACCTCAGTACCCGCACGGAAAGGGCTTCGCAACGGGCGCAGGCAGCCCCCTCGAGAGCTGCCCGGGCGTGCTCCATCCCCAAACATGAGACACACATCTCATGAGAATCTCCATCCGTGATGTACCGAGGGCAAGAAAAAACACACCTTCTGTACATCTGGTTGCCGGACATGCTGGTAGACTTCTTCTTCAGGTAAGACACACTGCTTGTAGGACTGGAGCTTTCTTCAAACAACATACAGAGCGCCTGCTGAATAAAAAAAAGCTAATGATGAGTGTGTACAGGTGTGCTTTATACTCCTCCGGTTATTCCGTCACACCTTACCGTTCTAGCAACAAGCCAATAGGATTGGAGTGATTTCATTCACGTTCAGACCTGCTTCGCCTAGAGGCGTTCCCATAGTGTCGTAACCGACGCAGTTCGAGTTCCCTCGAAGGGGAACTGGTTTGCGAGTAGGCACCGGCTCCGAACCGGCTCTCAAAATGCTTTGGTGGAAAAGAGATATGACTGATGCTGCTGAACAGTTTCTGTGGGTGTTGGCTGAGGTTTACCTTCTAAAAAATTTTAGTACATAAATTGGTTTGCCTGTTAGCAAGCTTGCTCACTGAGGTGACACGAGTGAATGAAACAGACAATAACCCGCTATGACAACAGACCAATAGATGCTTTTGCTCCATTGATTTGCCGGTCCAGTCAGAGAGGCAGAGGGGAAATGAAACAAAGTTAATTTAAAAACCGAAAACATTTGGGGCTTTTTAGAAAATGTTAGGGACTGAAGCCCCAGAAGCCACCCCCCTGCTCCGTTGTTGCCACTGAGTAAAACTTTTCTGGGATAGCTAGAAATTTTGTTCAAAAATGTGCCAACTGAACACTTTAACCATTTTGTGTAACTGATGTAAAATTTGTATTTTACAGAAAACTTACATATCATATTAAGTTCTCTCTAGCAAAATAATTAGCAAACTATAGGAGGGTGGTTACTTTAATGGTCACTGTGTGTGTGTGTGTGTGTGTGTGTGTGTGTGTGTGTGTGTGTGTGTGTGTGTGTGTGTGTGTGTGTGTGTGTGTGTGTTTGACACAGTGGACTATAGTAGGCTCCTGTATAATAAATATACTGTTGTGTTCAGTTTTCCCTGACACTTTCCCTGTGGAACACATTTATGGAACCCGATCCACAGAGCTTGTTCATATTATCTTTTAAATTATGGCAGCTGGAGTACTGTCATCTTTCTTTCTTCCCTCTGTTTGTGTCATAATGTCAGAAACTTAGGGACTCAAAAGCAGACTCTGAGCCACAGAGTGTAGCCACGCCCAGACAAACGCAGACAACACAGAGACAGATAGGGAGAACAGACAGAAAACAAAGGGAAGGGGAAAACAAAAGGGAGATACCACACCACAACAGTTTTGCTCCTTCTTTAACACAGACTGAGACCCAGGGAAAGATAGAGAATGACGACAGAGGTGAGTGGGAGGCAGACAGATCATTGGATTAAGCGGTCTGGTGATGTTTCAAAAACAAGCACACTTCCAGATATTCTCTAAGTTTAGGCACTGTTTATAAGTCTAAAATAAATTTGGGCAGGGGATCTTTGGCTTCAATTATCTGAACAAAAGAGACACAAAAGAGACAAAATTTTAAATCAAACTGTAATGAAGAATCATATTATCTTTTCTGCTGTCTTGAAAGGAACACTGAAACTGCCAACTCACACCATCCATGGGAGACAGGAAAAGAATGTAAAATAGATACGTATTATTATTTTCAAGACCTGTGTGAAGCCCAACAGATACAATGATGCATAAAGTCAAAACAAAAGCTAACTACGATTTTTGCAACTTCAGTAACTATAATAACTGCTTTTAAGTCTAAAGGTCTTCAAGTTCATTGTTCAGTGTTTGATGTGGTTTCACTGCACTCTAGTGGACAGCTCTTAATATAGCAAATAATATACAATTTATTCAGTAAAGGCAGCAATTGCAAACATTCATTCAACTTTATACATGATAGTGAAAACACCATAACCTCCTCCTCTGGCATCCACCAGATCAGGGACATTTGAGTTACAGCCTCACCAGACTCAAGCAGATAAATCCATTAATATTCTTACCTTAGTCTTGTAGCCTACTTATGTGAAAACAGTCTGGGTTTTATCCCCCCAAAAATCTGGACACGCTTACAGGCTACTTTTTTGTTTTGTTTTGTTTGTTTTTTTTCATTAGGAGTAGTGCGCAAGTAAAAAGAGTTTCCTTTACTCTCTGTCTAGTGTGAAATCCAAGAACATGTCAAAATTGTATGCCCTAGGATAGAAGAAATCAGTTACACAGGTTAAATCTTGACAGAAATATAAAACACTGTTTGGGTTTAGCTGTTTTCAATTGCAAATTACAGATGGTCCTATTTGAAGTAAACAGTTCCCATCAAAGCTAAATTAGTTTACAGTCAGACTAACTGAAGCTTTGGCTTGATGCCTGATCCTTACACACTGTCCCGCCAACACGTTTTATCACTCAGGGATTACCTATGATCCCCTGTCACATTCCGATTGTGCAGCTAGGATGCTTCTGCAAATAAAAATGAGAATATTTTTAAGTTTATTATCAAAAACGACTTAAATACTGAGTTGTTTAAAAACAGGAACATCGCATAACAGGGTTTCATGTTGCTCCACATCAGGATTCATGATCTTTTTCATGGTGTAATGTTGGGTAAAAGATGATAAAAAATCAATTGATCTAGCATGCCTCTATGCTAAATACTAAATAGTAATGGAGGTTGACACATGTCCACATTATGCTATAATGTTATCTATATGGGTTTAACAAGCTTTATTCCCCCCTGGTGTCATTTTACATCTCAAAAATAAATGAATAAATGCTGCAAAGAGTGAATCAATTCAACATGCTTCCAAGGCATTTTTGCATTGTTTTTATGCTGTATAATAATATAATTAACATGCTTTTACATGTACATGTCATCCATCATTGTCAAATATGTATGAATAAATCCTGCATTCTGTATATACTTTTTATAGACATGTATACATGCATACATCCAAGCTTCATGTATAAAAAGTAATATATTACATTATGCATTCACTCTTTGTATTTGTTTGCAATTTACAGAGACATTTGACTTGTATATAGAGATTGTATGTTGTGGTCATTGTTGCTTTTATATATATTCACGTATATGCTATTTCACCTACTTGTTCATACATAATAGTTCTGTTTATTTTTACCTATCTTTGTTCAGCTTTGCTATCCCTGTTTATAGCCATATGTCTATTTATATCTTCCTGTAAATTGCTCTTGGAACTGTGTGTAAAACTGAGAGCAACTTAAAATAAAGCTGATTCTGATATAACTGCGAAAGAACAAGGCAAATTTGCAAAAACCGCATTAAAATGATTTAAGTCAATGACATTTTCCATGAAGTAAGCCAGGACACCAGATGTAGTATATTGATTAACAGTAATGCTCGGCCATTGTTTGCTTCAGCACATGTAGCATAACATCAAACGGATTACACACAAGCAATAGAAACAAGCATCTCCATCTGTCTTTCTTAGTCAGTCTCTCATTGTCAGCCATTCTTATTCTCTTTTCCTTTACCTGGGTTTTACCAAATTAGTGATGTAATAAATCTATCAGGACCATTTGAGCATCAAAGTGCTGCTTTTTCTAACCTGTGCGTATTTAGCATTCAGTCATCTTTGCAATATAAGCAAGGCTTCAGAAAGCTCCTGATATGAATCCTGACCTCTTGAGAACACTACGTGTCCTAACAGCTGAGTTAGTCTAATAGGACTAAGCTCAGACCACCAGTAAGCTCATTACTGCTCAGTGTGTGTTGTGTTGGGTTTGTCTGCATTCTCTTGAGCTCAGGAGGGATCACAGCAGGGCTGGACTAGGACAAAAAATCAGCCCTGGCATTTTTGGCCCACCAAATCTGGTTGGACACCTCTCACCAATACACAATCTATTTAGGAGGTCAGATTAGGCGTATGATGAAACACTGAGACGTAACATTTGCACAAGATTGGTGTGCATAACTACAAGATAAGAATATATTTTAACAGATAGAATAGAAAAATATTTATAGATGAAATATTTGATGGGAAGTTTGGGAGTCCTCCCACAGAAGATTTTTAGCATTAAACACCTAATTTCCTGCATTCTGTAGACATTTTCTGCACCAATTTAAGGAGGAAAAGTCTTTATTTTTATAAAGGGAAGCACAATATTCAGGTGGCAGGTGACAATTCACAATATAACAATATAATAAGATATAATGCAGTAATCAATAGCTTATTATTATTTTTTGCTTAAATTACTTTTTTTGGACTTTGTTTGGCCGGCAAAGCAAGAAACAGAGAACAGAAGGGGTGGGGGCTAGTAAGAGATGTGATTTTTAAAAAACAGTTATATAAATAAATAATTTACCTTACACTGGCCCCAAAGGTGCATCGGCCCAGCAGGCATTTGCCCGGTAGCTATGCCAGATTACCAGTCCAGCTCTGGATCACAGCCTCTTATATGGCCAAAGTGCAACATGTTTTAAGCCTGTTTTTAACTATATTGGGATTTATATTCATGTTTGGGAAAATTTATTTCACGCCATGTTTTTTTAGAGCACAAAAAGAACAAAATTCCAGTGATTGGCTATTTCTTTAGAAAAATATTTTTTTTATTTTAAGTTTCACATTCACTCAAAACACCACAGTAACATTTACCTTGGACAAACAATGGATGAACACAGAGTTATAGAGGATGTACGGGATATAAATCTTGGGATCCTGGTTGGGAATACGCAGATTTTTTTTACTGTCTACGCTAAGCCTTTCCTTGCTCTTTTCATTCATTAATTTTTTTCTTTTGCATCTGTCCATTCACTGCACATTATAACTCTCACATACACAACATTACACGCCTTCTGTCACATGAGCTCTCTCATTCTCCCTCCTCTTATTTTCAAGCCTCCTAGACTGCAGCCAGATGGCTTTCTTAGCGTCTCACTCTCTTGTTCTCCTTTCTCTTTTTCTCTTTAGCAGGCTCCAGACTGCAGTACAGGCTGAAACTCTCCGGCCATGCAGATGTCTTCCTGCTTCTGGCGGACGACACGCTGGATGGCAGGAGGCAGGCCACGGGGGTTTCTGGAAAACACGAGGGCATAGCCATCGTCACAGCTGCCATCGTCTTTCAGGGTGCGGCAGGCGTAGGTGATGGCGTAGTTGTCGTAGTCGGTGTCAATCACCCAGTAGTTGTCACCTGGTTAGACAGAAAGGGGGAAGTTAGTGTTGAAGGAAAATGAGGGGTAATATGAGGGATGTGAGGGTGATATTTGTGCACAGCTGACCTCCACTGGACAGGTAGCTGGCCAGTCCCTGGTAGTTCATGAACATCTTGCCTGGGGTGGCAGGGTCGGGGACAGAGTACTGTGCAGCCATGTCAGCGCACACAACCCAGAAGCTGCAACATGATGACGCAAACACAGATTAGCATCACAGTGAAAGGTATTAAATGACCCAACAGTCTTTGACTAATATCATTGTCCTTGTTTAAATCAACTGAAGTTCTTAAGTTAGTGAAAGTGCATTCAAGCCCACATTCCTGTGTTAAAGACCCACCACTCCAACCTGCATTTCTTCCTAATCCTTCATAATCCAGGGAAAACCCGTCTTGTAGCTAATGCTGTTCAGAATGTGCTTCAAGAGAATTACACACCTATCTGAAAAATGTAGGTGTCTCCACAGGTCTTAGAGAGTCAAGAAGGTCGTTCTGGCCCTCTGACTTACCCAAACAGAGTGACACGTCCTTTGGAGGAGGCGGTCATGGAGCCATCATCATCAATTGTGTACTCAGCTTGGATATTGTCCTGCAGGAACAGGCCCTCTGGATCTTTCTTCTGCAGTGCGTACCACTTTCCTGCATACTGCAATGAAAAGGAAGAACATAAGAAATCATTTGACTTTTTTATTTACTTTTTTAAAACATGCATGCTGTTTGTGTGTTTCAGTTCTCTCACCCTCTTGGGATCAAAGTCCTCTTTGACTGTGAAGCTGTCAACGACACAGGAGGCAGACAGACAGCGCTCCACACAGGACAGCAAGACCAGCAGCAGGGCCAGTTTAGAGGATCCCATTCTATGATGAACATACATATCAGTGTATTAGCACCATAAACAGCTGAAAACTAGTTTTACAGTGCTACTCATTCACACACGTCAGTATAATTATTTGAGAAAAAAACTGTCCAATATTCCACCATCCCTGATCTATTGCACCCTAATGCAACAACAATATATTGTAATAGCACCATGGGACACCCTATAACATGCTGGAGCAACACAACAGTCTAAAAAACATATTCTAAGCCAAAATGTCAGTACTAAATATTTGGACAAAAGTACATCTTCAAACTGTAACACCACATTATACGATATAGATGATTATCAAGTCTCTAATTTAAACAGTTAAAGCTGATAGAAGAGAAAATTTACATTTTTAACAGAATATAAACTTACTTACTTTCTGCTGGTTACAACTGATGAAATGTAACTAAAAGGTGAATTGTCTTGACATGAGTAAAAATTTAGTGTCTTACCTGTTTTGGATCAAAGAAGCAACAGTGATAAAATTCTACTACTGTTGTGGTTATCCACCAGATTGGGTCTTGTTTCTGAAGCAGCCTTTATATACACACTCCACAGACAAGCTTACGGCTGATTTTCATTGCTTGGTACTATATAAGGTGCTTAAATCTAGCGGTAATCCTGTTGGGTTAAAATCCTTACCCTAATCTGGCTTCAAACCTGCCCAAGAATTACCATAAAAACAATTAGACCTTTATGTAACTGACTGGAAGCACAATAAAAAGGCACATGCACATATGAGCAGATGCAGGTGCAAACTCATTAAGTGAATTTGAATGCATGCAAAGTGCATACCATAGCAGTACAGACCATACATGAAGCGTTTACTCAACTATTAATACTAAGTATTAATTATAAGAAATTGCTGCTACACAAAATGCGTTTTGACCTTTGCTCTCTAATGACTGGGTTATGAAGAAAAGCCTTCACATGCACGTTGTCATGCACCATCTGAGATAACAGGATTGATAAAAGGCTAAAACTAATTGTGTGTAAATGCAAAGTATGGGCAAATATTATATAAGTGGAGTGTTGTGCTATTTTAGTTTGGGGTAAACCAAGGCATAATTGAGCTGTTATGGTGCAGCCATTTTTGCAGACAAAACAAAAAGTAATTAAAATTGATGTCATGATCATGTGTTTATCTGTTGAAAATCTGTTTCCAAGAGAGAGTTTCTGATTTTAAAAAAGAAAAGGAAGTTAATGAGCAAATTTTTCATTTGTCAAACTAAACTTGAAAAACTAGCCTGCAATCAACAAGAAAACACAATTCTAATTCTATTTTCCTGACATAGCAAACAGTCAATAATAAACTAACACACTTATATTCCTATTAAATGTTTTTAAATTTGGACACAACCGTTTTTCCACTCACTTTTCATCAAGGTATATATTGAACCATACACACACTTGGTGAGATATTAATCTCCTCGGATACTTTGGCGAATCCAACAATAAAAGGACTGAGGAATACTGTAATACTGTACTGTACTTGTGTACTGCACAAGCACTATTTGAAGTCAGAAAATGATATGAAAAATTTCACAAGTCTGGCTGAATCCCAGTAGCTTGCAAATTCTGCACTAGACATCTAGGTGGAGTTGTAAGTTGCACTACATGCACACAAGTCTGCTCACATTCAAACCAAAACAGGACTGCATACTTCACAAAGCGCCACAATGAGTAAATACTAAATATTTATTTCCTTATAATAATGATGTCCAATTTTGAGAGACAAATTATAAAAATTGTGAATATAAATATTATAATAACAACAAAAATGCAATGTATTGCATTCTTACATGTGCACTCACGCACAAGGGCATACAATATCACTGCTAAAGTTATACTACATTTTTTATTACATTAGTATTTGATAAATCTCACACCACTTTAAAGAATAATTGAACTACCTTTTTAGTTTGTGTTCTTTTGGTTGAGCAATCAGCATGTAATCCTGCCTCCGGAGTGCTGGTGACACAAGCATTAGTTTTATCCCACCTTGATTACTGTTCACCTGTCTAGTCAGGTGCAGCCAAAAAAGATCTGTTTAAGCTACAAATAGCTCAAAATAAAGCTGCAAGACTCACACTGGCCAGTCCATCGGGTGTGAGGCTGAGTACAGACAATGTGCATGCCAGTTTCTCATGGGTTAGAGTGGAAGAGAGGTTGGCCCTTTTCTTTAGGAATATCTGTTATAGGAAACAACCCAATTGTCTGTACTCACAAATAAAGTATGTGAGAAACCAACATTCTTTAGTACTCAGTAGGCTACAAAGGGTTGTCTAGTTTTGAAAAAAACCCAGGACTGATGCAGTGTTGTGATGCTTTTTCCTTTGTCAGTAGCTTGCGTAATCATGTACACGCATAGTGATACTTTTTTATAAGCATTGTAGGTATCGTTTTTAGATTTGTGTATAACCTGTATGTTGTTCATTATATGTTTTTGTATGTTTGTTGTATGTGGACCACAGGAAGAGTATTTGCCACATTAGTAGCAGCTAATGGGGATCCGAATAAAGGAATAAGAAGTAGCCTGTATTTGAGTCCAAATTTTCCAAATAGTGGGATGAGCCTCTTAAAATTACATCAACACTGATAGCACAGTTACATAAGATTATGTACACTATACTGAGTTTGAGGGGGCTTTCACCACAAAAAGAGGATCGAATTGGTGACCCATCTTAAAAATTGTAATGACAGAAGGAGAAGTGGGAATCACTACACTTAACTTTGAATCAATGACTGCTGTTATGCACCTACACACAGACACACACATCCTCTCTCTCACTCACTCTGCTGTGAACTCTCATTTCCCGGATTAACCCTGGTAACACGAGATTACTGCTGCATAACATATCATGTAATAACATCCAAAGTCTTCATGTGTTTGTTTGCTTAACTTAAGTTCTTTAGTGTGTTGTTTTGATGCACAAATCAAAGAGTAAGTTAATCACTGCAGACTAACCCCACATTGATAGTAAACAGTCTCCTCAGCGAGGATGCAGACTGACAAGCCAATCAAGAGAGACCATCTATTTTTTCCACCGACTGTGCTGCTCAGCACTATAATCCTACTTGTACGGCCTGAAATGGATTGTCAACAAAAATAAACTTATATACACCTTTTTATATACACCTTTTTATATACACTATTTATATATCTTAAATGCAATAAACTTTACTTTATTTATTAATATGTGGCGGTTAATATGTGAGAATCTAAAAATTCTGTGACCCTACCTCCATTCTCCATGTTGTTTATTGTAAAGAAACTGGTGATTGATGATGAATACTTATTTGATTATTGATCTTGTAAAACCACTTATATAAATTAACCTTTAATCTGAGGACACCTGTGAGCCCAAAGGTGGCTCTATCAACAGAGCATGCTCCAAGGCTCAGGTCATGGTCATCAGCTGGTTGTGATTGGCTGATAGACCCGGGCCAAGGCTAAGACCACGATTACACCCTCTGCTTACCATCATTTAAATAATGTCATGTTCAAAGACTGTGCAAACACCTGCTGCCTAAAACCTTAAGCTCATACTGTACATCCTATTCACAAAGCGTGGAGACATTGCCTGCCATTTGGAGAATTGGTCGTTTGGACAGTTTTTTGGGCTAGAAAGGTTTAGGTCTGACTAAAAAGTGTGTATTTCTACTTCTTGTAACAACCCACAAATACAAAGCTTCCTTCTATATTGATTTGAACATACTTTAAACATATCCATATCCCTGTGTGCTATAGTTTAAATATTCACACAGATTGTTTACATTTACATCTGTCATGTTCTATTGTTTCATTGCTAGGGTGCCTAAGGGGGTTATAAGAAGTTATAGGAAACACATAAAATGCCTCATAAAAATGATAAATTACCAGGAGGGTATCAGGAAATGTCAGTCAACAATCATATATTCTGTGCACAGAGGGGATCTGCCTTTTATTTGTTTGGAGGTGTGGCCAGAAATGACCCATTGTAACTTTAATGAGTACAGCATCTAAAACATGGGCCTGCTGCCATCCTGTGGTTAATGTCCATATTGCATCTAGTAAGTACAGTACAGTGATGTAGAGGTACACTAAATCCAAGTTGTGTATCTCCTCACAAATTACAGGACATGTTCATAATTTTTCAAGTTTAACAACAGATTACTCACATGCCCAAATGTATAATGAAACTGTTATTGGTCACTGTAATTGTTCCTTGTGTCCATACTGGCCCTGAAGAGATCCATTCCTATGTAATTGTAAATCTATGTAAATCCAATGTAAGTAATTGGGGATAAAGTCCACAGGCTTCTGTCTGTGAAAAAATGTCCTCTAAAGTTCAATGGGGCTTCAGCAGTCTATGTTATTATTTGCTAATTAAGCATGTATCTTTCGTTTATGGAATAAGCATGTCACAGCATTAGGAAGGGGTCACATTACAGCCAGTATGGACAGGAGAACCAATGATAGCAAACAGAAATGTTTTAGCGTGCATCCGGGCATGTTAGTAATGTTTTAATATAGCCTCGAAATGTGAACCTATCATATAATGTATACACAGTATTTATCATGATCTCTTTGCAATACACAGCAAGTGGTGGAAACATTACTTTGAATCAGTAAGAACTGATTTCATTTTAGAAGTTAAATGTAACAGACTAATCAGACATATTCAACAGAAATAAATCTAACATCTCCATAAACTCAGAGTGGTCCTTAATATCTGAAGAGATTGGTTAACAACCAAGAAAATATATTTGACTGTGATATATTTATAAACAAAGTTAATATGTGTATTGTAGTTCAACAGTATGAAGCTATAAAGATTTATTTCAAAGTTCCCCGTGTGATTGTTTTATTTGCCAAATTAGTGTCTAAAGGAAATTTAGCTCAAGGAGATGCAGAGATAAAACTTTGCAGATAAGCTTAATGTCCAGAAAGAGTTTGAATATTTTTCATATTATGGCACTTGTTTGCAATTGCACAACATTAAATGTCCATCCTGTCCACCAATTTGATCCAGACTGAAATATCCCCACAACTATAACATGAATTGCAATATAACTTTGCCGATCCCCTGGCTCTTCCTCTATAGCTACATCTGCTGGTCAAAGTTTTCACTTATCCAGTTACCTCAACATAGACTGGATGGTTCACAGAGGACAAATAACTCTATTTTATTTATTTATTTTTTTGATTTTTCCTCTAGCACTATCAAGAGTTTGACATTTGTGTGTGTCTCAGCAACTATTGGATGGATTACCTTGAAACCTTGTATGCACATCAATTCACCCGTCAAGATGAATTGTAATAAAGTTTGTGATCCTCTGGCTCTTCTTGTAGGGCTATCATCAGGTCAAAGTGCTGATTTGGTCAATGCCTTGGTTTATGAACACACACACACCCCCCCACGCCCCCATATACTAAATAACAATTATATATAAATAAATCAGCTAAAGCTTTCTATTTCTGAACCCTGAATAGAAAACATGTTGCTACATGCTACACACCACAGCATTAGGCAGTACTGGGTTTTAGTGGGTTTTCTCCAAGGGCCCAGGAGACACAACACATCATTATGCCCTCCTTACTTGACTCATTCTGTCATCCATACACTCTGGACCTGCCGTAATCTATTATAGTGGAAGCAGATTATCTATTTGACCTTTTGTTTAAGGTGTTTATGGAACCTTATTATAGACAGGTCCTCCCTGTGCTGAATGAAAGGATTAACTTTCTTACAGAAGCCCAGAGCATTTCTCTTTTTCCACTTTATGTCTGTGTGTGTTTGTTTCTACTATCACTAATCAGTATAAATCTTAAATCAGTGTCTAGCTTTTAGATGGCTTCACTCCCTCAGCCCTCTCAGGATGTCATTGACCATCAGTCTCCTAACTACGATAAGGTCATTGCTGTGGAAAACTCAGAAAGGCACTACAGGTAGACTGCATTAAAGATTGCATGTGGAGAAAGATGGTGAGTTGGGGTGCTGAGATAATCAGCTAGTGTCCTAACTAAATAGGGCTTAGGCCAGAGCAGGCCTTGTTTAATAAGGACTTAAAGAGATTGTACAGGTGGACCTGTATGTGTGAGAGAGATAGACAGACACAGTACACTGTAGACAACACATAACAACTGAAAAATAGTATGGAAGATATAGGACAAACTAAAAATATTTGTATATTTTTATCTCATAAATTTCCTCTATGTTTATCATAGATTAAATAGGAAATTTATCAGAAATACTAGGGTTACTACATTTTGATCCATTCCTCACAAAACCTGCCTAAGATTTCTCCTATTTATAAAATTTATTCGACAAGTATAATACTTTTATTGGGGGTGTTACTCTTGTAGTTTATAGTAACCAAGCAAAGATTATCTAGAGTTGTTATATTTTTTCACTTCTTTCTGTTGTTAATGTTTGTTCATTAGTTTAATTTGTTTCATCTATGTAAATCTAAATATACGTTTGAAATTGGCATTAACATATGTGTAAAAGAAATGCTAATTGGAAGTGCAGTGAAAAGCTGATTTACATACAGTATATTTCCCTGCAGATTTTACAGATTATTTGTGATTTACATTATCTGCGCTATTATAGAGGTACTGAATATACTGAAGCACACTGGATGGACTGGATGATTTGGCCCACGGATCCATTACTAGATGATCAGCTGACAAGTTTAGCATGGGCAGATCCCTGCTAACCTTCAGCACTATCTGCTGATGACAGAAGGATTGTTTGGATTCAGCCCTCTGCCTTCTCCTCAGGGCTCTCCCTCACTCAGTCCGCTCATCCTACTAACAGGGGGGATTATATTTTACCTGCATTTGAATGTGTCCACTTTTGTTTTCCCCCTTTGTGTGTAATACCTGGGTAAGATTGGCTTTTTTTATTTAAGGGATAAACTGGGCAACCGGCAGCTGTGTGTGTTGTTTTGATTATTTTTCTTTTTCCACTCTGAGAAGTTGGAGGTAGCTCGTGTAGAGCAGCGTTGGACCGAGTGGGAGTTCCATCACTGAGCTGAAGAGGGAGAACACAGGAACATTTGGGAGGAGAGGAGGAAGAAGGAACCATGAGTGTGCAAAAGGAAGATGTGGAAAAGTTCCTCAAAGGGAACCCTGAATTTGCTAAAAAGTACTTTGCCAAGAAGATGAACCCCGCCTTCATATCGAAGGCGTCAGGACTCCCAGAGAAAAAGGTCGACTTCAGCCAGTTCCAGGAGCTCAGTCAGGTAAATTGAATTGTTTCACTTTTTGTTTATTATTTTTAAAAAAGGAGGTAGAGAGTGTTATGGCAGAAAATTGCTTCCTCTTACATTTATTTTTTATACATGTTATTTTATTATTATTATTACTATTGTTTATGTTGTATGTATATATATATATATATATATATATATATATATATTGTTTTTTATCCTTAACCTTTTCTCTCTTTGTTAACTTTTTCTTTATCATTATAGGCTACTTTTTATATCAGTCTGTCCACTCATGTAGAGTTTAGGTCAGAGCTGTGAGATTGTTTAGTGTTTTCCTTTCTTGCTGTTCCTCTACTTTCCTGTTCATTCAAGAAGAGGAGATGATCTCTGTTCCCCAAGACATAGAAACCTAGACTGTGTAAATGATTATGCATCCCTTTGCTCGGGCCAGACACTTGAAGCTGCCCTAGGTGGCAGGTCTCTGGACCAGCTGTACATGTGTTGTAGTACTTCTCTGTTTCTTTCTCTGTTGACAGAGAGTATTGACCAAACTTTGTCACAGTTGAGCAGCCTGAGTTGCCCCACACAAACCCATCTATATAGAGTATAAACATATGTATTTATCATGAAAGGCTTTATCTTCTGCAATGAAGCCAAATTCTAAATTATTTCTCTCTTTTTCAAGTTTGAAGAAAGCCAAATCATGTATGAGGTGATCAAAGACATGCAGGAGAACATCAACATGGAAAAGGTGGTCTTTAAGATCCTGAAGAGAATCAGCGCGCTCATCCACGCAGACCGATGCAGCCTGTTCATGTACCGGCAGCGGAATGGCATTGGAGAGCTCGCCACAAGGCTCTTCAATGTCACCACGGAGGCAAAGTTTGATGACTGTGTGGTGCCACCAGACTCTGAGATCGTCTATCCACTGGACATGGGAATAGTCGGCCACGTGGCTGTGACCAAGAAGCCTGTTAATGTGAAAGATGTCACACAGGTAAGGGGGGATTCAATGAAGCTCTATCTGAATGGAGTGCAGATGTCGAGCATTTCTGCACTGCTGTCTGTCACAGTGTAGTTCATTATTTTACCATCAGATGACGCTACAGCCTTCAATTTTCAAACACCACACATAGTAGCTTTAACTATTAATTAAATGTTTATCTTTTGAACAATTAAATCTTAAGCAAGCGTGCTTCTGAGGGTCATAAGAGCAATGATTTCCACTTCACTCATTAATTAAATATGACTCAGCCAAACTGCCCTTTAGAAAGAGGTCCTGCTAAAAATGTGGCATGCGGACAAGTGTATGAGTTTTGCATCACCTTAATGACAAATGATGATCAAAACCCTGGATGACTGGCATGTTTCTGAAGGAATTTGCTGGCCGACATTATTCTCCCCAAAAGTAATCCCAGTGAAACAGATGTAGGTCAATGCCAAAAATGATACGTTGATGTAAGCACTGATAGTTCACATTTGAAAAAGGCAATAAGGCAATGGCATCCATGACATTTCATTGGGAGTGGCTTTTGTTTTGCATTTTGAACTAAATGTTTACAATGACACAAACTCCCCCATAAGAGATAATTAGCTATTAATAGAAGTGATGCATTGTGGAAATAATATTGTAAGCTCTCATGCATCTTTAATTTGAGGGGTGGTTATCAATAATGCACCAAAGGGCACTGACTTGGGTAGCAAAGGTTTAAAACATAGTTTGCGTAGCTTTAATGCCTACTCGTCTGTTTATGGATTAAAAACTAGTCAGTGGCAAGCTCTTACTGAATCTGTATGTTGGTTGTTGATGATGGTTGCAGACAAGGAAAAGAAGAGTGAGGGTATAAATCCCCTTGTCAGACATAATCCATTTATTTCCAGATCCCATCAGCCTATTCTCTAGCGATGGATTAGACGCCTCTGGCATTTAATCAGCAGTCAGCAGGAATCTCAAACAGAAAATTTGTTTACTTTACATTACCTCCATACATTGTGCCCATAGAGTGTCTGTATATCAGGCTTTTAAATGGGAAGATATTTACATCCACACGTAAATTATAAATAGTCAATTAAATTGTGGTGATTTCGGGTATTTTTCAAAAGGCATTTTGGTTAAGTGATTTGTCATCTTATTTTTAATGGTCTCCTTTCGGTTTATACTACCTACCATGTGACATAAAAAAAAAAAGAGACATTCATTAAAATATTAAGATTAGGAACTCCACTGACCTCTAATAAATCCACTCATGACCCAGACAACACAATTTACTAAATATTGTGAATATTATGATATTGAAAATCCTAAAACGTTTACGTAAATAAAACAACCGTTAGATCAAGTAAGTGCTAACTGCATATCATACAAGTAATCCATTTAAGATCACATTTTCTTTTTTAAAACATTGCACATTACATAAAATATACTAAATTATAGTAATGAAAGCACGTCACTGTGTGTGCACATGGGTGTTTTATATGTACTAAAAACATGTATTTTCTGTCTGTTAGAACCAGCACTTCAGCTCATTTGTGGATGACCTCACAGATTACCAGACCAGGAACATTCTGGCGGCACCCATCCTCAACGGCAAAGACATGGTGGCTGTGATCATGGCTCTGAACAAGACCACGGGACCACATTTCACTGCTGAAGATGAAGATGTAAGTCCCAACCGCACAAGCACCAATGTACAAAACACACACAGTTAAAGCATACACACACACACACACACACACACACACACAGAGTAGTGTGATGTACAGTGGCCTTGTCAAAGACCTACAATAATAATCAATAATAAAATCATAGTTTTTTCAACATGTATTGAAAATACAGAAAGCAAATTAAATGAATTGTTTTTTAATTAATTGTGACTGCTTTCCATCACAGACTCAAAGCAATATGCAGTCAGGTTTTGATTGGGGCTCATTTTGGACCTTTAAATTAAACGAAATTGTGATGAAAACTCTAAAAGACAAGTGACATAAGTGCATCACTACAGGTGGGAGGGAATTCCCTTTGAGCTGACGGGTAGATTATTAAGGTCTTTGCGAGTGAGACAGGTGTATGTTCACTATACGTCAGGTCATTAATCCACCACGTATAAGGATGTCATCCCAATTAGGAATAAACTAAGCTTCAAAATGGAAATAAGCTTGAGGTGGTCAGGTAAGTCTTAGATCCACAGCAGGTTAGTTACTTTATTAACAGCATGTAACTATATGACAGTGTATGAGATCATTAAAAATAAATAGATGAAAATGCTGTGCTGTATTATGTGAATGACAGCAACTAAATAGCTTTTAATGTCTTTCTACTTTGTAGCTGTTGTGTTTACTAGTGTTGGTATCTGGCTGAATACCATCATCACCGTTAAATATATTCAAACATGGCTGCAATGATGGCCATGGCATGAAAAACTGACTAATTAAGATCACTGTTGATTATATTTATATGTATTTTTTAGATGCTAAGCAATAAAAATAGTCTAATATGAACATGATTATAGAAAGAACCAAAGGAGGAGAAAAGAAAAAGTGGTTTATGTAGAGAAGAAGCTACCTGGTAAATGTAGATTACTGGCCCAAAAAAATAATACTCAAGTAAAGAGTAAAAGTATTCATTTGCGTGACTTGTAACAAATTACTATCCACTCCTGCTCACACATTATATTTATAATAATATGTAATTTATGTTATCTAATTATAACTTTTATTCTGACACTGTGCTTTTTTTAAACATTGCTTTCTTTTCTCTTGATTGTGCGTTTAGCTTTTTCTAAAGTATCTGAAAGTTGCCAATTTGAACTTGAAGATCTACCACCTGAGTTACCTCCACAGCTGTGAGACACGTAAAGGACAGGTGAGGCATGTTAACCTGCACATATTTTGATAGAAGTCACTCTTCATTCTACTTACTAGCTATATACAGAATTACTGCATTTACACTGCACGAACCGAATGTTTGACATAACTGTGTGGTATGTCTCCTAGCTGCTGCTGTGGTCTGCCAACAAGGTATTTGAAGAGCTGACAGACATTGAGCGACAGTTTCACAAAGCCTTGTACACAGTCCGAGCCTACCTCAACTGTGACCGCTACTCTGTTGGTTTATTAGACATGACGAAGGAGAAGGTACGTACGGTCTCTTTCTGTGTCTTTGGCTGTAATATCCCATGTTTTGTGCTCATTGTGTATTTATCACGACAAGGAGCTGACTTCTTACTCTACATTTTTGTGTCCATCTTCTTCCAGGAATTCTTTGACATCTGGCCAGTGTTGATGGGAGAGCAGGCACCTTACTCTGGCCCAGTCACGCCTGATGGCAGGGTACATTGTTTTCTTTCATCAATCTAACAATATTATTACACTCCTTGGTAGTGGATATCTACCTACCTGAAGTTGCCCTTGGTCTTTTTTTCTATAACTGTTTTAAATCTATTTGTGTGTTATTTTTCCTCCAGGAGGTCATTTTCTACAAAGTGATTGATTATATATTGCACGGAAAAGAAGACATCAAAGTAATACCGTAAGTAAATCTTTTTCATTTGACAGTTTGCCTTAATCTGAAGTTTTTTATAAACTGTGGTCATGGATTATAATGACAAAACAAATACCACAAAACCAGACTTAGTTATTTATAATAATTTGCAGAACTAGGGAGCAGGGCTTTAAGCAAAATTGGTATATGTATGTACCATGATACTCAGTTGTGATAGATGAACAAGATACATTTAAAACCATGAATAATATATGCCATACATAGCAGAGGGTCAGTAGCCTAATTCCAGTTTGGACACAATCTGTGCTGATATCTGATAACTTGTCTGCTTTCCCGTCTCTCACACAGCAATCCGCCTCCAGATCACTGGGCCTTGAGTAGCGGCCTGCCCACTTACGTTGCTGAGAGTGGTTTTGTGAGTTTCTTTTCATTACTTTACTACGAGCTGTTGAATCAGTAAGGATCAAATGAATGTATGTGCACATCTTCCACCTTGATGAACCTTGTTTTACTTCTGCTCCTCAGATTTGTAACATTATGAATGCAGCTGCTGATGAGACGTTCCAGTTTCAGGTAAGAGACTTCAGTTAGCTAAACTCAGCTGAAAGGAAAAGTGACAGCTCAGGGACACTTATGAGAGAGATCCTTTATACGGCATCAGATGTGCTTGCTTGTTGTTTCAATGTTGCAGACTGAGCCACTCGACAGCAGTGGCTGGACGATAAAAAATGTTCTCTCGCTGCCAATCGTCAACAAAAAAGAAGAGATCGTTGGTGTGGCCACTTTTTACAACAGAAAAGATGGAAAGCCTTTTGATGATCAGGATGAGCAGCTCATGGAGGTATTTTGATCGCTCCTTCTTAACACTGAATTCTGTCACATATGGGATTTTTGTGTAATGAAATACTCACAAGTCTACCAAACAGTGTTATTTGGACTGTATCTGTTATTCATGCTCTCCTGATACATACAGTTACACATTGTGCTGATTTTGATCCCTGTTTCTCAGGCTTTGACCCAGTTCCTGGGCTGGTCCGTTTTGAACACGGACACTTATGACAAGATGAACAAGCTGGAGAATCGGAAAGACATAGCTCAAGACATGGTGCTTTACCATGTCAAATGTCGGGATGATGAGATTCAGAATATCCTGGTCAGCACTGTACTTTATTTTTTCCACCTGTTAATTAGGTCAACCGGTTTAGCTTTACCAAAAGTTCCAATGTGCACATTCTAGCTTTTCTACATTTTTGTTACACACTTCCTTTTACAGTATGAGCTCCACTCTGTTGGAGGTTTAACTACCTAACTAGAACTACTTCCTACTTACAACCTCAATGATTTTCTCATCTCTTCCAGAACACCAGAGAAGTCTATGACTGTGAACCCAGAGACTGTGAAGAGGAGGAGCTCCTAGATATCCTGGTAACACTGAAACCTGTCTGTAATTCAGTCAACACATTTAATTTGTCCCCAAAGTAAATCTTTAGGAGAGGAGGGAAATTTGCATTATTCAAATATTTGGGAGCGCAACACTTAATAAAATAACGTGTCAGCAAAACTGTCATGAATATGCTGCGTACTTATGTTACTTCTGTTCATTTCCCTCTTAGAAAAAAGACCTACCTCCACTGATTAAGAAGTTTGAGATCTATGAGTTCCGCTTTTCGGATTTTAACTGCACAGAGATGGACCTGGTGAAGTGCGGGATCCAGATGTACTATGAGGTCGGGGTAGTCAAAAAGTTCCAGGTCCCTCAAGAGGTGATCTAGACACACAAACGTACATGCACACACAAATTATTATGCATTATTATGAAGCACCAAGCCTGTGTGATTAATCAGCTCTCTCCTCTCAGGTGCTGGTTCGGTTCATGTACTCAGTCAGTAAAGGTTACAGAAAAATCACCTACCACAACTGGCGTCATGGTTTCAACGTGGGGCAGACCATGTTTACACTTCTAACGGTATTCTTTTCTAGTCAATTTACAATAGAAGGTATATATAACTACTCCACTTTCATGCCTGAAGAACGATAACATAACTCAATCATATAAGACATTTTGTGTATTTCTTTGATTTGTGTGCTCAGACAGGAATGCTGAAGCGGTACTACACTGACTTGGAAGTAATGGCCATGATAACTGCAGGCTTTCTCCATGATATTGATCACAGAGGGACCAACAACTTGTACCAAGTCAAGTAAGTGATTCTGAGAACATTTTCATGTTTTAAGAGAAAAAGATTAAGAGAAATAATCAAGCCTTTTGCAAAACTGGTTGTATAGAAAATCAGTCCCCTTCAGAGAGGTACAATTATAACACGGCTGTGTCTTAATGCCATAATAACAATATTAACTGTATGCTATGTGCACTCATACCAGCTTCTATCTGAATGTAAAAGGTTCAAGGTTCAGCTCTATTGTACAACATAGGATTGTACAATGAATGATATGCAATTGTAGCCCCCTTCACGCTGTACACACAGATAATGTATAAACAGATTGAAAAAAAAGTTTAAAATATTTTTTTTGTGGTAATGTAGCTGAAGTTGTAGTTCGTTTGTTTTTTAGTTTTTCAAAGGTTTTTAATGCATCTTAAGCCAGCTTTGATAACAATAAAACATAGTGTTCACTGTGGTCTTTGAAAGTTCATTTTATTCTATGGCTAACTGGTAGAAAAAAGGGTTTCCAGTCTTGAAAGCCATATGTTACACCTTGGTATGATCCTTATACATATATATATGGGTTAAACTTAAAACTTAAAATAAAAATAAACTATCTATACTTGTGTAACTTACGTAGTTATCTCCTAAACAATTTGATTTTCGTGTCCAATTTTGTTCATATCTGAATGTGTGTCAACAGATCTGGCAACCCTCTGGCCAAGCTACATGGCTCCTCCATCTTGGAAAGGCACCATCTAGAGTTTGGAAAGTTCCTCTTGGCTGATGAGGTGAGAAAGAAGAGGTGAACTAGAGAACTAACTTGTGCATTACTGAAATTCCTTGCTAATCACATCCTCCAGTCACTACTTATGAGCGATGTCCATCTCTCTCCTTTCATCTCGCCTGCAGTCACTGAATATCTACCAGAACCTTCACAGGAGACAGGTAGACCATGTGATTCATCTCATGGACATCGCCATCATCGCCACTGACCTGGCTCTTTATTTCAAGTCAGCTCAATCTCTCATTGACTCACACTACCTGTTTATTAACTCATGGTGCTCTTTCTTTTATGTCTTTATTGGAAACATACACAATGATAACTGGTAAATCACTTCCTCTCCTTGTACTTTGCTAGGAAAAGAACCATGTTCCAGAAGATCGTGGACCTTTCGCACACATATGAGGATGAAAAGAAGTGGGTAGATTTCATGTCTCTAGAAACAACCAGAAAAGAAATCGTCATGTGAGTACACCTAGCACGAATATACTGTAGTCCTATGTTCAATTGCATTTCTCTAATCGTCTAAATATTTCCTATTTCAGGGCTATGATGATGACTGCATGTGACTTGTCAGCTATCACCAAACCTTGGGAGGTACAGAGCAAGGTGAGAAACAGAAAAAAGTAATAAATTAGTCACTCACAAAGTCTTTGTCATTTTCTACATATGACTATGTGTGTATCTTTGTTTTGTATGCATCTTTCAGGTTGCCTTGTCTGTAGCAGCAGAGTTTTGGGAGCAGGGTGACCTGGAGAGGACAGTATTGGAACAGCAACCTATTGTGAGTTTAAAAATTGTGGTAGTAAATGTGTAACAGGTGAGGTACAGGTCATATACAAGTCACACCCGGGGTCACTAAAATGGCATAGCAAAGGGATAAATATTGTAGACCAAGAGGGATTCTTCAGAGTTGGTTTGGTACCACATTGTATGCTGATACTATAATATCCTCGGCCAAGCTTCATTAAACATGCTATGTAAGCAATCACGAGTTTCTTTACCACAACTGTCACCTAGCCCACATTCATTTTCAGTGAATATGTACCACTTTGTATTCTGATATCCCGGTGATTTTTTACCTGGAAGTTAGGGTTGTAAACAGCAACACTCTCTCTTTGCTCCCAGCTCCCAGTCAGGGAAGAGTCAATTAGCTAGCTGACTACCATTAGCAGTTAACGGTTAATTTAGCAACAAGTAAAGCTATCTGTCCATCAGGAAATTCAATAAATCACAGAGAGTTGAGGCAGAACAGCCAGAGAACACCTGGCAGCGTGTTTCACGTGTACTACATCAAAGAGAATCCATTTTGCCTGTTTTTGTTGTGGCTTTTTTTGTTGTTTTGCACTTAACTTAAGCTTACACGGAGGACGTCAGATGAGAAGGCGGTCCTAGTGACCCAGGACACATATGTGTACACACTGCTAAAAGACTGTGGCCATATGTAGCCCAGATGACCTTTGAAAGTGGTCTTAACAATAAGGTCTTCAATGCAGGCGTCCTCAATGCACCTTGGGTGCATTCACACCTGTACTTAGTCCTGTCCACTAGTGTTCGGATCACCCAGGGTGCATGTTGATGCCAGGTGTAAACAGAGCCTATGCCTCACTACTCCCAATCACTTAAAGGGCAGCTCTTATTATTAATTTTCGGGATGTTAATATGATGTTTTTGAGTGTCTCAAATGCTTTCTGTCTCTCTCTCCAGCCTATGATGGACAGAAACAAGGCAGCAGAGCTTCCAAAACTACAGTGTGGTTTCATTGACTTTGTCTGCACGTTTGTCTACAAGGTAATGTTAAATATTGCATTTTGACTGATCAACTAAACAGTACATGTTTCTTTTCAGTTTAACTAAAGTTAAATAATTCATTTAGTATATTCCTCCCCTATTTTTCTGCAAGTTTGTACATAAACCTTTATGGTAGGAATGACCAAATAAAAGCCACCCGCTTACTTATTTTCACTGGAGTATCAACAAGTGTGAACAAACCCTCTCACCTAAACTGCTTCGTTTTCATCTTTGCAAACTTAAATAACTTAACAATATTTTATTTCTTTTACTATTTTCTTCTTAGGAGTTTTCTCGCTTCCACCCACAAATCCAGCCCATGCTGGATGGCATCCTAAACAACAGGAAGGAGTGGAATGCTAGAAAAGAAGAGTATGAGGCTAAACTGAAAGCCATAGAAGACGAGAAGGCTGCTAAAGAGGCAGCCGCAGCCAGTAAAGGTGTTGTGACACTTTGCAATAATCAAACATTAAAATGTATTACAGCTGCTGCAATGACGTTTGCCCAATCTTATAGTAATTTCATGCGTGCCATTGATCTATGTAGTGCAAGAACCAACATCTAACTAGGAACACTGATCCTAAAAAGTTACTATTGGGCTTTTCAGTTTGAATGCTGAAATCAACCTAAACAATTAAGCTTATTTACTAAATGTTGCTAATCCACAAAAATATTGACCCTTTTCATTGATGTTGTCTTTGTCCCCCCAGGTACTACAAACAACACCAGTGGTGGAGGCTCCAAGACCTGCTCAGTGTGCTAAAAGGTCAAAAGTCTGTGCACATGATGGGCGTGCACATTGACAGCTCATGACAGACTGACTTACAGTATTACCTGGGTACCACAGCCAGTCAGTCAGTCTCAACACCAGTAAAGTACATAAAGTAAATAAAGTCAGAAAGACAGATATGCGAGTGAATGCACAGCCCCGTAGTATTTCTTCAGATAAACTGGTTCAGATCAGAAAAGAAAAACCTGAACATGGAAAGAATCCTCACCAACAAGAGCAATGTTTTAACACTAACCAGGTGATATAAAAAATGAATCCAGAACAAGGCAAGTCACAGGGTATTTTGAGGATTAATCTTAGTTCAGATGGAAAGATGCTGCATGTATGTATGTGTGCTTGTTTGTTGTGTGACACACTTTTATTTTTCTTTAAAGTAGTTATGAAACACAGCAAAAATGAGAGGATAAAACTTGTACATACATCTGTGTAGTAAATGATACCCATGTACAGTATGTATTATGTAAGTGTGACAGTAAAAGTTCAGTCTTTGCTGCAAAGCCCAAGTCACTGTAGATTGTTTATCATGTTTGGAGTATATTGTACATTAACATAATAGTCAGCTAGGGTTTCAGAATGTAAAATCAAATAACGGGTAGAAAGAACTATAATGAAACTACTGTACATATTCCAATAATTCAAAATGACCATATCATGTTCACATCTTCCAGTCACTTACCATTTACATCTGAGAGTTTGTTTACCTTGATTTCAGATAGATGACAAGACTGCCGCAGTAAAAGATGCATATACATATTAGTGTGGTTCCTTTTTATGGCAAAGGCATAGAAATTTTACTTTACTGTCCGCGAACAAGCCTGTAGTTGCTTCTTCATGATGCCTTCATACTGTACATACGTCTGAGAGTAGTTGAGAATGTTATATCTTATGAATAATTACAAATGTCTTATTAATCAAGAGCACATTGAAACTCAGTCACTATTCTGGAAATTAGATTGTTCTGTGTGAACTGAATAATTGGACCTCAAAGGCAATCCCACTTTTTTATGGTGGCAGGAGGAACCATCTGTCTCCAACTACTGCAAATATTTACCACTTATTAATCCCTGTTGGGAATTTCATCCTCTGCAATGGTCCCATCCATAAATAGGAGCAGGGGTCAGCCCTAGCACCCGAGGACTGTAGTTCTGAGGCCACTGTCTTGGAGTATTTATAATAGCAAACAACGATATGTTTTAATGTGAAAGGAAACGTAAAAGTAGAGAACAAGCAAACTCCACACAAAAAAGGATCAGGTCAAAGACCTGACCCCGGGGACTGTGACGCAACAGCGCTAACCCACTCGTCCACCATGTATCTGCACTAACAATTTCTGCAGACAGACAATGAAGGCTGCAAAGAGCTGTTTGAGACAAAACAAGTTCTTGTAATGACTTGTAATGTACATATTTTCTTCCTCCCTGTACATATATAAAAAAATATTTTTCTAGTTGAAATATAGAAGCTTATTTTGTAAACAGTGAAATTAGTGTGATTTGTAAGCACTGGCAAATGAGGCATAAAGTAATTTCTTATTCCCTTAAATTATTGAGATATGGCTGTTTTTTTAATGGCTGCTTGCCTCAGCTTACTGATGTACAAGTCAGTGGGTGTTTCAGAGATGGCCGTGTAATATTAGGCAATAAATGCACCTTAATATGCTGTGGATGAAGCCATTAACATTTTAAATAGACTTCACTTTATGGTCAGTATGTTAAAGCTTGCTTCTTAATGTGCTCCATGTGTACAATGATGTCTCAAATAAAGCAAATGTATTTTTATGAGGTAAACGTGTGAATTAATTGAATGAGATACAGAAACTTGCTTACAAACTAAAATGACTAACTTTATACTTATTGACTGGTAACTAACTATTCACTGATTAAGCATACCCACAACTGACTGACTTTTATAGACATCTCACTAATTTGGTTTTTGTTTTTTGTTTTTTTTTTAAAGACGACAATTTGTTGAGAACACAAAATCTGCTATTACTTAGCTATCACAATGCTATAGCATGTACTATATAAAGATAAAGGCTATTTAGATTTCATAAGGTTACAATATTACACAACTTAAAAGTATTGAGGGAACACTTCTGTCCACACTGCACTTTCTACAACTGGTCCCTGACCCCAATCCTGGGATTGCTGCTAAACTAGGCCAGGATTACAACTGTGCTCTTCCCTCAGGCTCATCTCTTACTGAAGGACAGGTACACAACACACACACACACACACACACACACACACACACACACACACACACACACACACACACACACACACACACACACACACACACACACACACACACACACACACACACACACACACACACACACACACACACACACACACACACACACACACACACAGAGAGAGAGAAAACGTGTGTACTTCACATATCATGCAACTAACAACCAACCTACATCTGAAGAATTAGATGAATTTACATGGTTTGATGTTATTTTGTAACTTAGTATGAAATTAAACCACAGACATAAAAAAGAACACAAGAACCCTTGATTATTACATGAAAAATATTTATTTCTTTTTATTGAGTTTGGAACATAACGACTCAGGTCCAGAGAGAATTCATTGGAGGATGGAGTCAGAATTTGCTGCAGAAAAGAGAACAAGAGGGAAACACAAATGACATTTTGTGGACATAATGTCAAAATGTGTGATTCGAATTCAGGCTGCGCAATTTCAATAATATTGCAATATTTTTAGGCTATATTGCAGTACACACTATATCTTGATATACAATTTCTGTCTAAAATAATTCTCAAATAGTGCAAACATGATAATCTTCTAGAATATGATGCACTGCTGTAGAATAAACTACTAGGGTCTGAATCTTTGAGTGTCTCACAATTTGATTCAAAACTCGATTCAAAATGATTTTTGATTTAAATATCGATTCTTGATTCAATACACAGGGGTACTAATTTCAGGATCTACTCCAGTCTTCTGTGAGCCTGGCCATTTTGTAGTGTTCCAGAAGTAGTTGGTTTTCATTTTGCATGGGGAGAAATGTTGCTGGGGCTATCAACTATTTTGATAATAGTAATTATTCATGTAAAGACATTTGATCGTTCCAGCTTGACAAATGTGAAGATTTGATTTTCTTCTCAATAACTTTAATTTATTGTTAATAATATTGAGGTTGGACTGTTGGTCGAGGTTCGCATTTTTCTGCATTCAGTACTTTTAGTACATTTTCCTGATTATATGTACAATGTTTGACTTAACATTTCCAATGCAGGACAGAGTATCAGAGTTATTTAACTTTTAGTGCTAACCAGAGGTAGAAGAATACTTCTTCAAAAAGTACAGAGCCTTTCCCTTTAAAGGAAGGTGGCTTTGTGGATAACCTGTGTGTGACAAAGTCTAGTGGGTTTGTTGTGAAAGTGAGTCTTTCCTAGTGTTTAAGGGGTAATTACTTTACTTTAGTCAGCCATAATGTGTGTAGATAAGCTTGGGTTGCAGTACGATAGTTACTGAATGGCTGTGTGTTGTGCTTGCTGCAACAGAAAATAAATTACAAAGTCAGTTTATGTAACGTTACTACGGCATCTTATACTCCTCACAGCAGAGTTGCTCCAGACTGTAAAAAGCCAGAAAGTTAGCAGCTACTAGTTAGGCTAAAGTCAATTAAAATAGCTTATAACCAGAGGTGTCCCAAATATGTTTTAAAGACGGTAATTAAAGCTAATTAAATCACAGTGACTTGTAGCTGCTAACTAGCTTGCTTTTCATCGTTTTTCCATTTTTCATACCTCAGCAGCAACCAGCAGAATCACTGAAAACTCAAATATGACGCAATATGGTCATCTGCTCTATCACAAATTAATTAAAATTCAAATATATTAGACATATAGTCACAAAGAGACTGGGTGGTCTGGTGTTACCTTCAGACAGTTGTTTGTAGATGCGCTCCTGCTCCTCTCGGATCTTCTTCTCCGCTTCTTCTACCATTCTCTCCTGCTCAGCTATGGGCTTTAGGTACTCTGATCAAGAATAACACCACAACCGGTCATTATTTCAAAACGAACGCTGAACATTTTTAATTTAGCTTTATGCAGTGAACAAAATATCCTAATGACAATCAAGGGGTCCAGCCTCATGCACACAGTAATAAGTAGATTTACATTATACTTTAAGAGCACATATATACTCCATATATACAAACTTTATAAATTAGAGCAGGCATATGTCAGCCACTCATTTCAAACATCCTTTATCACAGGAAAATATTGGAAATGTTCTATTTTGTATTTAAAGCCCCTCCAAAAATCTGATTCTAAGGGTTTCATGGGGTCATTGGTGTTAATTAAGGGGCCTGACACCCTTGTGGTGAATTTGCTTTGTAAAGTAAACTTAGTATTTAATTTTATTCCTACCGCTATAATAATAAAAAAAATGGTAGTTTGAGTATCAAACACTCATGTAGATTTGAAAGGTAGCTCTCTATGGCTCTTTTGTTGTCAAGTGAACCCTGTAAGTATCTGATGGAATTAATCTATCATATACCCAACTATTTAACATTCATCATATTAAGAGAGTTTCACTATTTCCATTACATCCTTGTGTTTAATTATTGCCCGTGAAGACTGGACATTGTGATTATGACAGGCTGGCGCATGCGCAGAAATCAGCTTACCAAACCTCTGCTTGCCGTAGAAGACGCCGAGCAGCAGGGCAGACCACCTGGCCGTCTGAAATAAAGGGGATTCAGACATATTAACGACTGTAAGCCATGTCTAGGTAGCTAACTGAGTTATTTGAGACATCTCTGCAAGACATAAGCTGTCAATGAAGTTATTTTCAAAGAATGTAAAATTCCCACTGCACGACTACATTAACGTGACCGTCACTTTTTATTATAATAAAAACAATTACAATTATAAGATGAGAGGAAGTCACCGTTTGTTTCTACGTTTCTGTCTTTAACTAAATACAGGGTGCGGTCACCGTTTAACAAGATAACACTTCAAGTTAGTACTATATAGACGTTCTTGCGGAGGAAAGTTCACCTGTATGTTAACCAACAGCCTGTCAATGTCATTGCTAGCAAACATTAGCTAAAATGCTACTTGAACAGCTAACATGAGCAGCCATGGTGCCGACGTCTTGAGGGGAAAGCTGGGGTTTAATTAAGCTATTCTATTTAGATGAACAAAATTACAACGCTCACAATCAGGACAAATATTTTTTGTTATTACCTTGATGAGCGGGGACACTGCGACTGGCGGAACCATTGCGATGCGAGGAAGTAACTTCCGGGCCGGGGCGGAAGTAATCATTTTATCCCTTTTTTTTCTTGACATATAAGAGGAAAATTAAAATCAACATAACCACAGTTAATTATACTGTTAGCCAAACGTCAGTTTCCGAAATATATAGTGAAAATATAAAAAATGTATTTGTTCGCTTTTTTTCTCGCTGCAAACGATGTACGAAAGTGTCTTTGAAAGCAACAGACAAACACCATTTGAGAGTGAACTCACCACCTTCACAAGGTAATGATACCTAAACAGAGTTTACAAATAAATGTACACTCAGCTAAATGAATAAACAAATAAACAGTTGATCATTGAGATAAGGGAAATATTGTAAATGACTTGAACCTTGCTTCATACAAAATTCCATACTTGGCAGTAAAATGCATTTTATCTTATATGAGACACTTTTATACAGCTATATCAAAGCAGGTGCACTGCTTGAAAGATGCAATAAAAACCTAATAAGTATTATCTCTGGCATGTTTCCTGAATCAAGAATCAATTACTGACTTTTTCTTGATACCCAGAATCCCAATGTTAAGTTTGCTATTGTTGCAGTTCCTGGTTGCTCCCAATAGATGGCAATGATTCCCTTCTTACACATAAACTGCACAGAGATGGTAATGATGGAGGAGCTGCAATTTCTTTGTGGCTGAGTTCTGGACACATTAAAATGTGTCCATTTAGCCATGCACACATCATACACCTGCACACATGTCACTCAAGTATACAAGCATCATACAACAGTGCACAATAACATGCACAATATCATTTAATAGTCAGATATACCACTGGGAAATGAGCACTGTCTCTATAGCAGACATGCCACAACAGACCAAACTAAGGGGTGTAGAGAAAAATAACACTTTCCCCCCCAAAATGTAATTTGTATTATATATGTACAGGAGGCACTTTGCCACTAATACAATAGTTTAGTCTTCAAGTTGAAACTTAAGACAAAGACACCAGAGTAATCTGATAACATTTCAGCTGGTCTTGCAGATAGAAATGGAATATACATACAGTATCTTGGACATTAAATAAAATTGCAAGTAATGTTTACAACTTTATTTAAACATGTAGCTAATCTAAACAGTAGAGAAAAAATAAAGAAATACAGGTAAATTGATGCTTTGGAGTTTCTGAAAGCAGTCAAAAAGAGGAAATATTGAAGAAAACTGCAATATGAAATATGCAAATACTGTTGTTCCAACAAATGTTTCCCACTTTGCTGAGGCGTTATAGCCACATTAAATAATTTGTTTGTTTGTTTTTTTGAAGAAACACAAGCAAAAACAGAAGAATAATGCTGTTCTAAAGTAATTAAAGCTAGCCTTGTTCCAGGTATCTGAACCATTGTCCATGTCCAATTTATTCAGTGATTCAAATATTGATTGATAAAAAATTAAATGAAAATGAAATGACAATTCAGTCTGATTATCAGGCTAACCAAAAGCAGCTCCTAATGTATATCATCAGTACACATAATAAATAACATGAACAATATCAGTGTAAAACATTGAACCCAGATCAGGATGTTTTTTTTAATCGTTGTCATAGATGCAATCTGAAAAGAAAATATAATACTCGTTAAAAAGATTATTAATGGTGATTCAGATTCGACAGAGATATCTACAAATGATATATTCACATGAAATGCTGAAAGATAAACTGAAAAACATACCGTCTCCGATATCATCGTAGATTTCACCGTCGCTGTAAAAGGAAACGAAAAGGTCAGTACAGAAAGCATGTTGTTAAGTCTCTCTTTCTTAGTATGTGTATGTACGGATCTGTTAATGTTTGTGGTACTTACTCCATATCAATGTGGTTGGTTGAAACATAACCAACTGTAAAAAACAAATGGCATATTTTAGATTTGGACGGTCCAATTTTGTGGTGCACATGATGAAAAAGTAGCACATGTATTGATTTGTTTCCCTAATAACAAGCAGCAGATACTCACACTTGCCATCCTCGTTCCGACAGATCAATTTGTTATCCACGGCTTTAACAATGACGTCCAGTTTTTCACCTGCTTTGACCGGAAGCTCTTTTACAGCCCACTTCTTATTATTAAGTGTTGGGATGATGGTCACCTGGTACAGCACCTGTATCGCCCCGTCATACTGAAAGAGATGTAGAATTGTCAATATTGAATTTGATGACAATGTATAGATTAGAATTTTACATCCTTAATAGCGCATTGCAAAAGTAATTTTAAGAACTCAAGTCTAACTTTATCTTGACAGGTTTATTTGTTGTTAAAGTATTAATACATTTAAATTAACGAGCAATATGTTTCTTGCACTGCAGAGCTATTTCACTTTTTTCAACATGTGGGATCATGCGGAATCAACTGTAAGAGGGGTGGATTGATACACAAATACATAATAGAGAGACAAACTTTAAACTTTTTCCTGAATTCCTTCTCCTCTTTCTCAAACTTTTTCTGTTTCTTTGGGTCCATCTCTTCAGTCTTGCTTTTGCCTTTAAGTGGAAGGCTGGAGAGCAAACAAAAAAAAAATGTGAGTAAAATATTAATTGATTCTTTTGTTACTAATTATTTTATGTCAACCGAAATATATCTTCTGAGTTGTGAAAATACACTTGAAATCATTGATCTAAATGTTTGTTTAGGGATTGAATTGTAATTGTACCTGCTTAGGGGAGGAAGGGGAGGCAAATTTTGAGAGTCAACATCATCGTATATTTCCTCATCTGCCCCTGGCTGATCTGCAATAACACATGGAAGAAGTCAGTGGTGTGAATTTTTTTTTTTTTTTCAAATGTAGACGCCTCACATTAACATGCATTCAGATTTGGCAGGTTTCAGACAGACTACAAATAAAATCAATCATAAACTATAAAATATATAAAGAGGAGGTGTCAAGTAATTTGCATTTTGGCTAGTGAATCATGAAAGCTGACATAAAAGGATTCCAAATCATAAATGAATATAAACCACCAGTACAAACATTTCCTGTTAGTGATGTTGAGGGAGTGTTATTTAAAGTGCGAATATGTAACTTTTGCTAACACCAAGTTACGATGGCAGTATAATGGTAAAAGCCAAAATGTAACATAACAGAAACACAAGTAGAGAACAGTCATAAAGTCAGCAAAGTGACTCAGTAATGGAAATTTCAAAGACAATTTCTATCTTAAGTTTGCTCAAATTATTTAACATTAGCCACTGTGAGGTACTGGTCATACCAGCCCAAGTAAAGCTGTAGCAGAAAAAAAACCCCTATGTGTATTGAATTGAGAAGAGAATTGGCGTGTTCTATTGCTTATGACAGGGGTTCTTAACCTTTCTGGCAGTCCGTACCCTTTTTGGAAGTTGAAAATATTTTGCGCGTCGCCGACTCATCCTAAAATAAGCCTTAAACCGACCATCAACGAGGCTCCTGGACCAGCTCGTAGGCTACTACCAGCGGTGTCTCCCCATTCTGAGGGTCTCATGTGCCCACACAGGTCTTCCTTTCCCTGTCTCCTGCGTTTGTAGGCTCCACCTCACACACTCAAACAGTGCCAGAGCAGGCGCTTTCCGTTTGTCAAGTTTCTGCTAATATCGGACTGCCAGTTATTAGGGCAAACCAAAGATTACACATCGCTGGCGCTATAGCCTATTCTTTCATTAGACTGACAGGACAGCTGATTCGGTGGTTGCCTATCAACATTAAAAACCGCAGCGCTTTGCTCTTTTCTAAATTCAACCAAAAAAAGCAGTGCTGTGCGCCTCGCGTTTTCGAACCTGCAAAGCGCTTTCTGTCTGATCGGGGCCTGATTCTTCTTTGTCGTTTTATAGTAGTTGGCATTACCGCCACCTACTGGATTAAACAGCGCAAAATATTTACAGTGTCCAGCCAAAGTGATACCATTCACAACTGTAGTCCGTCTAGTTATTTTTAAGTTATTTTCTTTCTAGCTATTTTTGTGTTTATAGTAGCATTCTGGCGAACCCCCTGGGAACAGGTCGCCCCCAGGTTAAGAACCACTGGCTTATGAATCAGCTTTTTATTTGTAAGAGGAATAATGTGTTTATACCTTCTATCAAAAGTTACATAGTCTTACTTTAATAATGACAATCAAGGACCAATAACTTGTGTTTTGGGTAAATAAATGACCAAAGGCCAGTTGCATAAGGGGAGGTGTACCTTTATAAAAGGCTCTGCCACATATCTCTTTTCATTAAATATCCATTTAAAACATAGAAGGATTATGGTGTTATACCTGAATTTGCATCTGTAGTAAACTGGCTGGGTGGAGGCACTCTGGCACAACAGAAGAACAATTATTAAAATGTTACATACATTAATAATCGTATTCATGAATTACAACACAATATTTTAATTAAGAGAAGGGTGGTGGCTGATTTGACAAGAAAACATCAGCTACGGAGTAGGATAGTATACTTGTTAGAACATGCTTGTAACGGTGTTAGCAGATGGTGCCTTGATTTTCGGATTAAGACAACAGCCACACATCAATTTCAGACATGCAAATGACTCGAGAAGATTAGTAAAATCACAGATAATCAACCTCACTGATTGTAATCACAACACTTGAATTTCAATTTGCAAGTTGACATCCTTCAGTAAGAGGGGAAGGTGGTTTATCTGATCTGGGGAGGAAATCAACATTCAAAGGCAACTTCATCTGAGAAGGACTTTCATTAAAAGGGGAGTGACGGCGGCAGGATTAGGGATTGACAATGGTGTACAGTAGATCAGTGATCAGTCTTACTACTGAGTGTATTTTACTCTTTAGTGCTGACATGACGTCTGTTCCGGTCAAACATCCATAGGAAGGCACGAGGTTTCATAGGAGAAGACCTCAGGTCCAGGGGACTAGAGAGCCAACCAATGATGAAAAGACCTGCATTTCTTTTCTGTTTCATTTTTGAATCTTTCCTGTGTATCCATCTCCATTTAGCATTTGCATTCAATATTTGTAAAAGAGTTCAAGCATGTTGTACTGAAACACTCATTCTCCATTTACCCTTTTCTTGTAAACAAATAAATCAGTCCCCACCTGACTTCAAGGTTTGGATCAATAACATCATCATATATCTCTCCTCCATCTCCTGGTAGTGGGGGTAAGACAACTACAGGACAAAAGTAAATACATAATTTAATTGATTGCTTGACAATATCTGAATCCCAACATTGAAACTGAATATAATGAAATGTATTGGGTTTTGCAAGATTTTAAGCATACCTCCTGGTCCTTTGATCCCACTGTAGAGAAAAAACGAAAGAAGAGGAAACAGGGTCCAAATGTAAACCACCTATTTCTTTAATTTTGTGTTGCATGAATCGCTATTTGAGCATTTCCACTTGGTGGGGCATGAAAGTGAATCATGGCCAAGAATGCAAAAACATATTTCCCAAAATGACAAACTATTCATTTAAGATTTTGGATCACACCTAGAACAAACACCCTACCACATTGCAGTGTCCTAAATTGCAAATACAAAGCTTTCTGAATACTCCAGAACTCATATTCACGGTTATGTAGTAATGCCATTCAGTATACCAAACAGACTGAAAAGATGGGATTTCTCAAAAACAAAGGTGATATTTTTACAACTAATGTCGGTGTGAGTGTGTTGCGTAATGTTGATTTTTTTCTTATTGACGGTTTATAATGTTAACAAAATATTTCTGACACCAGTGGCTCCTAGCCTTTCACTAGTCTCTATTCTTACAAAGTGCAAAAAACACAAGTGGAGCTAGAATATATAATTTGAAGTTCCTGGTACCTGTTATCAGGAGAGGCCACGTCAATATCATCATACACTTCAGGGTCGTATGCCGGCTGAGCTTTACGATTCTTCAGAGTGTCAAAGTCAATTTCCACTGAAGTGGTCTTCACATAACCAACTGTTAAAAACAAAGTAAAATATTAATTTAATTTATTGGGATTAATTAGGATTCTGGGCATAATTTATGGCATGTTTGTAGCTCAAATTTAGACAACAAAAATTAGAAATGAGAATAGGTGGAAAACAAGGTTGAGAGATGTAATTAAAAGTCTTATCCTGTATTTACAGATGGACGGGATGTATATTATGGCAAAAAAAGAAGACAGGTGAACGATGACAAGCAAAGGCAAAGATAAACGAAGAAAATGAGACTAATGAGGCATCGATATGTTTACTTACTGGACCCATCCTGCGACCGTCCCAACCATTTTCCCTCTGGGTTGCCCTGGACACGAATGATGTCCAGACCCTCTCCCTGCTTCAGAGCAAGGTCGGTTTTACTGCCTCGGCAATCCAAACGAGCCTTTCCTTGGTGGATGACCTCCAGGGGGCCAACCAACTAACACACATAGCCACGCACAAACATATATGCAAACGCACACACAACCACCCCCCCCAAAAGATTATTACTTATTATTACTTTATGACATGATTATAACAGAACAAGATATTTGTCACTTTTTGTAGAGCCACAAAGGACATAGATATAACTAAAAACAAGAGTGTATTCATATGGTGGGGCACTTTGTGTGTTTGTGTGTGCACATGTACTGTGCTTAATGGATATACCAGGTCTCTGAAAATAGGAAAGTGTAGTAAATATTCAAAGGAGAGTTTGTTATTATGAGAAATTCACTTTCTTGGTGAGAGTTAGATGAGAAGATTGATACCAGTCTCATGTCTGTCAAATATGAAGCTTGTTACCATCCGGTAAAACCAAAACATGTCATCTTTACATTTCTGTTTGTGTACGGATTAAACAAATGAGGTACTATGTAAATTAATGGACTTTAGAAGTGTCAGTAGGTATATTGTGTTACCTTTGGACAGAGCCAGGTAAGCAGTTTCCCCCTGCTTCCAGTCTTTATGCTAAGCTAAGCTAATTGTCTCCTGGCTCAAGCTTCATATTTTAGCATACAGACATGAGAGTGGTATCAATCTTCTCATCTTAACTCTCGGCAAGAAAGCAAATAATACATTTCCAAAATGTCAAACTATTTCTTTCAGCTGCCAAGTCAGGTTTAGCTGAGAGTTCCAGTTTCTTTACTCACTTTGAATTTCTTTCTGGCATCTTGCTCCTTCTTCTCACGTTCCTTCTGCTCTTTCTTTTCAGCCTCTAGTCGTTTTTTCTCCTCCTTCTCGGATTTCTCTTTTGTCTTATCTTGTTTTTGCTCAGCTGCTTCCCTTTTGAGAGTAAGACAGAGAGTACCAAAGAGTTAGTTATAATGTACAGTATGATAGTATGTTAGCCTAAGCTAATTTTGCATCACTAGACAGCGTTTTCTAATACACAATCATAGAAAACGCAAATTATAATAAAAAAGTTTCACGTAGATAAACTCCTGAGGAAATGCACCTAATCACCCCTTCATGCCATACATCCACTAAAAAGCTCACCCCTTATAGAGTGCTGCATTGATGACGTATATTTGTAACCCAATCCAAAAGTTAGATTTGCCCCGGTTCCTTCAACAAAAGCCAATGGGATTTCCCCATTTGATTTTGGATTAGCCTATTGCAGAAAATAAGTTCTGTGGAACATACTTATATGATACATGTTTCATTCAGCAAGATTATCTTCATAAATGCAATCACTTTTATGATTTTTTGAAGTGTAAATACAGTCGCCAGAAGTAAAAAAAAAAAAAAACTAACATTAGGGTGGTGACAAACTACACCACAGTTCATGACTCCAGTATCACCACCATTAAGCTTCCAAATTCTAATTTGATTTTGCTTCTTCTTGCTTCTTTGCAACCCTAGACTTTATATAAAAAGTTTGCAACTTCTAATTTCTTTTTCGTGTGAGGACGTTTAATGTCGCCGACAACCTCTGTAGTCCCATTTAGCCACTTGGTAGCAACCGGCTTTTTAAAGAAACGTAAAAGCTTCAAAGTTCAAGTAGTATTTAATGACATATTTTATCTTGTAGAACAAAACATGAAAATCTCTTGAGCTTGTGTTAATCACAAACCTTATCTCAGGCATCTAGCCAAAAAAACCAGTCCAAAAATACATACACTTCTAGATGAGGAAGTGCAAAAATGCTAACTCATTTCAGGGTTTTATGACTCCTTTCTGCTGCTGTCTATAAACTCCCTGAACAGACAAAGCCATACAAAAGAGAACACTTATTTTCTTCTCTGTTTTCAATTGAAAGTACATCTGAGTGGGATTGAATGACTTCTTGTAGCGTTGCAAAATAACCACCAGAGAGTAGTGTTAGTAAAGAAGACATGAACACAGATGAACATAGTTAAGTGAAATCACATACATTGTTAAACATGTGTAAAAAATAAAACTTAAACACATCTTAAATCTTTTCACTTCACTAATCTGTCCATACACAAATAATGTGGACTGTGAACCTGATTCAAAGACAGAGGTCAGAATCAGTGAAGTTTAAAAAAAGGTTTAACAAAGAACAATTCTCACCATCGTTCATCAAGGTCCTCATACATCTCTCCATCATCATCATCACCATCATTTTCCTCCTGGGCCAGAGTAAAGCAGAATGAATAAAAACAGCAACAAAAAATAGCAACTCATTCAGCGACAATGATGATTCAGTATAGTCAATTCATATTGAAAATTTGTGTGGAAGGATACGTTCATACACGTAACACCTCTAGATTCATGAGCACACATGCATGTTCTTATCTGAGTCTGTGTAGGTCTATGTGTCAGCATCTGCACATGTAAATACGTATTTATATGAGTGAAAGTAATTCAGCATGTCTCACCTTTGCCCTCTGACTCGGGTGAGCTAAAGAGAAACAATGAATCAACGTTAAATGAGAATTTTTTTGTGGTTTTGTTTTTTTGGGAATAGCAACAATCATCATGAACTGACTCATACTTAAGTTCTATCTATTTTTAGTATTTTTGTAACTGTCACAGAGTTGCTCAAACATTTTATCTCTTGATTATTTATGTGGTAAGATTCATAGAATGAGAACTAAACTGTCAAGACAACCATTGATGGAAACTGCAGTCACTAAAATAACTGTCTTGAAGCAGGTAAAAGTTGCTAACCACAAGACAGACTACACTGCTAAGAAATAGCAATATACTAATGTACTTGCATGCACTTGTCTTCCTTTAGTTGCTAAAAAAACAAATGGCTTGCAACATGGAAGTCACTAAATTTGATCAAATAGTGACAGTTACTGAACCTGTAGATGGAGGTAGAGGTGGAGGAGAGCTGTTGAATTCATCAACATCATCATATACTTCATCTTCCTGGATCCTGAAAAGTCAGGATTTACCTTTGGTTAACAGGAGGAGCTTTACCTACAAAACATACAGTATATATCTTTGGTAGGTGTGTTTGTGTGTGCATCAGCGTGTGACTTACATGGTTCCAGGGTGTCGTGGGGGCAGACTGGGAAGTGCTGTCTGAGGGGGTTGAGTCGGGTGAGAGGCCGGAGGAGTTGGGATGATGGGTTTCTTAAAGGTGCTAGGAGCTATAACAAAACACATAGTGTTAAAAAAGAGTAGATATTTCAACTCTTACTTACAAAGTCAGTGGTATATCTTACAGTATATTATTATGATTATGATTGGTGACGCATTATTGTGTATGCAGCTTTTACTGTTTTACTGTTTTAACTACTTTATACTGTATACTGCTGAATAATTGAATTCTAATACTTAATATTTTATCTGCTCATCACAGGTTTTGCATGTAAAAATGCAATCTGCAAAGTAACTACTACTGGAATAGAATATGTGCCAGTGTAACTCAAACTTTTTTTGGTCTTCCAGTATTTGCCCATTCATTTTTCACCAATCACTCGAAACTCTCCCTGTGTGCTGGAACTTCATTTCCCCATGTGCTGAAACCAACTCAGCTGTCAGAGCAGAGAGCGAGGGGGAAGGAGAAAGGAGAAACTTGACAGGGAACTTGGCTAAGGGAAATAGAGGAACCAAGTGCATTTCTGTGACTTTGGTCTCTTGTCTGGAGCTCTGAATAACTGCACAGCAGCTTCTGTCTAACTTTCACTAATTCCAAATTAGCTGCTGTTTAAACATATCTTGAAGGGTAAAAACAAAAGGACTTTTATTGCTGTCATGCACAAACAGAAGTTGTTTGCGTTGGTCAGCTAATAAAGTGAACTCAACAACTGCACGCTACACATTGCTAATGTCACTGAAACCACACTAACTGGTGAAGGAAGTCTTTTTCACACTTCTGAAATGTCTTCACATAGCCTGTCCAAAGTAGTGCTGCTAGTGACAGAGAGGAAATGCACAAAATAAGAGGAACTCCTTCTGTCATGAGACCTGCAAACTGTTTGCCTCCCTCTGCCATTTATCTTAGAGAGAGCGTTGGCAATCTCAAATAGTGTTGCTTGTTTATATGGAAAGAAATTATGCAAACATCTTTTCCATTGTTTTCTTTACTGTATTTGTTGCTTAATGGTTGAGAGCAGGAGAGCAATAACATATCATACTAAACAGAAAACAAATTATGCAAATGCAGCTAGATATAGTTGAAGTATCCCTACCTTCAACACATTGCTTTCTTTTTTTCTTGAAAACAATTTTCATTCCTTTTGGGAAAGCTTATGTTTTTAATTAGTTGGTGATTTAGTTATGCTTTATTCATTCAGGTCAGTATGTTTTTTGCAGCACAGACCTGAGATGACATTACCAAAAGATCACAGCAGGATTGATTATGAGGTCATATGTCCATACTTCCCTGTGCAGAGCAACCCCACCCCCTGAGACATTTTTATTAGGAACCAACTGTAATATTTATTTATATATATATATATATATATATATATATATATATATAATAGTAAGTCCCTTTATAGCTCTGGGCTAAAACAGTCAAGTGTATGAATATTGACTTAAAACAGATCACAATCTGATCATAAGAATCGGAATCAGCCTTTGCATGTTGTTAAATCCCCTGAATTCCCCAAAACAAAGCTGTGTGTCCTCACTGGCACCTAGTAATCACAAATTACTTATCGACACCATCACTGCCAGAAGATTTATTCTTACTAACTTCAAATGTTGTCCAGTTCATTCCAGTAGTAACGTGACTGCTGCAGTTTGGACATTAGTTAATTCTTTACATTCAGATATGTTCAGTTTCAAGGCCCAAACATTTACCAATCCATGAAGCAGTTGTTTTGGTTTGAGCTTTATACTTTTGCGACTGTTCACCAGAACCAATCAGTCAATACCAATATAGGAACCCACCAAAACGAATGTGTGAACAGTGGGTGAAATTAGGAAAATAAATGAGCAAAGGAGCCACCTTTCACTAAGCTCTTGCAAAAGCATAACTGGATACTTTCTGTTGAATCTAAATTAAGAATGCTTACTTGATTGTATCTGGGGCTCTAAAAGTGTGATCACGCATTTTGAGACACTGAGTGTTAAGTTATTATTTTGGTAGTGCCTGTGACCACAGCTTCCAAGACGAGCAACTTTGACTCTCTGATGAGTGATTTTGTTTGTTTAAATGCTGATATAGTATCTCCTCAGAATTAGTTGTTTTGTTCACATGTCTATAGTGTCACAATTAAACAAACAAAGCTATTAATGCAAGTCCAACTTACCATCATCAGAGGCCTCTGCACGTTTTTTAAAGTTCTCCAGGTTGACTTTGGGGGGTCGGTTGGGCTTGGCAGGAGCAGGACCCAAAGCTAAACTGTTGGGGAGGGGGTTACGCTTGGGGCCTGAAGTGGCGTCACCGTTAACGCTACTGGTCTGAGGAGAAGGCTTTGGCGGCTTCTTTAAGCTAGGTTTTTTATTGGCTGGAGGTTTGGGAGGAATGGTGGAGTTAGTAGCAGCAAAGGAAGGCTTGCTGGCTTCGACAGCGTTAACGCCACTATCTGACTGCTCAGTTGTGTCCTTCTCCTTGTTGAAGATGTTCTGAGCAGTTCTGAAGTTGGAGGGGGACTTAAAAGTGGAGTTTGCCGGAGGTAAAGGTTTGCTTGTACTGTCCGTGTTAGCTCCTGCCATCTCTTCATTTTGCTGACGTAATTTTATAATGCTGCTGCTTGGTTTCTGTTGTACAGGAGGCATTTTGGGAGGTGTGGAGCTGTTTAGGCCCCCGCCACTGTCTTCTTTCACCCAGCTGGGCTTAGAGCTAAGTACTGGAGGGGGTTTAGGAATTACAGTTTTGGAGTCGGACAGAGGGGAGCTGAGGGAGGGCTTGTTGAAAGGGAGCTTCTGTACTGGGCTTTTAGCATCAGGAGCCGGGGAAATAGGTGGCTTCAAGGGTATCTGCTGTTTATTAGCAAGGAAAGGTTTGCTGTTGGTGTTGGTGTCATCCTGGGTGTTTGCAAACCTGCTAGCCAGGGCTTTAGTTTTGTTTAGTTCATGTGCCTCTGTGTCACTTTTTGTTGATACTGTACTTTTCAGGAAAGTGGGTTTAGAAGGAGCATTTATTGCACTGCCTGAGAGGCTCTCCAAGACAGGTTTCTTGGTCTGTACGATCGGGCCGGCGGAGATGGTGGGGTGCAGGGGTTGTTTGGGACGTCCAGCCGGTGCGGAAGAAGTTTCGTCAGTGCTGGCCCCACTCGCTTGGAAGCGAGCCATGATGGCCTTTACATCAGATTTGTTTTGCTGGAATTAATGGAAGAGGATCAAGGAGAATTAAAAACCAAAATACAAAACCAGAAAACCAGAAAATAAAATTAGGGTGTGCAGTCCATGCATACAAACATAAATAACTTCTGAACGAGACAAAAGAAAAATAGATACTGAACTGAAAGATCACTTTCTCTCTTTTCTTGAGGCCACTCACAAACCACTGATATATACAGTACAGTACAAACCGTGTCAAATCTAGGCATCACACACAGCTTACATTAATGAAAGGGTTCGTGGTTCAATCATGTTGAAATGTCCTTAAGCAAAAGAAATTGAATTAATCCAGTACTTAAAACTAGTTTCCAGGCCATCACTTTTTATTAACTGTAAAATGTTTGAACCATCCTGGTCTGGTGTTTGTACCAAATTAGCATCTATCATATATCTGTTTATCTCATTGTTATCTTTGGTTTTTAACAGGAAAGTAAAACTCTCAACATTTCGAGACTGCATAAAACAGGAGCTCTCTAGTGTGGAAATCTGCCGAGGTCATGTTTCATTTGATCTGGTCAGAATGCAATTCAGACAGATGATCCACTTCTTCTTCCCGAAGTGGATCTGGTTGGGCCAATTACAACCGTTTATCTAATATGGGGAGGGTTTGACACGGGAGCTTCACTGGTCGAGATTTAAAAAGTCACACTTTTGGCTGTTCTGATTGGTTATAGGTTTGGAACATCAGGTCTGCATCTGTGTCTAATCTCCATGTGTGTCCAGTGCATCGCACCCGGCTCATAAAACTCAGATCAAACTGTCAAACGAGGCAGTACTGATTAAATATGAATCAAGATTCTGTTACTGCATTCAGTGCATTGTCTATTTCCTGTCTCAAACAGAAACCCTTTTTAGTGTACTGTTTAGCTGTAATTTGAGAAAGTTTATGACCAGGCCACCATTTTTCCCCCCAGCTTGCATGGGTTGCTCAGCTCTACATTTTATTTTTGTGATTGTTCGCAGGCATTTTGGTCTGTGCATGTTGATAACGCCCCTTGGAAAGTGAATGTGAAGTCAGAAGTTCTAGACAAATTATGTGAATGTGTAATTAATCTGGAACCTCTAACTTCATTTTAGATGCTAAGCTAGGAGCTCCCCATAACATAACAGAAATTAATGGGTTTCACTTAATGAGCTCTTAAAAGTAATCAGTGCAACATTAGCAACCAAAAGTCCCATTCATTTATCAAATAAAAAGCTATTTTCTATTATAAGGGAATAATTTTTTTGGGTAATGTAGCCTATAGAGATGACAACCAAATACATGTATTCCTTACATGAAATTTAAATGTACAAATGACAAGCAATATGAAGCATTTGAAAAGAGAACATTCTCGTAAGTAGACAGATAAAAATTAAAAGACACTTAAAAGCAAAATGTTTATTTAACATCTGTAAAATAGCTAAAGTCAGGAGTGACTACTGAGCAATTACTTCCCGGACCACAGGTTGTATTGACTTGATGGTTTATCTTTATTATAGGCACATTAGTTAATTATATACTTTGTGCACATTCTCCAGTATAGGTAAATAAAGATAGAATGAGCCTTAGCAAGGAATGGTTTATAGCATATTGCAGTTTGATTGATTATGTTGGGGTAGCTGAATCACTAGCTACAAGTTATATTCAAAATGTGTCCAAAATATCAGGTTTGGTGTTTCACACAGTGTCACAATAGGCTGACCAAGTAGCAGCCACACCTATTTTAATGAGGCTGGTTTGACTGGAGTCACAGACACCATACCAGGAAGTTGAGATAAGAACTTGAACAGCCACTGCTATTCCTTTATCAGCAGAACAGTACAAGCGAGGGAAAACTGTTGAACGGAAAGTACAAATGTACTGTAAGCTAAATGGGAAGTTAAACTACAGTCAGTGTCAGATCTAGTTTATGTTTCACACATTAACACTTAAACCAAACCATGCAGTTGCCAGTAAAAACACAGAAAACACTTTGTTACTGTTACTAGAATGATCTCAGAATGATGTTTGTGAATGATGGAAAAGCCAAGCTTATTTGTATAGCCTGATATCACATACGGTTTCTTGGGCTTAAATCAGATACGTTGAACATTGAGATTCTGGATTCTTGTCTTGTACCGACCCTGTCTGTTTGTAGACTGCTTATTGTTTTTGGCTTATATGTTTTAGAGGAAATGTAATTGCTGCCTATTTTCAACACTGGCTGCAGATTAAGTGCCTGCAACATCTCAAGCTATTTATTTGGGCACTTCTTACCCTCAGACATGAAAGACTTAAATTAGATGGGTTTGTTGGGAAAGTTCATGTTCAGATCTAATTGACATGCTGCGGATGCTGTGGTTTAACTTCCCATTTGGCTTCATACATTTGTACTTTCCGTTGCATTTACCTTTGTTAGAAACCTGATCTGACATAAACAGACACCTGATCTGACATCAACAGAACTCCAAAGAGATGCACTTCAAAGAGGTGCCTCTGTTTTTGAAATGGGATTTTGGTTTAATCCCCGAAATAGGGAGATTTTCAGTGCTTGTACATAAAATACACAAGAACAACAACAACTCATGAATTTTGGAGCTTTTATATGCCTTAAAAAGCTAGTTTCTAGCTAGTGGCTATATGAAACTACAATGGTTGTTGCATAGCACCTGAGCTACATTGGTCTTCAGGGTAAATGCAACGGTTAGTAGTAGTTCTGTTTAGCATGAGCTTAGCTTTTGATAATTATTTACTGCATTTGTGCTTCAGAAGTATTATACGTGTAAATTTTTGGACTTTTAGCTTGGGACCATATTTTCCTCCAAATCTATGTACATTCTAACAACTTAAAAAAGAAGCCATTACTTTTATTCCCTTTAAATAGTTGTTTTGATAGCACTAATATTTAGCTAGCTAGTAGCTTTGATTCACACACCATGAAAGTGGCATGCAGCTTTAACATTCATTCAAGCCACTGTAGCTAGATATACCTTTATCTTATACCCCTTTCACACAGACAACCCATGAACAAATGCAACCTGGCAAAAATGGCAACTAGCTAAAAGAAAAGGATAGCTAGTTACGGTAAGTCAAATAACAAACGGCTTGCCATAATATGACGCCATTCAAACTGTCCTGTAACTCCCAGGCCAGACCCAAGCTTGAGGATGACACATACCACCCTGCAAGGGGTGAGAGGGGGATTTATATATATATATATATATAATTGCGTGCTAACTAGTGGCTCAGTAGTACAGAAGCACTGTACTTGCTGAAAGCCTCTTGTTTCAAGCATGCACAAGTGTGAGATCACACTTTTAGTCAGCAAGGTGCCTAGTGATCAGCTTATGACGTGCACAGAGGGCCCTGGCATTCAACTTCTTTTGGAAGTGTTAGGCCACACGTCGTGCCCAGCAGTCTAACGTCACAGGGCGCTGGCCCGGTCCATACTCCAACCTTGGGTGGCATAACGAAGTGTGTTAACTCTATGCCTGACATGTGGCTGAATATGAAAATGGGTAAAGAAATAGAAGAAAGTTCCCTTATCTCACACTTCTGTTTCTCAACCGCAGTAAACTAGAAATTACCCAATATGTTCTGTACCAGTTGCATTTACTGCTTCTCTAAATGTTTGTGCAGTTGCAATTTTGTAAAAACCTACAAATTCTGTCAAATCCTGGAAACACCTCTCAGAATAATGCAACTCAACAGAACCACAAACTACTGCCGTCCAGCCAACCAAAATGACTATCAAGTTTAATCAGTGCCTCTCTAAAACTAAAATGTGACATTACCTTCATAAAGATTTGTTGCAGAACTGTTGTGTTAGACTGCATTAGCTTCAGCTAAGTGTACCTAGCAACTGGCTGTACGTTTTGGTACAATGCATTGTTTTAGTGCAGGGTCGCTTTTATTGTGTGGAAATTCATGGGCAGAAGTGAGAACCACAGCATTGCCACAGTAGGTTGGCCATGAATTCTTGCCGCTGAGATGTTGAGCTAGGTTCCCTGTTACTGCAAATATAAATACAAATGCTATTGTCTATGCAGTTAGCAAAGAGGAACCATGATTACTATTTCCAGTGTGATGAAAAGTGGAGGCCAAAGTTGTCTTGCTTAATCTAGTTGACACAAAACCAAAAAAAAAAAACTTCTCCTGTTTTTGCACAAAATACATGATTAAATGTGACAAAAATGCCTTGAATATGAAACATAAAACTAAATAACAATAATCTCATGGGTCTTAAACACTGTAGGCTATTAGGATAATTAAAAGAAATCGCTAAAGTGACTTTGTAGTCAGAGTTCTGTTGACTTTGTAGTCTGAGTTCTGTTAAATGTAAATTTACAGTTTAAATATAACAACTTTTCCTCTCATCATCATACAGTAACTTGTTCAAACAAATGGCATAGTCAAAGTCGTGGACGACAATGAATAACACTTGAGGGTGTTGTTACAACGTAATATTCATAATATCTATTCATAACAAGTCATAAGTCTTGTAAAATGCTCATAAAAAAGACCTCAAATAGCAGCTCTCTTTCATTAAGTCTTACCAAGTTACTCCTGAGTAATTCTGTTATCTAGAAGATGATTTTTGAATAGTTTTAGTTGACCTTTAGTTAAATAGTACTCACCATATTGAGGACAAAAATCCTGGGTGCCGCTGCTATGTCTAAATGGATGGTGTATCACGTGGTGGAGAGCCTGTTTGTTCAGTGTGTCTGTGTGAGTTTCTGTTGCTGTCCAAGAGAGAAAGCTACCGAGAAGTAGTTGATAACAAAGAGTGTGAACAAGCATTGAGTGCGTCTGTGTGTTTGTATGTGGGGGGATGTATACTCTAGTTCTGTCTGTGACATAAGCAGGCTACTTGACTACTTCCTCTCTCAGTAGTATGTGTTTTGTGTGAGTGTGAGTCTCACAGCCACTGTTATCTGTGTGTTTTCATCTCGTGGATTTGCCTATCCCTGGCAAACTCCCTGCAGTTTCCCTCTGTGCTGAACAACTGATGCTCACTCAGTCAGATCAACAGAAAAACCACGGCGAGACTTGTTCCTTTGCAGCCATGTTAAACACTGTAAATACGATAAAGTGATTTTGGTAAAATAGATCTGACATGTCTAAAAGCTACAGCCGTAATAAGCAACAACTTATAGAATAGTAGACAGAAGAATCTGGCTATATTGCATAACAGCAAGACTAAATCATTTTTCATATTTTTTCCCTTTGTTCCCTTTTGCACAGAAATGGGTCATAAAATATTTTTTTTAAGTAAAACTGGCAGTATACAGTAAAATGTTTTAGAGTTTCTATTATTATTTATTATTTCCTGTCACCTGCATACTTTGATAATAGCTGACAAGAGAGATTGAAATAGTAGACTGAATGCCTGGGAAATGATAAAGAAAATTGATCAGAGCTTATTGGCCTTAAGTTTAAAGAGTTTTTTGACCTAACTACAAAGACAACCTGAGAAAAGATCGGAGAGGTGCAGCATGGAGAAAGATTTCATCGGCAGTTGGATCCTGAGGTGAATGATGATTTCAATAAGCTAGATTTTATATTAGTTAGCTAATTTAAATGGCAACAACTGCACTCCCAAGATGAGGTGATGGTGCAGTGGTTAAGACACATGCCTTTGGTGTGGTAGACCTGGGTTCGAAGCCCACTGTGACATGTCCACCTATGTGTCCCTCAGCAAGACACTTGACCCCTACACACAGCAAAAGTCTCTTTGAATGGAAATCAGTACAGTGCTACTGTAATGTTCAGTAAGCAGTAGTTTTAAAACACTACTTGGCAATAAAGCTCCTTCTGATTTGTGGGAAGTGTGGAGGAATTGTAAATACAATGTGAAAAAGTCATGCGCCGTTAGGCCTGTATAAGAAGTAAAAAATACAATACTTCATTGTAGAAGTACTCTGTTACAAGTAAACGTTCTGCATTCAAAATGTTACTTAAGTAAATGTATACATGAATTAGGAACAAAATACTTGAAGCACCAATAGTAAAAGTATGCAGATGTATATTATATTGAGGGAATATATATGTATTCATTCATTTTTACATCACTTTTATGTTGAAGCTGCAAAGGTGGGGTTTTATTGTAATTTCTTCATAGACAGGGTCACAATTCCCCCTTGGGATTAAAGAAAATGAGTGAAAAAATGACTTGAGTAAATGTAAGTTACTTTCCACCACTGATTAATACTAGGCTATATACAGTAAGTAAAACATCCAGTGGCCTTTAGCCACTCACATACTGTTATAATCAGACCCACTGGATGTTAACTCAGTTAATAAGTAGCTTCTTGAAAGTGTTTGCCAAGTGAGCTTGTTCCTCATTCTCTCTTTACAAGTTAAAAACAATACTGATGGAATGTAATATTGTCTTTTTAAACAATTAATCTTTAATATTTACACATTTTTAGTATAAATATACATAAAGACCTACATTAAACTATGTACAATTCATTCAATCTATTCATTATTCTTATTAATATTATTATTATTATTTGGTAAATGATCAAAGCAAACACTAAATAAACAAATAATAAACACTATTAAATTAACTATTCACAGTTTCTCATGGCAGCCTTAAATAAGAGTGTGGCAAAGTGACAGGGGTCACCACTGACATTACAACTTTGATATGCTAATGTGTTACAAATTCATATATATTTGTTCGTATATATTATAAATTCATCATACATTCATCCTTTGGTCTATGTTGGTCCATGCAGTAGCCCAATTTAGATACTAAAAGAGAAAAGCAGACAACAGTAAATCGTGAAAAGGAAGTTGATTAGCTCAGCCTCAGTGAACCTAAAGAGAGCTGAGCAGTCCCCCTAGTGGATGTCATGGTTGTCTTGGTATTATCTTTACTTGATGAAACAAATGAACTTTTACTAAGTATGAGAGATAATGTGCGATAATGATTTGTAGTTAAAGTTAAGCTTCTGTGTCCATTTGATATCAGATGAGTAAATTAAACAACAAAGCACACAAAACATAATTGCAACAATATGAGGGTTGAGTCAGTAATTTTAGCAGCCTAAGACCTTTAGGCATATTTAGGGTCACTGACAGCAAAGGTCGAGTTACTTTTATCATTATAGAGGGAGCCTCATTAGTAAAATGTATCCAACAAGAGGCAACGCTTTGCCACGCTTTGTCAAGTGAAACAGGAGAAAAGAAAAGTACTCTACAACAACAGCCAAGTTGATAAGAGACAAACCTAAAATGACCTAAAATTCTGTTTAATTTCTGCAATTTTCATATTCATTAAAACCAAGTATATGACAGCTTTTTTCTGTTGAAAAATTACTTTCTTTTGCCTACCTGAAGGACATTTTGGGATATCCAAATATTTTAGGGTTATGAGAGAAGGTGGTGTGGGACAAATAAGTAAAATTCACTAATTTAACCTGCATACACCTACTACTACTCCCAGCAGGTTGTGGCATGCTGCCTCTCCCAGGATGCACTGACTAGAAGGCACTCACCAGGATCTTTCCCCTTCACCCATCATCTATAACATGACACAGTCTCGTCCGCCTGGCTGCGATTTATTTAGACTGTGGAAAGTACAGCACCGCAAAATGAAAATGTGATTATTCCTGTTATGAGCGTGAGAAGCCAGATCTTCATTAACATATAATATTTGCTGCATCAACACTTGTCAGGATTATCTTGTTATTTTAATGTTTCAAGGCCTACTTCCCTCTTTCTGACTGTCAGAAACTAAGATCCACATTTGGGTGGTGTTTGTTGTGCAGTGTCAAACAGATGCATTTCCCCTGAAATGAGTGCATAACCTCTCATTTTGATGATTTGCTGAAAATGACTTTGGGATATCTCCAGTCCAGAGTTATGACTGTTCACTGCTCTCTTTTTACTGGCCCTGGATTGGTTAGGATTTATAAATCAGGGCTTCTAAAAGTGCAAAATTGCTTTTATGAGAAATGTGTTTTTTATTAACCGAATGACGTCTGATTTAAATAAATCACTCAAAATTATAAAATTATGCTTGTGCGTTCTACTGGTAACTGTAGTAAACCAAACATTCCCTAGTAGGATAGTGAAATTAACCTGACCATGGAAGATGTGGTGAAGTTTTTGTGTACACTGCAGACAAGTTGAATTATTCCTTTTTAAAGAATTGTTATAGCACTGACGCATGCATCGAGTCCAGCATCAGTAACTCTTTGTTTTACTGACCCTGATGTGTAGCTCGGAGTTTGAAAAAAGAACCTTTGTTTCCTTTTAAAAACTATTTCAGTTTCAGGATAGTAACATTTCAACAAAGGAACTTTGCATACTTTCCACAGTGAATGTGACTGCAAAGGACTCGATAGAAGTGTTGACAAAAAGCACTGCTCGGCTCTGGATGGACTTTCTTCCTTTTTCACTGTTGCTGCGTTTAGCAGATAATAACAGAGCGCGAACATTTTTAAAGGTGCACATGTGCTTTCATTAAGACTTTCTTGAATTAAACCATCCCAATATTTTCTGTTCTGCTTTTCAAATTTATTACTGCAAACATAAAATATTCAGCTTATTATTGTGGTGTCCAACAGATGCAGCATCATCATCTCTTTAGTATTTATAAATTGAATCCCGTGAGTCTTGAAGATGAATGTTTGAGGTTTTTATTTATTAGTTTACTTGTGTGTCATGAATGAGTTCATGTATTTGCTGTGTCGTCTTAAGAATTTAGGTAGCTCTTCTTCACACCACTGCGTCTTCTTCCTCCTCCCCCTCATCACTCCTCTGACCGGTGATACAAGTACGTCTCCTCTTCCCCTTCTTCATCATAGCCGCGATAATGCCCCTCCTCACTGCCTCCTCTCCCTCTGTCCTCGGGGCAGTGGATCCCCAGTCTCTTCTGCAGCTTCTCCTCTTGGTGGCGGAGCTCCATGGAGTCCACCAGGTCATAGATGTTGTCCAGGGACCACATGGGTGATTGGAACCACGCCTTGACGTTGCCGTCCTTTCCCACAACTAGCATGCTGAAATAGTCCTTACTGATCTTCAGCTGTTCTCTCAGATTGTTGACCGTGTCACGGGATAAAGGCTCAACTTCACTCTGACTGTGACCTGGAAGAAAAATGAAGACGAAGTAGAGAAATTTACAGTAAAAAGAGAAGACAAATTAAATGTAAGTTTAAATGTTGAACAAATACACAACAATGGCAATAAATTCCAAGTTCCTGCTCCACATGATTTACTCACCATTTAGAGGAAACAGCTCAACAGTTCCTGATGCTTTGTGTCCAGCTCCAGTCAGCTTCAACATGGCAAAGTGGCGAATACCTGAGGAAAGACCCGAAAAGGCTTATTGTGTAAATGAGAGGAACACATAAATGTGTCATGTAGCGTAATATAAATAGCAATATATTATTGCACAAAAAATGCTATACATTTATGTACATTTTTATACTTAGGATTTAACTCTGCCCAGTAAGACAAATACATTATTGGCTTGGATTGTCCCAGACATACTGACCCAGGTGACAGTCCTGTCCACTTAGCGCAGTGAGCTGCTGTTGAAAAGAGTAGTCGTCGTCTGAGGGTGCAGAGATGAGCAGCAGTCTCCTCTTAGACATGAACCTAAACAGCCATGAAACAGGGGATGTAAGTTTCAATGGTGTGGTACAAGTCAGCCACATTTCATTCAGCCATGATGTGTTGAGACACACTTTGGCCTACAAAGGCAGAGAGCAGTAACTTCAGAAGGGTAGGAAGTAATTTATTTTATATTTGTTTGGACTCACTATGTCTTCAGGAAATATAATTAAGAATTAATCTCTCAGCTTTTCTTCTACTTATTTTTTAAAATAATAATAACATTGCAATGAACAATAATAAATCAGTTTCCACCTTAGCTAGTACTTTGACCACATCAAATTATGAATTCCACTGGAGTCAAAAACTGGCAATTAGTGTTTCTATGCTAAGCTAATGTTTAGCTAGTTTTGCTGTGATTATTAAACATGTAGTTTCTTTGGAATTATGTTTTTCTATGGAAAAAGATTATGTGGTTAAATAAATGTCAAGTCAGATTTTGGCCTTTACAAAACTTTAAATAGTAAATATGAAGTTACTTCGTTTTAGCTTTGTAGGACAGATCAGTTCTAATTTGGAATTCATATGAAGATAAAGTAATAATTATGTAACATCAGGGCATATTAAATAAGATATTCCCAATAACATAAATCTTTTATATGATTTCTGAGGAGGCTGCAGACGCTGCTTGTCTCTATATAGTATAAGGTAATAACAAGAACTGATTTATAGTTCTATACCTGAGCAGTGAATTATCAGCTCCAGGCTGTTGCTTGTTTTTGGAGCAGACCGTAGGACTCTTCATCTCCGTTTCTTTTTCTGAGCGCCTTGAAGGAAAGTTGTCAATGTACTCGAACAGAGCAGGACTTGATGGAGGAGCCTCAAAGACTCTCTGTGGAAAAGATAAAAGGTATTTAAAAAAAGAGAAACCAACTTGTAGTCTGCATATTACATGGAATTAAATTTCATTGGTCTTTACAAGCCTACATCAGCAACAGTTCCTGACATAGCCAAAAAACAAACACAGCAATGACTATGAGCTGGATTACAATAGAGATCAGTTAATTATTTTGTAAACCTCTGACTAAATGAAGCTGGATTATTTTATATTGTTACAAATAAATGAAAGGATGACAGTAGTTATTGTCAAACACATTTGAAAGAATTGCTTGTGTGACTCTTGCCCTGGCTTGAAAACGTCCTGGCAGACGAGGTGAATGTCTTCATAACTCTGAGCAGCTGTATACTAGACTGCTGCCAGGTGTGAACATCAATAAGAGTGGGGCTAAAAATGAGCATGCACGAGCATGAGCAAACACAAATAAAAGTGCAGATCTTACATTGGGTTTGATGTCGTAGTCTGAGACAGTCATGGAAAAGAGGTCAGGGGATGACAGGCCGAGCTCTGCTCTCAACAGAGAAATAAGGCCTGAATCTGAGAAATTTTCTGATTGGTCACTGAGTGGAGGTTCGGACTCTGAAACACACACACACGTGAAATATTTGAATGAATATGTGTGCGTAGATGCAGAGGCAGGAGACACAATACAAGGGACTCCTTACAGTTTAGCCTAATGCAAGCCAGTACAAACACAACAACATTAACTATGACCCAGAACAACCATAAAGTTGAACAGACGCCTCTGAACAATGTTTCAGCCTTATAACCTTCAAGTATTTATTGCAGGGTTTTGATGTGGCATTATCAATACCTGTATGAACTTCTTATAAGCCAACACTGCAGTTTGTTTAAACTAAATTTTAACATGCTTACATGCTAAACTAAGATGCATTCTCATTTAGCTCAAAGCACCACTGTGGTTTTAGTTTCTAAAACCACAGTGGTGCAACCTCACAGGGCCACTAGCACTACCACTAGACTCAGTCTTGCTGCTGTTCAGCTGCTGACTCAAGTCTTTGAATTCAGAAGTACCCACAGCATATTAAGTGAAGTGAAGAGGATGCAGCATGAAAAACACCAATGTTACCCTTGCTACAACAAATACCAGAGTGAGGAAATTCACTATTTCAGTTCAGTGTTGTACTTCAAAGTGAAAGGAACCTCAGCTGCTGTTACTGTGGAAGCACCACATATCCCTTTGGTCACGCTTAAGGGAAAAAATACAGTGTGCTTCCTTTATTTGGTTAAAAAATACTCCAACAGTAGTTTTATTTATATATATGAAAAAAACAAAGTAACATCTGATAAGATTTTCCGATTACCTGGATCACCCCTGGCGAGAACCTAACCAAATGTTTTAGATGCAAATATTCAAACATACAACATCACACACACACAGAAAACACTTCTTACCGAGCTGGTGGTGTTGCAATGTGAGTGTGGCGTCACTTTCTTCACCCACAATGGTCGCCACAGTGATCTTCCTGATAGCGAGGTCACAGTGTTGCTTCTCGTTCTCCTCTTTCTGCTGGATGTACAGTGTTGCATCACTGCTGGGCGTTGAGATCAACTAGTACCAGGACAACACACACACAAACATATACATCACTCCAAATGGACGATACAGATCATGTGCAGATATGTCTTAAAGGTTCATTGTTTTGAATGCATTCAGAATGTGGAGTGTGGCCACTTTACACCAGGATTAGGGAGAAGGCAGGGAGAAAGCTGCAAGCAAAGGAGAAAGTTCTCACCATTAACCTTCTTGTCCCTTTTAAACTGTCCAAAAATGCTTTCAGGGCTGTTATATCCTTCTCACTGGCCTCTCTGTTGGACTTTTTACCTCTTCCTTTCCCTTTCTTTCCTTTTTTTCCTTTGCCCTTTTTCTTAGAGCTCTGTTTTTCCTGTGTGTGATCCTTTACATTGTCCTCTTTTGTATCTTCACTGTTTTTCCCTCCATGTCTTCTCTTTCCTTCTTCCAAAGTAGAGTCAGGCCTGCAGTAGAATAGAATAGAAAAAAAAAAGACTTTGATGTCCGGCCAGCACAGAAAAAAAGCATCTCTGTATGGTGTAAGGGGATGAAGAGGCGTGACATACCAGATGGTAACAGAAAATTCAGGCAGACTGTAACTGAAATCAATCAAACATCCACAGACATCTACTATATTACAAAAAATGACAAAGAAATATGAAGGGAGCACCTATCTTTCTTCACTTCTTCAGCACTCTTTGACACAGATGGAGAGGTGTGCACTTTTTCCTGTCGATTAGAAGTGGCCCGACCACCACTGCTCGAGTCCTTTCTCCCCTTACGGATAACAAACAATGACCGTCCACTCAGTATATCCTGGACCTTACTCTTTAGGGCCGCTTTTTTGTCCAGGGGAGGTTTTCTTTGTGCTACCACAGAAGTCACATTCCCTCGCTTCTGAGGGCTCAGTACCATCTTCTTCTTCATCTTTTTCCTTTTCATCACAATCTTCTTTTTAGTGGTTTTACACCTGAATAAAAAGACAACATCAAACATTTTGCATGAGAGGATTTGTGTATGTTTTCCTTGATAACTTCAACCAAAATGATACAGATTGAAATTGAATTGCACAGTCACTCAGATAACTGATCTTACACGGGACATGTGTTCTTTCCATCAGTGGATTAACAGTTTTTACAAGAATTTTCCATATCTCAAATTTTCAAATTGGACACAAGCAGAACACTCATAAGATCTAATCAAAATGCAAAAACCCCATGGTTGTTTTCAAATTCCACTCAGTCCACCAGTACATTTATTTCTTGCTTCCTGTTTTTTCACAACTCATCCTTATTGAATGTGGATGTTCTTGCAGGAGCAAGTTTTGTTGGAGGACTGAAACCCATATTTTATGCTACTGAACATGCAACATATGTTTTTTCTCATCCAAATCGAGTCTCTAAGGATAGGGTGTTGCAAAAAATGTATAGCCCCATGAGACAAATTTGTGCTATGTTGGCAAATATCAATAACAATACGAGGCTGCAGCAAAGCTAACGACTCTGTGAGGCTAAACTTAGACACAGCAGTACTTTGAGCTAAATGCTAACATACCCACAATGACTATGAAAACATGCTAATGCTAAGTAGGTGTAATGTTCACCATCTTAGTTTAGCATATTAGTATGCAAACCTATGTACAGTTGAGGCTGATGAGAATGTCATTAGTTTTCATGTACTGTATATGGTTATACTATAAATTGGAATTTTGACCAAATGATGGTGCAAATGGAAAAGTCAGGGAATCACCAAAGTTATTACAGTTCATCTGGAGGGTAATATGAATTTGTGTACCAAATTTCAGGATAATCAATCCAGTAACTGTTGAGACATTCCAGCATGAGCATGGCTAAGAATGGTTGACTTGTTATAAATCGAACTGAATGAACTTGTAAAACACTTCCTCGGTACAGTGAATTACACAGTGGTATGACAGAACCTCAAGTTGGATCCTTTTCTGGTCATCTTCTCCAGCTTCCTCATGGGGAACTGATCAATGAGCTCCAAAATCGCCTCAATGCGGACTGGATAAGGGAAGCGCTCGCTGACCCGAAGGTTCTTCTTCAGAACCAGCATGGTGAACCCTTGCTCCTGAAACAATTGGGAGAGCATAAAAATGTCAAGTCAAGAGGAGGTACCCACAAAGACAGTTTCAGAAAAATTTAGATTAAAAGAAATGCAAAGGGGCTGTAACTTGCCAACATAGTATTAACTGATTACCTGGCTGGTAAGCTCCAGGTAGTGCAGCAGTTTGGTAACGGTGTCAGGGTCCAAGCTCTCTACTGTTGCATCTCCTTGGAAGGTTGTTTTCTGGATTCGACCTTCCATCATGGCATTCTGGATGATGGTGATGATGAATGTGTCTCTTTCTGCTAGGCGGCAGTTTAGCCCTTTCTGAGAGAGACCCAAAAGGAGAAAGAAAAATAGTTAAAGAAGAGCTGGAAAGGAGACTGTTTTGAGTGAACTTCTAATATGGCGTATATATCTGTACAATACCTGCTCCATTTCTTCCAGCTGTTTCTCCATCATTCGAAGGTAGTGGTTATTGCGTGATGGGGCTGTTATCACCCACAGTCGCTTTTTACCTGGGGGGCAGAAAGGGAACTGTAAGGAGATAGACAAATAAACACATCAGCTGATCAGTTCATTTGTCTTGCCTGCAAAGTCACCCAGGAAATCGAGCTCCGGGGCCAGGATCAATGACGTCTCCCCGACTCCTCTGTTGTCTCCATGCTCTCTGTCTTCTTCCAACCCCAACCCTTGCTCGATTCCTGGAGGGAGGTCTGAATAGTCTCCCCAGTCTCTTACATTGGGGTCCAACTGATCCTTGGACTCTCTTCGACTGACGCCCGGCCAAGCGGTAAGCAAGCTTGGGTAGCTGAGGCTCCACAGGGTGGCAAACAACAGCAGAGGCCAGTGTGAGTTATAGAAATTAAACATCCTTACTGACACGGTTGGGTAGTTGATTTGTTGATCAGCTGGAATAGGTTAGCAGCTCACAAATCCTCCTCTGGCTAAAGAATACATTTGTTCACCACTCTTGGGCAGCAGTGTTGCATCTGAAACGGACAGGATGGATTCACCAACTGTTTAAAAAGTGATTCAAAAATAAAAAAGCTCTAGATCATCAGTCACAAAGTCCCCAGCTGAGAAATCCCCAGTCTTTGCAACCACATTCACAACCCCACTAATAACTGAAGCATTCTGTATCCTTACAAAACTGGTGGACTAAATCGGGGCATGAATCGCAAAGGTAAAAGGACAGAAAAGACTGCAGTGACGTTAACCCCTCTCACCAGCAGAGAGAGGCTGACTGGGGAGACTCTCCTCTGCTTGCAAACAGACACACACACACTCCTGTTTCACATTATACCCCAGGCTTGTTAACAGAAAACTCCTGGAATTTTCTGTGACTTCAAAGCATTTTCTTTTCTCTCTCTCTCTCTCTCTCTCTCTCTGTCTCTCTCTCTCTCGCACACACACACACACAAACACACACACACACACACACATTCTCAGTATGTGTATGTGTGTGTATGTGTGTGTCTCACAGCCGACTGTTTTGGTGTCTATCACCAACAGAAAATCAATCACTCACATATATACATACACACATACAGAGTATAAAATGCACATGGATGCTAATGCACCCTGTGAAGGCTGGCTTTATCTTTGATCAGGAGATTAAATGCTAGCAATGCTGACCTCCGACCTCCTTCTGCAGTGGGGCAAGTAAAGATATATCACGTTACCTGCATTATTACACCTGGCGAAAATTGATTGTATTTGACAGTTTAGATTTTAACATCTGTCACTACCCATCAGAGATTGGCACTGACCTGATCACAGACCATTGCAGGCTGCCTCACACATGTTGTCGACAGAATGAGGGAGTAAAAGTGGGAGTTTAGAGGTAGAGCAGTTTAGCTTAAAGCCATTTGTTCAGCCGGACTTAAAGGCAAATGGCAGCAACCATTAATAACCCAGACAGGATAACAGATGCTGAAGTCTGGAAAAGTTCAAACCAGTTCAAAGTTGTTAATCTATGCCCACAGGCGAGTTGACCCTGAAGACTTTCTGCCAAGAAAAAAGAGTAATAATTCTTCTGACTACTGCTCCCTAAAGGCTCCACTAACTAAAATCTCAACCACACTAAAACACAGCTATCTATCACTTAATGCACAGCCAACTATCAATTCCCACCAGGTATCAAACCCAGAATTGTCCCTTTAAACAGCTGATACTAGCACGAAGACCACAAAGCTCCAAATGTAACCATAAACTTGACTATCTACAGCCTTTTCTCTTCAAATTTACAAAATACAAAAGGATAATATATAATAATATAATGTCCTAAATGCTGGGCTTTCCAGCCCTGCAAAAGAAAGTAAACATACATGAACCACATTTATATTTAAATTCCTAAAAATTATTCTGCAACCAATGGAATAATCTGTGCATCTCAGAGCACAAACATGAAGCAAAACCAGTTAAATCTAACTGATAGCAGCATTCATTGAGAGTCAGATTGCCATATGAATTCTAATAAAAACGATATGATAATGGAATTGATTCATGATCCTATTGTTTACTTCTTTGGTCTGTTGCCATAAATTCATATTTTGATGGCCTTTGATGTACAAAAATACATGCCTGTTTTTTCAGCCATAAAATGTTTGAATAAGACTAAAGATGTGTGTGATTTCATAAAAAGGTACTGTATCTTTCTTTATTGTAACATAAACATCAGGTATCCATAACATGACCAAGGTAGCATTTAGTGGCACATTTAAGTTTCTTTTCAACATTAATTGACAACTGTAAAGGTATTTCAACATAATAACACACCTGAAAGAGACAATTTTTACAATAAGAAATGGATATGCGACTAATGATACCTTTCAAAATGCCCTGTCTATAAACATATCTATATACTAAACAGAGGTAGGTACAGCAACAGGCTGTGTTACTCACATGACTGAAAACAATGACTCTAAAGAGGCGTTGGGAACAAAATGAGAACCAGGCATAGCAACAATGCATTCCACCCTCTGAGCCGAATAAAGAGAACCAGATGATCAGCATGTGAGTGAGAGAGAGAGTTTATATACTGCAGTGCATATACCGTAATAAGTGAATGAATATGCTGGTGCAGAGTGAATGGATATGCTGACGACAGGATAAACAATGTTGTTAGTTACAATATTGTTACAATGTTAATTACTTTATTTTTCATCAACAAAGATTTACAGTGCAATCACAGAGAGATGCAAACATCATATTCAAATTCAAGAGGGAAGGGAAAAATTGAAATAGTGCACTTATATCAAACTGTGATGCTTTGGTCGCAAAATGACTAGTGCTATAATTACAAGGAGTGCATGTGGATGTCCATAAAATGGCAAAAGAGCGCCCATTGGTGGATGTATACAGAGTTGCATCTTCAGTGCTTCAGTTTTGGGACGCCATTTCTGATAAAGTACAAGGCACGTAAATGCGCTCATTAATCCATTTCTTTACTATTAAATATGTATTTGTATGGTGTTGCGCTTATCAATAAATATGCTCGTGCATATGCTCTCGACGTAAACTTTTGAGCATAACTTGTAAGTTAAGCCTTAACTGAAGAATCGGTTCATAATACAAAATATGAACATTAATGTTACTGTCAATTAATAAAATGTGGAGGTAACAGTTAGCTGGACACATTTTATATATATTTATATATAAAATAAAATGGGATTTTTCATGCATAGTCAGTGACTGCAAATCAAAAGTGATAGGATTTCCTCTGACGCATCCCATATGATCCAATAATATTTCTGCGCCGACGAGACAACTTCCGGGTTGACAGACCTGAGCAGCGCAGTGCCAGGACTATTAGCAAAGGTCAGTCGAGTTGTCTGCTGTTAACCTTTCTACTCTCACTTTTCACCGTGCATGTGTTTCGGTGTGCATTTCTGTGCGTGTGTGTGGGGCTTTTTGTGAAGTACGTCGCCTTCATGCACGAGCCAGATGTGTATTAGTTTCCAGCTAGCGCGCTAGCTAGCTCAGGTTAGCTCTCACCCCGGCTAGATTTTGCATTGAGTGGAGACAAAAACCGAGAAGTGCTTTTGTTGATGTCTGATTCACAGAGAAACACGGCACTGAGCACTGGCCTGCCAAAACAACAGTAATCCACCAGTTTTTACGCATTAACTTCTCTGGATGACACATTTGTGAGACAATGTTGTCGAGAGGAAACCATTGATTTAAACGTTGTTTTATTTGTGATTTTCAGAATCATTAAACGATGCCGCTAACCAGATAAGAGGTTTATGAGAGCCTTTGAAGTCCTGACTCGGGGTTTAACTAATCATAGACGGTATGGGTTTAATTTAGCACATACATGACAGAGCAACACTTGTCTGCAATACGATGCTGTCTCCATCCTTAAGTTAGGTTTTTATGAGCTAACGTTATATTGTTAGCAACATGTTAACCGTTTGTGTGATTCATATTTTAAGACCGCGACTCTTTTTGGTGACGTGGTAGCTTCAGTTTTTCTGACATGAAACAAGAGTCCTGAACACAACACACAGGCTGTGATTAGAGAGTGTCTGGTCTGCAATGGCGGAAAGAATACTCAGATACTTTACTTTACTAGTAAAAGTAACAATGTCACAGTGTAAATTACTTACTATTACTTAAGTAAAATAGATCTTGCTTAATTTAAAGTACATAAAAATTATCATCAAAATATGGTTAAGTACCAACAGTAAAAGTAGTCATTATGCAGGATTCATAATTTATTAGTTGATTTATATTTTGGAAAATAATCAGAAGCTACAAAGCAACTAGTAACTAATGTCAATTAAATGTAGTGGTGTAGAAGTACAATGTTGCATAAAATGGAAATTATTATACTGTGTGCTTTGAAATGCTTTGTACTTTAATCGTATGACTTTAGATGCAATGATATGTTGACTAATCTGCATAAAGGTTACCAAGTAGGTCACTTCTGCCACTAAGAGTCCATGAATGGCGTAACTGGGACACAGTTGATTAATATATTTTCAACTATGACCCTAAGATGGAATTTTTATTGTGTGGAAAATGCCCTCTAGGGCTGCAACTAACAATTATTCTCATTATCCCTTAACTGACAATGTATGCCTGGATTGGTTCCAGCCCATTGCGACCTTCCAATGGATAAGTGGGTATATGTAAAGAATGGATATTTTATTACAAATACTCGTTTTTTTAAGTTTTTGAAATCAGTCAGCAAATAGTGAAAGAAATGTATTCAATTTACAATGATATAAAAAAGAGAAAAGCAGCAGATTTTCATATTAGTGAAGCTGGAACCTGGCATTTTACTTAACAAATGACTTTACATTACATATTTAGCTGATGCTTTTATCCAAAGCAACTGACAATTGCTATTTGTGTCAGAGGTCGCGTGCCTCTGGAGCAAGTATCTTGCTCAGAGACACACTGGTGGATGTGTCATAGTGGGAAGTTGAACCCCGGTCTCTCCCACCAAAGGCATGTGTCTTATCCACTGCACCATCACCACCACCCTTGTATGACTTGTATGACTTAAATGATTTATCAAAATTAATGATACATTTTTGATTTTCGATTTACTAATTGATTAATTGACTCATCATTTTAGCGTTAGTTTCAGCATTTACTGCCTCAGAGTCAACCGGTGGGTTGCAGTTGATAGAAGTGACTGTGTTGTCCATGATTTTACTGATGTAAAGATGTGTCAATGAAACATATTTTTCTTTTCAAACTGATCCTTACAGAAAATTTGACAAAATAGTTTATGTTTATATGACAGCATAATACCTATTCATAATGTATTATGTTATGGATTTGGGTACACATGCGTGTAGTAAAATGTTGTCTCAATGAATGTGACATGTTGCATAAACGTAAGTGTGCCGTAAGTGTTTGCTTGATCTACAAGGGAGCAGGGAAGGACATATTTCTGTGGAACTTGTGGGCACAACGTATAGTACATACTTTTTCAAATGTGATAACGTGTGCAATTGATTTGAAAGCTGATAATGATGTGTAGAGATATTGACACTCTTACTTTCACTCTGTTTCACCACTTTTACTGTTCTTTACCCACAACCCCCCCCCCTGTCTGCTGGTGCCCTTCTCTCACGTCTCTTCCCAGGAGGGGTGCTGTCTGTCCCTGTTGAGCTCCTCCTGGTGTGTGAGTGTCGGGTGTGTGTGCACCATGGCGAGCCTCCTACGAGTTGTGGCAGCTAGCTGCTCGGCCCCTGTGTTCAGCGGGGTTTCATGTGTGAAGCTGCGGAGCGGCCATGCTGTCAAATCGTCATACCTTCGCTTTTTTAGGACCCATCAAGCTCTCGGGCGATGTGCCAGTCCAGGTAAGACACTTATGCACACTTAGTGATTTGGCATGGACATACGTAATAGAATAATTTACATAAAGCATCTAATCTACATTTGGTCCAAAAAATAATTTAACATTTTATTTACAAATGGTCAGTAAAGTAACATCATTACAAATTTCCATTTTTAAGGGATTAAACGTCCACTAGAGAGCAAAATAATGTTGCAATGAAGTGTGACCAATGTACTAATTTACAGTAAGTACCAAAGACATCACATGATCTTCCATTACAATTTGCCAAAAGGCTGATATCAACATGTGTCTTACATTTTTACAACACAAAGAAAGAATAAAGGTTGTGATAGTCAGTGTCCCGACAACATTTAAATATTTTCTATCCATCTTTAAACGTGAATATTTTAATAGTGTGTCAGGTGTTGGACATTTGATTTACTGACAGCATGCATGCATTGATTAGTAAGCTATAAGATAATGAGATTAGCAACAGCTTGAAGCTTGTAAAACTACCCTATATTAGTGATCAGTATGATAGATTGGAATCAATATTAAATGTTAGTTTTTGATTACTTACTTTGATTTATTTCTGATTTTCCCCTTGTTGGAACTTAAAATGTAAACACTCGCTGTTTTTTCTCATGTACTTGTGCAACATAGCAGGTGGCAACATAGTTACAATAACAAATCACAGAGGTTATGTTTTCAGCAAATTGGTACTACTCAGCATTAGAAGGAACAGACAAGGAGGCTATTTATACCATCGTCCTTTATCGGCCTTGGCAACAGGTGACCTCTCATTGTGATACAAATACGCTTTGGAGTAGCGAACTACCCATTCATTCATTTTGTCTTATTCCTTTTAAGGTCATTGTAATTGTTATGAAGAAGATACTCCCCTGTTTAGGGGGAAAATAGAGATAAATAAATCGAAACAGAAGACACCCTTTAACCCCATGCAGTAGCTTTTCCTTTAACTCTACTTAAAAGGTTTATTCTATAGGTCAGTGTTGCTACCGGTGTTTGCTTTCAGTCCCAAGGTCACATTTAGGATACTGCAGTGAGGCATAATTCCACATTTTCCATGCACACTCTGTCAGTATCAGCTGTTTGCATGTGTTTCATGTCTGAGTGTGCTGGGCTCATGGTTGTGCCAATGTCTCTCTGTATACGCAGGTGGGTGTTTGAGGGGTGCTTGTGACCTCTTTCATGACATTCCTGCAGTTCAGCTCGCTCCAGTAACAGCTGGCAGTGTCGATTCTGGACACTCGCGTATCGGCTTACAGTAGAGGAGAGGAACTTTGACCTCTATAGAGCCTATAGATGTACAGTAAAGACTCAGGCAGTGTGTTGTGAGACTGGATTCGTGAACTATGACATGCACAGAATTAATCTATGCTTTTTGAAGAGACCGTCATTGTCACCAACGTAGATCTGTCTGTTTCCACATTGTGTCAAAATGACACGTGATAAACATTTTTACCGGACATTTGAACCAAAAACAGGACACCACTCGTGTGTTAGTGGGGCTGTGTTGCTTCAGGTGTCGGTGAGACAAAGAAATACAATCCAGGAACTTGGGTTTGAGTCTTATATCCTGGAGTTTAAAGGCTTATCAGACATTTAAAAGCACTGCATACTGATTTATAATACTGTAAGAAAAGATTCTGGAAAGTTATCACCTGAGAATCATTTATGCCCTTGTGTGTCAACACAGTATGGTATCACTTTTGAAATGAATGAGCCGACTGTGGTTTTTCACAGTCTAAATATGGCCGTAAAGGTACATTGTGTCCTGCTGATTGGACACAACACTAATGACACTACTGACAATCACAATAAATAATATAATTATAATAGAAACATAAATTATTTTAAATCTATATATCTACCGAGGGGATGCAACTCCATTAAACTCAACACAGTTGAACCCCTTGTTCGTTCATCCATCCATCCATCCATCCATCTGCAACCGCTTATCCTGCATTCAGGGTCGTGGGCCCCTTGTTCATGTGGTAGGAATACACTGGATTAAACTCTATCTTGAGCCTTATGTTGCCATTGAGGAAACTTTTTTGGTGTATGCACCAGGCCAGCAATTGTCATTGGACTGAGAAGGTGCCATTTTTGGGTCCAGTATCTAGTTCTAAATATACATCCATGTTTGCATGCTAGCAGTCTTCTTCTGTGCCTTCCTTCACACATGTCATTTCATGGCAAGTTTTTTGGCACTTTAACAGCACCAACTATTGAATGTTGGAGCGAATTGTGTATTGTGTTGCCCACCTGTAAGTCCATGTTTAACCGGCATCCACTCACACTACACACCTTGATGAATAATGATACTAGTTGTCAAAAACTCCTCAGGGTGCTTTTTTAAGCTTCACAACAAATGAGCTTTTTTAAATTGCCATCTCATGATGTCAACATGTTAGTAATTATTGTAAATTTCCTGCCATTTCAAAAAGTGGGTGTTGCCAGTGATTTTTTTTTTTGACACCAGAAAAGAAGTGGGGCCTTAAAGTAATCTCGGGGTTTGCCTTTTGTTGCCATTTCTGTCTGTCAGACAGAAGGGCATGCTAGAGCAGAAGGCCCAGTAAGCCAGGGCTTTACTTTGTCTTGCAGGTGAGATTTATAGCTTATCATGTTATTATCTCTACGGTGAGATTCCCAACAGCTCTTAAAGTACAAATGTGTAGTGTCTAAACACAAACAATAATGCTTTAGGATTATGGTGGTGGTCAGGTGTATCTTCTGGTTTCTACTCAAATTGAACTTAATCTAAATTGCATTTATTTGCAAATATGTTGGCAGAAACAAATGGGGCATATGTTTCTGTCAAAACATGAGCGGACTCTTGCTTCATAGAAATAGAAATCAAACAGCTGGCAACCACTTTGTTGGCTGTCTTGTATTTTGAATCTTTTCATAAAAAAGTAGTTAGAGGTCATGTCACCACAGCCGGGTGAGTGGACAGGCAGCCTGTCAGATGCCCATGTGTTTATGTATGGATGAGGAGACTGAGGGAGGAAAAGCTTCAGTGGAATTTTCCATAGGAGCTGGCGCAACATGTGATTGGCATACTGCTTGGAAAAGAAAAAAGACTGAATAAACTGGCTGAACATAGTAATAGTTTAGAGTCCCTTTCATATTCTATTGTGTCTCTTTTTTGCTATTTATTTCATTGTGTTTCTATCGTTTTAATCTTCTCTTTACTAGTTTCATTCTTATTATAAGCTTCTCTTGTTCTCACACATGTTGAATCAGGTCTACTTTGAATAGACAACAAAGGAAAACTTCCTGCTTCCCTGTTGGTTGTTCTTTTTTTTTCACCAAGCTACTGTACCTGTAGAGCCAGGCGGTAATATCTTGATAACTACAGGATGGATTTCCATTTAATTTTGTTCAGAGATTAATGGTCCCCAAAGGATAATTTATGACTTTGATAACCCCCTGACTTTCTTTTTGTGACAACAGCAGGTCAAAGTTTTAATGTATCCAGTGGTTCATATCTACCAAAGTAAATTGGCACAGAGTTTGGTAGAGACATTCATGATTCCCAGACATTCACATTAGCCTCAGCTATACTTGGTGTTTAGTGTTTTATGTACTGATTCACTGAGCCTATAAAATGGCTGTACTAGTCTTTGTGTCGTTACAAGGCACTGACCTTGTCCCTCTGCCCAAACAAGCCATTACTCATACAGTTTATTTACCACATTCAAGATCGCTTCCTGAGGAGGCTCTCCTTGAAGCTGCAGTGGTGTGTTGTTGTGATCTTTATAATAAAACATTTTCTCAAATTATCTCCTGCATCTTAAATCATGAGCTCCAACTGGCATAAGAGAAAAGCTGCAAGAGTGTGATGATGAATGGTGATATATGACTTAATATAGCATGTCACTTATCACTGTTGCTCCTGTGTTTTTCTCTTCACCTTTGCAGGTATTCCATATAAACAATTGACAGTTGGCATACCCAAAGAAATTTTCCAGAGTGAACGTCGTGTGGCGCTTTCTCCCGCTGGTGTCCAGGCGCTCGTCAAACAGGGCTTCAATGTTGTCGTGGAGTCTGGAGCTGGCGAGCCATCCAAGTTCCATGATGAACAGTACACCCAAGCTGGAGCAACAATTAAAAACATTAAAGATGTCTTGGCATCTGATTTGGTGGTTAAGGTTGGTAGGATTGTGAGGGGTGGATGGCAAATGAATAGTGGATTGTTTACTAGTTCACCAAGGCCAGAGAGAGGGAGGAGGAGGTAAATAAGATGGTTAGATGAATCAAACAGCATTGCAAGTAGTCGGAAGCGCCAGATGTCCTTGTATCTGAAAGGCTGGTTAAGATATAAGATAAGGTAATGAGGAATAATGGAGGGACACTCTTTGTCTGTGTCTCGGACTCCTTCAATAGGCTGAAAACATTTAATATGAAATTCTGACCGTTTTCATTTATAGCCTTTAGTTGAATATTTAGCTTTCCTTCTCATGTTTCGCCCTGTCCTTGTCTTTTTCAACCAATTCCTCTGCTTCCAGGTCCGCGCTCCCATTTTTAACCCTGATTTGGGTGTCCATGAGGTGGAGATGATGAAGGACGCGGCTACTTTAATCAGCTTCATCTACCCAGCCCAGAACCCCGAGCTGATGGACATGCTTTCCCAGAAGAAGGCCACCGTCCTGGCTATGGACCAAGTGCCCCGAGTCACCATCGCCCAGGGTTATGATGCACTGAGCTCAATGGCAAACATTGCAGGGTATGTTTACGGTGCCTGGCATCTCATACTAAACCTCCCATGTTGAAAAGAAAACCTTCCATGTTCCATTTGAAGGCACATATAAATGCTAATATTTAGCAGGAGGAGGAAACAGAATGCATGAAATCACAGGCATACTGTACGTACAGTACATGTGTTTACTCTGTGTTGATATGCTGCTAATATACATTGCAATTTTTACTTTTTATACCTTGTTTTTAAATTTGTAATAAAACAATGCAGCCATACATTTAGCTTAAAATATTTACAACTTATACCTGTTGGCTAGTTTGTGCTCACAAAGTATTATCAGCAGTATTTAAAAAATAAATAAAATAAAACTGTGTTTTTCAGCTTTGTTTTAATTTTTACTACCTGTGTTCAAGAGGCAGGCATTCTACTAGGCATTGTCAGCCTAAACACAACTTGTAGATATCTTGCCCATGACCAGAAAAAGAGAGATACCGCACTTCCATGTATTTATTTGAATTTTTCCTAATGTCTTACTTGGATGTGTTTTAAACTTATATCCATATTGATGTATCTTTCCTGTGTTATTTTCCTCTTTGTCACAGGTACAAAGCAGTTGTGCTGGCAGCTAACAGCTTTGGTCGCTTTTTCACTGGACAAATCACAGCAGCTGGGAAAGTGCCACCAGCAAAGGTGTGTGTGTGTGTGTGTGTGTGTGTGTATCTGTGTGTGTTTTGCATTTCTATTATTGGTGGAAGTATTATTTTGAGTGCAAATGTGTCTATGACAGTTGTAACACGCTAAATCACAGTATTAGTCATCCCAAACGATTTAACGTATGTGTATTTGAATAGGTTCTGATCATTGGAGGTGGCGTGGCTGGGTTGGCAGCAGCTGGTACTGCCAGGGCAATGGGAGCCATTGTCAGAGGATTTGATACCAGGTTTGTTTTGACGTTAAACTGACTTTGATTGAAGATTGCATTTTAGCAGGCGTACATAATTATATGTGTTGTACATATGCATATATTCTTAGCTAATTCAAACTTAATTAAAGCCTTTGGACCCAAAAAAAACACTCTTTACAATAAAAGACACTCTTTCACCAGTTGAAAGCTATTAAACTCAAGCAGCAGCAGTAGAAAATGTTAATTTTGCTTTAGCAGTAACTGAAAGGATAACGTCTGTATTTTTCAACCTGGACCAACCATGTTTTTATGGCTGTGTGACTAATGGGTACAACAATTTTTTGTTCTGCAGTTAGCAGAAGCGAAACCAGGCTGCAACATAATCCTTCCGGGCAATTGGGCTCCATCAAAGTACGTCCACTGAAGTGCTTGTTTTTGCCACTGACAGATTGACAACATTATGGAAAGGATCCCTACAGAGAAAGACCTTTTTTAAAAACTTTTTTAAAGAGTACGATCCTTTTTGTTTAACCAGAAACAGCCACTATATTGCTCTGCCACCAGACTCCCTTGACAAGAGGTAAAATTACTGTTTTAAATGGCGTCTGGTTGCTTTGAACAGAGTAATATAACGCCTGTTTCTGGTTAAACAAAAAGATGAAAAAATTTTACTCCTTTTTAAAAAAAAAAAAAAGAAAAAAAAAGAAGAAAAAGTGGCAAAACAAGCACTTTAGTGGACGTACTTTGATGGTATACAGCCGCCCCCCAAGGATCACATTGCACCCTGGTTCTTCTTCTGCCAACTGCAGCATGCTCGCTCCATACTGGACCAAAAATGATTCTCCCCATTAGTCACTTGTCTGACATGTCTGACACAAAACATGGGAAAACAGGTTTAAAAAATAACAAAGTTACCCTTTATTACGGTGTAAAGAAAGTTAATTGTAAACAGAGATACATTACATACATGTATCGTTTCCTCAAAATCACTTGTGCGTGTGGCAGACTCAATCAATATTGCTATAGATATGGAGAGGTCATTTCTTAATGTAAATACAATTAGGGATGGTCCCGAATATTCAATTATTGGGTACACATTAGATTTTCAATTTGGGATTCGTATATTGATTTTTTTTTTTTTTCTTGCATGCCTGACTGCTCACAGCAGTGAACGTAACGTTCCAGTTCACATCAAAACCCACGCACAGTCATTGACCACCGCTCGTTATCTCTCCTGTCAGGTTTCTCCCTCACTCATGTCATTGCCAGAACTTTTTTGGGCATTCATATATTTGGCTTTAATCTATCAAATACATAGCTGTATCTCATGAAATTACAGCGTAACCCACCACCATGCGCACAGTGCCGTCAGAGCTTTGATTATTTGTTGTTAATTAATGTCGAAGCTTCGAAGCTCAAAAAATTATATTCGGGCATGCCCTAAATACAATAAATAAATAGCAGAAAATGCTGATTATAAATGGTATCAAAATGAGATTTGCCATCCATCCATCCATCCATCGTCAACCGCTTATCCTGCGTACAGGGTCACGGGGAAAATGGGATTTGATTTCATGAAAATCTTCACGTATAGTACCTTTCAGCTTCATGCACAGTTGTACCGTTGTTCTATGTATGCAGTTTTAAGGACAAACAGTGTCACTCCTGCATTACTAATCTAGGATAATGGAAAATTATAATATCACATGCAGCATGTGTTCTCATATTTTCTGCCTGACTAAGAAATCACCTCTCCTCCTCTCTCAGAGCTGCAGCTTTGGAGCAGTTTAAATCTTTGGGCGCAGAGCCGCTGGAGGTGGATTTCAAGGAGTCAGGAGAGGGTCAAGGAGGCTATGCCAAGGAAATGTCAAAGGAGTTCATAGAGGCAGAGATGAAGCTGTTTGCCAAACAATGTCAGGAGGTGGACATTGTCATCAGCACTGCTCTTATCCCTGGTATGCACAGAAGCAAAGACTCATACACAATGTAAACAAAGACTGTGTATGTTAAAAAGTGAAGGACACATTACAGAGGCACTGCCGTCAAACGAAAGGACATGTAAACAACTTCCCTCTGGTTATGGAATATCTGAATGTGAGACGCGTTTTCTGAGCAGTTAGTCAGAGAATTTAAAAATAAAATGGACAAGTCATGGAATATTAAAAAAATAGCTTTACCAGAACATATTTTACTGCAGCTTAACATTTGTTCCATTACTCCTCAGTAGCTGTAGTTAAAATGATTCAGTTCTTGGGTTAGTATGTGTAATGCCTTGGGGTCTGTGTTTCCATTGTGACATTGTAGGTAGACGGGCGCCCATCCTGATCACCAAACCAATGGTAGAGAGCATGAAAGATGGGTCTGTGGTGGTGGACTTGGCTGCCGAGGCTGGAGGAAACATTGAGACCACAGTGCCTGGAGAGCTGTCAGTATACAAGGTCAGTGCACATATTGTTCGCACATACTCACACCCATACCAAAAAATGTTTTCTTGGTTTGTGTTGATTGTCTTTTGACGGTGTCATCGGCCTTCTTTTCCAATTTAGTGTAACACCACAAAACGTTTCTGTTTTTTAATGTATTTTAGGGAGTGACCCATATTGGGTACACAGACCTTCCCAGCCGTTTGCCGACACAGTCCAGTACACTGTACTCAAACAACATCACTAAGTTGTTGCGGGCCGTCAGCCCCGACAAGGAGAACTTTTACCTCGACGTCAAGGAAGTGTTTGACTACGGGACCATGGACCACGTTGTCAGAGGATCTGTTGTCATGCAGGTATGATGTCTTATGTGGCCTACAGCTGAATAAACATACATGCGGGTGTAACGGCTGAGATTTCATACAGATGTGTCAACTGACACTGAGGGCTCAGCCCAGATAAAAACTGAGGATCCATGCTGTAGAAAATCATGCAGGTCCCCTACACAGTCACTAGATGTCACTCTAAGCACAAACAATGTCTTCTTAACTCTCTACTTTGAGCATCTTTACAGCAGAGTAATGTCTCCTTAGTACACATTAAACCTCATCAGCCATGTTTGAGTTTTAAGAGTAAAAAAAATGACATTGACCTAATAGTAATAATAAAGATACAACCACATGCTCAAAGATGGCTTTGATAACTCTATATAAAATGTCATTGTATTTTTCAGGGTCTCTGAGCTGCTTCTCACTGACTTTAGCTCTATTGGTGCAATTGTGTAGTCAACTGGAAAGTGGTTCTTGATAATTTCAGTCTAAAATACTTATAAAGAATTGTTAATGAGAGCACTATAGGTTGTCACAAATATATTGGTATAATTTTGTTGGCTAATAAGTGATAAGAAGGCATCTGATGCTGTTTGAGAAAGAACATCCAGCGGAAAACACGTTGCAATCCAGAGCATCTGCCAGCAGCTGTCAATTCTTTGTTGTGTTCTTTTAAGTACTTGTATTTGTGCGCACATTACATTTTCTCACTTTTCTGCATTGAAAAGGCTCCCCTCTTTTTTTCATAGTGCAGAAATTTAGATACAGCATAACACAAGTGCATTTTTCAACTGAAATGTCCTGCTCAGTACAGATGTTGGTCATACTTCTGCCAAACCAAATGTAAGAGATCCTCATCAGAATGTTTATTTTTATATTATGTGTTACTGTAAAAAAAGATTCTATAATTAAAAACTTAATTATAGAGGCAAAGCATCAAAACCGAGTGTGTGAGGCAGCGATGGTCCACCACACCTTCTGTAGATTTGCCTTTAATTCATAAATATCCATATTTTTTCAGTGAGGTCGAGTCATATCATTTATATCAGCTTTAGGTCATAGATCACTATTATATTTTAGGAAGATTGTTTTTGCTGCAATTAGTCTTAGTCAAGCTGAGGTCATTTTTTTGGGATGTTAGCTAGCAGTTCCACCCATATCGGATCACAGTAATGGGCTCACATCTAAATGATGCTGAAATGCAGATATTATGTACCTACTGATCATGAATTTGCTTACCTTGATCTTGACAGCACAGTCTAATGTTTCAAACATTTAGGAATGCAAGAGAGGTCTTTGTGCGCCATCAGGTAATGAGATCAGGGAAGAAAAGGAGAGATGAAATCAGCTCCTAATAAATGTCATTTGATATTGTTAATATAACTTACATTTGCCCTCATGCCCACCATCCTCTCTGTCTCATCTATAGAGCATAGATAATCAACATTAATATGACGATTAGGACAGATTTATTGAATTTTCTGTTTTTTACCCCCCCCCCCCCCCCTCTCCTTTTCACATCGTACCAACTCTGTCACCTCCAGAATGGAAAGAACCTGTTCCCTGCTCCTCAGCCTAACAATTTGCCCTCTGCAGCGCCTCCTAAACCCAAGTCTGTCCAGGAATTACAGAAGGAGAAGGCTTCCCAAATATCCCCCTTCAGGGCTACACTTACCACTGCTGGCTCATACACTGGAGGTTAGTCATTGTGGTTGAAACTGAATGTGCCATTACATTTTGATTTTCTGGTTAAATACAAAAATCAGGATGATGCTCTATCTGAGAAATGTGCTCATTTAAAGCTTTATTTTGTTAATTGCCAACCTTGGGTCTTAAGGGAGGTCGAGGTCTGCCGTAAGGTGAAGGGTAGGTTAATAACCAGCTTTTTAGGTCACTGCTGGAATGTGCACAGGAGGTGAGAAGTGACACACACAGACACCTTGTTAGGTGTCAGGAAGTGTGCATTGTAAAAACAGTGTCCCACTGAGTGTGTGTTTGAAGTAGCGCCGAAGTGAGTGGTTCCCACGGAGCCACAGAGCGCCCTGTAAGTGCGCCACATGCAGTTAATGTGGTTCACACATTGTTTAGGTGCTCGAGTGGTTTCCTACTTAACACCACCACACAGCTGATGATGTGCTCAACTGAGAACATGCTTTGTGCTGGTTACGTGCTTATTAACGCGGCTTGTGAGGTAGTCGGTTTAATAATTTTTGATTGACTGTCATGGACATAGATAACGTCTTTAGCTGCAACAGTTGCTTTGGAAAAGAAGGTTTGTTTGATGCTACCAGTTTAGAAAATGTAACCAGAGAAATCGCAATTTGACGATTGGATAAGTATAGCTGTCTGTTGAAGTAACAGGAAAAAAGGACAACGTGGGTGGTCAAGCGCCAACCACACCTTACAGTCAACCAAATGTCCTTAGAGTTGGGGAAATCTAGAAAACAAAATTAAGCTTTTTTTTAATCCGACTTTTCTTTTAAGTGAAATATTGAATAGTTTAATGTCTTCTCTTTGGCTATAATGCTCACAATTCATGTTCAATATTGGACAAAGACAATTTCTGGTCCTAAAAATACTTTATTTAAACAAATGATGTCTCTCTCTCTGTGCCAGGTGCTGCTGTCCTGCTGGGTCTGGGTCTGGCAGCTCCTAACGCCGCCTTCACGCAGATCGTCACCACCTTTGGACTGGCTGGCATTGTGGGATACCACACCGTGTGGGGAGTCACTCCTGCTCTGCACTCTCCCCTCATGTCTGTCACCAATGCTATCTCGGGTTAGTTGTCTTTACTGTGTTCAGCTTTTAAAACCTGTCTTTCAATTTGTGAAGTAATTTCTCAGTGATTGCATCAGTTTGAACCCTCAAGTTGAAGAGTTGAGGACATCTACATCTTTAGGTCACTGAACATTAAACCAGCACAACATGAAACATGGCGAACAAATATGGTACGGAACACCATCAAATTCTAACACATGGTATTAGTAGGAAATCAAAATAAACAATGTTAGAAAGCATAAAATAAAGACCTAGCTAGAGGATCAAACATGTAACATTTCAGTCCAGCAGGTCTGCAGTCCAAATAAAAAGATTGCCGTTATTGTCGGCGGCTGCTTAACACAGAGGGGTTAAGAGGTTAGAGAGGTAAGTGCATGTGTGTGTGTTGTCGTGGCTTTGATCGTGCTTAAGACCCACAGTGGGGTAGGAAGTAACACGCCGCCAGTGATCTTTGAGGGTCAGGGAAGTCCTTTGCTCATTTGCTCGTTTACTCATGCACACAGCCAGACACAAGAGCTCAGGTTGCAGAACCCAGCAGTGGAACACCATCTTACTTTGTCTGTGACTTATTTGTTGCCTTATTATACCTTCTTTTCAGTCATCTTGAAATTCAATATCTGTCAAATTCTAGCAATGCTTTTGTTTTGTTCACACTTTATAACGGCATCAGTCTACAGGGCAAAGGTTCATAAGATCATCACAGAGAACACAAATGAAAGAAATGAATAAGCTCCTTAAATTTTTTAGAAAGGGTACCTATTTTCTCTGCTCTGTTGTCTGCTTGCCCCCCATCTGTCCTCCTGTTCTCAACCTTTCCTCCCTGTCCAGGTATTTTTCCTTCATATTTGGAGTGGCCTTTATTACCTTTTTTATTCTTGCCACTGACTGCAGTTATGGAAACAGAATGGTCTCACAGACCAACAGAATTCTGCAGTTGTTGTGCCAGGCATCATAAAGAGAGAGACAGACACACACACACACACACACACACACACACACACAAAATATCATTCGCAGACATTAGGGAATAGTATTGGAATTTAGAGTATGAGTGAGGGACAGTTATATTATTCATTGGGAGGTTATAGTGTTACAACCAGGAGTGACTCTGGCTGGTGGGTCATCTTAAGTTCTTCAGACGCTGGTCTTATATCCATTGGCTTTATATGTGGTGTCTGATAAAAATGCTTTAATCTACTTGAGAGCACTGACACACTGTCACACTCTGCCTGTAGCCTGGTAGCTAATGTTTGTCACAGAGGCACACCTGCAGGACATTGGCCCACCCAGCATGTATATGTGCAGACTCTGACGCCTATTGGCTTTCTTTCTGGCTAATCTGTTCATTGTGGTGGCCAGTCTTGCCTTTGATCTCCTCCTTAATGGTATAACTGTACCTTTTTTTTGGGTCAGTGGGTGGGGTAGAGTCCAAGTAGCTTATTTCAATGATACATATTTTATCAACATTTAGGTCAAAAAAATGTATCGGTGGGACTCTGTATCCAATAAAGATATCCAATATTCAAGGACTGTGTTCGGGTTTGGAGTACACCCCTAGTAAGATTTTTTTTTTTTCTTTAGTCGGAACACATTTTGAGACCTTTTTAAGTCAGTTTAAACTACATTTTATTTAGCAAGAAGAGGCATTAAGAAATAATGATTTGGCAGTATATACAGATGGCTTAAAAATGTACACTTAAAGGCTTGATATATATTCTTTAAGCCAGCACCGTATTCAGTTATCAGAGGGGCATTGACTGCATGCTGAGGCCAAATACAAAAAGAACCTGAAAATCTTAATGTTACGGTAACGGTGTTATGAGGCAATTTACCGATTTGTACAGTGTTACTGATTCCATTGGTTTAGATACAGTTGCAATCAAAATTATTCAACCCCCACTGCAAATCAGGTTTATTGTCAAAATTTCCAGCCTTACAGCTGTTTGCAATGAATAAATCAAACAAAAGCAACTGAAATAACTCAACACAATGAACACTTCAAAATGTTTTCCCCAAATTAAACTGAAAATGCAACTCATAATGACTTCTCCAGTCTCAAAATTATTCAACCCCTTTAATAGAACATCTCAAATATGCAAAACAGGTTAGGCCTCAAGCACTCCTGATACAACTAACTAAGGGCTTTATTAGTTGCACCAGGTGTGCGTAAGCTAGAACACATGATATACCTGAACTGGCTAGGGGTTTGTTGAGTGTCACATTTGACTGCATGTTAGAAATATGGCTAAGTAAAAAGAATGGTGCAAAAGGTTAAGAGAAGAGGTCATCGACCTTCACAAACAAGGAACATGACACAAGAAGATAGTGAAGGCACTGAATGCTCAGTTGGAAGCATAGTTTGCAAGTTCAAAGTTACAGTGGTTACACTACCTGGACGGGGCAGAAAAAGGATGCTATCAACGGCTGCAACCAGATTTTTGAGAAGGCATGTTGTGAAAAGCTGCAAAAGACCTGCAGTACAACTTAGTGGCAACTTGCTCTGAGGTTTCAGTGAGCACAGTAAGGCGCATATTGAATGCAGATGGTTTCCATGCCAGTACTCCAAGACGCCCATACTGACTTAAAAGAAGAAGAAAAGATGGCTCCAGTATGCTTGAAATCATATAGACAAGCCACAGAAGTTTTGGGAAACAAAACTGGAACTTTTCGTCTCAATGGATCAGCTGTATGTCTTCACGTAAAAGAATGACGCATAGACTGATAAGAACACTCTGCCCACAGTTAAGCCTTGTGGTGACTCTGTGATGCTCTGGGGCTGCTTTGCATCCTCTGGCACTGGTAACCTGCAGCGTGTGAAAGGCAAGATGGATTCATTGAAGTTTAAGGAAATCCTAGGAGAAAATGTCATGTCATGTCATCTGTGAAGAAGCTGAAGCTTGGGAGTCATTGGACCTTCCAATATAACTGTATATAGGACAATGATCCCAAGGATACTTTAAATTCCACCAAGGCTTGCTTGCAGAAGAAGTTCTGGAAGATTTTACCGTGGCCACCTCACTCACCTGACTTGCAACTGTATATCTATGTATCCAGCTCACTGTCCAACACTCCAAGGCTTCAACATCAACACAGGGAAAGACCTACAAAGACTGAACACATTGAGAACAAAAATCAGCTAACGCTGACCAATGAACAGCTAATAGAAGCATTAAGATGCCTCAGAATAATTTTTAACAAGTGCAGCTAAAGATGTGTAAAGTAATTAAGATAAAGCTAATATTTTATTGGCTGGAACACAATATCGGGACAGGGGAGGCTGAAATAAGCAGAGCAAAACAGCTACTGAACATTGAGAGAAACATGTATTTGAAAGCATACAGAACAAGACTACAAATTGAATGTGAGCTCGGCTGTGTATTGGTACATATTCAATTACGAGTTTACCTTTCGGACATTGGCTTGCATCTGTGCCAATTCACACATCTGCGCAGCTAAGAGCAAAACATGCTCATCATGAGCCTATGGAGAAAATTGCTGATTTTATGGCATCCTGACAGACTTTCAGGCATTTGTGTGCTTTTTGAGAGCTTGTTGTTCCTGTGAATTCTCTTCTTTTTTTTTTTTAATATCACCATCACAATAACGTTGCATGTTTCCTGCTGTAGTCGTCTCATTTGTTACAGTGGAAAGTTTAAATTAACTAATTAGATGTTGTGAAATGATGTTTGGCAGTGTTTTTGAAACATGCTTTTTTTTTTTTTTTTTTTTGGAGTGATTATAAAGCTGACTTTGTTGGAGAAAACAGGAGGCTAGTGAGAGGAGGTCAAACTTCACATTTGCCTCATTTAGAAATCCAATCTAACACTATTGACTTCAAGCACTCACACGCACACATTACTCTCTACCTGCTAGTCAACCTAAATTGTACAAAAACACAATTCCGTGTGAATGCAGACTCCCAGGGTGCTGTGTGTTTCATCGTACTGCCTGTAAGTCATTACAGGGCTGATGTTATCAAGGTTTCCTGAGCCTCTTTTGGTAAACACACTCTCCTTCTCTTTCTCTCTCCTCCTTTTTTAAAATCTCAAAATCTTCCCACTTCTGTCTTTTTCCGATCTGGGTAGCAAACGGAGTATTCAGAATTTAAGATTAAACACAGATTAAACAATAGTAGTGTTAAGATGAACTTGTTTGTCACTAAATTTATGTTTTGTTGAGATTTTGCCTTTTTGTAACATCTTCGCCAACACCTTTAATATCCTGTATAATGAATTATGAAATTGGAGGGTAATGAATACTAAAATATCCCTGTTCTGCAGGTCTGACTGCTGTGGGTGGTCTGTCCCTGATGGGAGGTGGCTACACCCCAACAACTACTGCTGAGACACTTGCTCTGCTGGCTGCCTTCATCTCCTCTGTCAACATTGCTGGTGAGTCACCTGCACATAGACACCTCAGAGTTATCCCTGCCAGTTACAGCAACCTTTAGCCAATAAAATATCAACTTACACTGAAGATTGAAGTGTTTTATATTGATTGTACAATAACATGGCTTCAAAACCATGCAGCTGCCCTTTCTACCCACCGGATCAGACCAGAGTTGGTGGCTCTGGCTTGGACCACACACATTTATTCCTGCTATTACCCTTAATAATTCCCATTATAATGACAAAGTGTTCCTGGAGTCATTATAATACTCATCACTCTCTAATAGTCCTGGCAAACAGTGTGTTCCACTGGGGCCGAGCTGTGGATTTGTTTTAATTTCTTCTATTAGCTCACAGCTAGACACCAGGGGAGACTTTGATGCAAGCAAATGAATAATTAACTCGCATGATGGAGCAGTTTAGCTTGTTTGTTAAAATAAGTTTTATGTGTAAGAGATGCAGGACACCATTAGGTTTTAAGTTCAAGCAAGGCTGTGAATCCTGCCACAAATCTTGGGCCCTCTGGGATCTCTGACATTACTGTTCAAACCACCTATTTAATCTTTTTAGATTTCTCTTAACTTTACCCTTAACAAAAGCATGCTAAAATACCACATACCACTTTATAGAAATACCTAGTTTCTTACCCGTTGTTTAATTTCATTTTTTGATGTTCTTCATGGGTTCTGTTCCACACGCACATTTCTAAGTGGTTCACCACATTACCCATAAACCCCTGGGAACAGAAAATTCCATGGAATGGGACGAAACACAATAGTGAAATTTAGTTCCAATAAAACAAAAAAACAGACCCTGACATGTTTCGGCTTGTGTGTCTGTTTTGAGGAACAGGTCCCTGACCGTAGCTTCTTGTTCCCTTCGTCTCCACATGCTACATGGAAAACACCTGGGTCTGTTGAATATTTTGTGCTAAATATGTTCATGCTGCTTTCTATTTTATGTTTTTGTTCTGCATCTTTGTGGATTGAGAATGTCTATAACCTATCAAATCCTTTCATTTTAAACTGAAACCGCTACCAACCAAACAGCCACTGGGTTAGGGTGACCAGACGTCCCTGGTTTTGGTGGCCTGTCCTTGGAAATGTCCCTGTTTTTAACTGTGTGTTAATCATATACTGTATAAGTTGTTAACAGACCTGAAATCCGATTTTACATGGCCAGAAAGACTGGACAGCAGAGCATACTGATGTCGTGCCGAAAAGTGATTGTCTGCCGGGAACTGATTGCCGTCCGAGGGACCTCGCGCAGCATGTTAAAGCTGTGTTGCCCAGACGCTTTTCGACTACAGCTGCTTTTTTCTGGATCAAACAGACATAACGTGCAAATAAACATCACTTTATGTCTGTGGTAATAGCAAAGATAGGCTATGTCTTTGTGGAACTTTACCATTTCTTTTAATGGAATAATCACATTTGTGGCCAAATACGTGCAGTTTATAACAGGCATGACATTTATGTGATCATAGGCAATAATAGAAGCCTGTTGTTGCCGATGTATTATGTGTTTGGTAGGCGTATGTCTAATGTCCTTGTTTATATTTGGAAAACAGACAGTAGCCTATAATTAACATGACTTACTGCTGAGTTATATATAAAATGAAGACATGATCTCTCTTGCAGTTATCCTTATGACTCTACATTATTTAACTTGCTATGTACCAACCAATCCAGTCCATTTTACCTGTTAAAATACCTTTAAATGGCTAATACAACCCATAACATGCAGCATTTCACTTGCCAGAAAGTGATTACAGCCTCTACTTATTGACTGAAAGGTAGTTTCTGCCTCAAAATTACTTGATTTCATTCAGAAGAGTATATTTGAAAGAATATAAAACTGAAATTGTCCCCCCTTTTTATTTCATATATAATAACATTATATTTTTTGATGAAAATGTCCCTGGTTTTCATTTCAGAAATCTGGTCATCCTACACTATGCACTGCTTACACCAGTTTGCAGGCTAAATAGCTCATTAGCTAGTAGCACATCAAACAGCTTAAAGATTCACCAAATGTTGTCATGGGTCAGTTTAAATGCTCGTGTTATCCTTATTCTTGACTACCATTAACAAAAGCTGTCTGTCCTTGGTTTTATGAGCTACGGTTAGCACTACAAGGTTGTTTACTTTATTTCTTCACGCCTTTGCCAGTAGCAGAAGTGAGTTGATACTGGCTTTGCGTTGTTTAAATACATGAACATTCCTCCATATTAATATGTTGACTCAGATTGGTTTGCAATAATAGTAGTCAGTTTATTATGACATGTTTTAACTAGGACAGTCTACGACTGAAATTACATGATGTGGAAAGAAACAGGTGCTAGCCTCTGATTCACCTTGTATGTGTGGGAGCATGTGTGTGCACGTGGCTACAATCAAGACACAGGGAAAAAGGGAGACATGCACACGGTAATGCGATCTCCTCCTGTAAAGCAGTGAGACACCGTCTGGTCCCGGTTTGACACTTTTGAGGTTTCCTATTTGAAATATTTATACTGACATGAAGTAGACTCATTAAATTCCAAACATCAGTTATTGGGCTTGGCAACCGTTTTTAGCCATTGGCTTTACAACACCTATCGTTTAAAAATAGGTATTTTTCATGTACTTCAGGCACCTCAACTCCCTGCATTTACATCCCTGCCTCAACACCTCTTACTCTTTTTCCTTATTATGCTCATTTTCCGGTTCATACTGTTGATGTGGGTGCCTATGTGTAATGTTTACATGCTTTATGGTTCATAAAACACATTATTTTTCTCATATTTTATGGAGAAACGATTTACTGGTTTACATTCTGATGTCCATTGCCTGCTCTGCCTCAACTTTGGTGATTTCCAAGTTAGCGGATGGACAGACAGCTTTACTTGTTTTTAGCAGTTACGTTAGCTGCTAACTACTGCTAACTGAAGCTGCAGCTACCTAGTTAGCTCAGTTAGCCTGTTAGCTGACTCTACCTGGACTGTAACCTTAGTGCTCTGGGGGTTTGTTAGTGTTTACACATCTAACGTTAGTACGGGAGCATTGGACCGCTGGTTAAGGCAGGGCCAGCTGATTACAGCAGCTTCAATTAGCAGCAGCTAGCGGTTACCGTAGCGTTAGCAACAATCTTTCTATCAGGAAACTTCCTAAATCACAGAGCTGAGACAGAGCAGCTGGAGGAGATCAGAGGAAAAAAACCTTTACCTTTATTTACCTTTCCTTCATAACTTTAAAAGCACTTTATGTAAGACACACTGAACAACCTCCAGCTCTAGTTTGATGGAGCAACCGCTTGGTGTTAATTGGACAGTGGGGCTGAAAGGTGGATTCAGTATGTGTTCGATGGACTTCTACTGCGCTTAAGGGCTGAAAGAGGTCCTATGATAGACATCTGTTCAAGACGTCAAGGATGAATAAAAACATGAAAAAGTGGATTTTAAATTATATAGGTCCTTTTAGGTTTTTTGTGTATTACTACTCTTTTTGGTTCTGTAAAGCAGCTTGTAAGCCTGATTTTGTGCCACTGTAAGCACAGGTGAATTAATTTTCTGTCTCTCACCCAGGTGGTTTCCTGGTGACTAAGAAGATGTTGGACATGTTCAAGCGCCCCACTGATCCTCCAGAGCATAACTACCTTTATCTGCTTCCTGGTGGTGTCTTTGTTGGAGGCTACGCTGCTGCTCTTCAGTCTGGATACAACATTGAACAGGTGTGACAGGATGTTTTATATCACATCTGCATGTTTAGTATATATGTGGTTTTCAATCAATATATTCCCTCAGAATTGGTACAAAACAGCCCATAACTAAAAAAGTCAGCTATTCATCCTCCAGATGTATGCTTTGTTTTCCCAGATGTTTTACAGTACCTTCCAAGTAAATCATTTTGCCTTTTTTCCTCACCCTGTGGTCCTTAAATCCTTGTCTCGTTCTCTGTCTCTTTCTCTCTCCAGATGATGTACTTGGGCTCAGGTCTGTGCTGTGTCGGTGCCCTGGCTGGCCTTTCCAACCAGACCACAGCCCGTCTGGGTAATGCTTTGGGTATGATGGGAGTCATGGGGGGGGTCGCTGCCACTCTGGGAGCTCTCAAACCGAGTCCTGAGCTCCTGGCACAGATGAGCGCAGCCATGGCTGTTGGCGGCACCGCTGGTGAGTCTGTGTGAATGTCAGAAAGAGAAGGCAGGCTTGCAGGCAAACTCTTAATACTTGCAGATTTGTGTTGCGGCAGAAGTAAATTAATGGACAGGGGTTTTGCGTTGCTTTTGTCTGCATGTATTCCAAGCTTGGCCAGATTAAGCAGCAGGTGTGCAGAGCGCAGACTCTCTGTGATGTTTTCATCAAACACAACATGACTAACTCTCCGCCAGAGGTCTGTTGAAATGGTCAGCATTTTGTATTACTCACTTTATCTCGCTCACTCAGAACAGTTTAATCATTTGAATGCTAATTGTTCCAGTAACAAGGATGAAAGCCAGACTGAACTATCCACATAGACAATAATGCTCTTCGCCAGAAACATTAACGTTGCAAGGTTTCCAAACACACACGTGCACAAAATGTAGACCCACTCACCAACATGGAATTTCCCCAAACAGGCCTCACCAGCAACACCTGGTTCCTCAGACGAACCCACTTCCCAGCAGTCCTCTGAATGTGTGTGCACGTGCTTGTGATTTGCATGTTATTTGTGTGTGGGTCTTTCAGGGCCACTGCACTTTATTTATGTGTTATACGTCTCACTCTCAGTCAATCTCTCTCGCTTTCTCTGTAGGCCTGGCCATTGCTAAGAGGATCCAGATCACAGACTTGCCCCAGCTGGTGGCTGCCTTCCACAGCTTGGTGGGGCTTGCCGCAGTGCTTACCTGTGTGGCCGAATACATGATCGAGTACCCCCACTTCGCCACAGACCCTGCAGCCAACCTCACCAAGGTTGTAGCGTACATCGGTACCTACATTGGTGGAATCACTTTCAGTGGCTCTTTGGTGGCATATGGCAAACTACAAGGTGAGAGAAGTGCAATCGTGCATAATAACTTCATATTATAATTAATAAATATATAATGGAAGCAAACATTTATACTTTCCGGATACAGACAGATCTTGTATCAGTGCTTCAGTTTGAAAGGGCACAATCTGCATTGCTTCCATGCTGCATTCTGCGTTTTACTTACCTGTTTTCCAGTGTTTGTGATGTCGAACGTGACTCATCAGGAAAAAAATTAAAATGCAAACACGTCTATTGGCAAAGGAAAATGCATATACACGCTCATTTTGGTGTAAAAAGGGTATAAAGCACATTTACCACAGTTGTTGGTGACACAGGTAGACAAAGAGAAGGCCTATACTGCATGTCAATTGGTGCCCATTATGTGTTTGCTATTTGACTCTCTACAGGGCTTACTTTGCATGATATACATTGGAGAAACCTTTGATGGGGATTGGATTGACCTTGTTCTCTCTGAAGAAACAGTTTGATATTTCAGGAAATCAACTTGTTCATTCTTTACTTTCTTTCCGAGAGTAAAAAAAGAAGTTCAATACCACACTTTGTTTGTGTACAGATAAAACAAATGAGATAAAATGTGTTAGTGAGTTTTAGAGGCTCTGGTACGTGGATTTCTGGATTGAGTTAGGCCAGCTGTTTCCCCCTGCTGTCTTTATGCTAAAATAAGCTAATCTACTCCTGGCTCTGTTGATTCCCCAAATTTCCTCAAATGCCTCTTCTTCTTAAACTTCTGGTCTGAGACGTGAATCCAATGCGAAAGTTCCTTAAACCTGCATTCTATTGAATGGCCAGCAGGGGGCAACTCTTCTGGTTGCAAAAAGAAGTCTGGCTACATTAGAAATAATGGTAAAATTACCCTACTTCTCAGCTGATTTATTACCTCGGTAAACACTTTCCTAATGAGTTTATGGTCTCAATCGCTAGTTCCATGTCTTCTTCAATACAACATGATGTTCATTTAGTAAATTATGGTCCCATTTAGTGGAAAATAGATCATAAAGCAGAGTATGCTTCAGGGCGGGATTATCTATGAGTGACAAGTCGTTACCATGGTGACCAGTCAATCAGACTAGAGTGACTCATACCCACGGCACTGTGTAAATTTAACTAACGCTGTTGAAAAAGCGTATTAGGAGTTGGCTGTTCACTTTCTCTGGCGAGTACATTTTGTTTTAAGACCGTTATTCGCTGGACAAATTTGTCAGCCCTATTAAAATGACAGTTAATGTGAATTACAGATGCCCCTAGCTAAACAAGCTAGCTAGCTCCACATATGGCCGTTAGCTCCACCGTCTTGTCCAAATATGGTCACGTCTGGTGCCTCTGGTTGCAAAAAAACTCAACATGGCGGCATACTAATGGCAGTCCACAAACGAACGGGTGATGTCACGATGACTGTCCACTTATATACAGTCTATCTATTATTTTATTTTATTTTATTTACATCAATTCAGTGGAACCAGCACCAGTCAGGTAAGCTGTAAAGCTTTAAAATTAAGGAGTAATAAAAGGAACATACAGATGACAGATTATATGTCAGCTTGGCTGTACTGTAGTTATCAACAAGAGAAGCTCTGATGCTTTATACCCATTGCTGCCTGCAGTAAAGAAAGAAGTTCATCAGGTTCATGTGCTGGCACCAGTCCTAGGCAGCCACACTGTAATTTCCACGTAGGCAGCAAGTGTTTTATTAGGGCAAAATATGCATGAACATGACCATTCAGTTAGTGACAAGTCTCAAGTGGTGGCTACTGAAGGATAAATCTAATTATAAATGCAAAATGTATAAGCTATACAAGCTTTTTCCTGTCGTTTTGATTCATGCCTTTCTAAGACAAGTTTATAGCTGAATGATACATATATAGAAGTGTTTATTTACAGATATTAGTGTTTTATTTGAAATTCCTAAATCATATAATTTTTTTCTCTTCCCTTGCCTCCCATCATCCGTCCATACAGGTGTTCTGGACAGTGCTCCCCTGATGCTCCCTGGTCGTCATGCTCTCAACGCAAGCCTCATGGCGGCCAGTGTTGGTGCGATGATTCCCTTCATGCTGGATCCCAGTTACACCACAGGCCTTACCTGTCTCGGATCAGTCTCTGCTCTCTCTGCTGTCATGGTAGAGTGTGTGTGTGTGTGCGTGTGTTTGTGTGTGTGTATTTCTGGGGTCTGTTTTTGTTGGGGTCTTGTTTTTGTTGCACTTGGTGAGGTCCATAATTTGAAAAACTGCTGTTGAAAATATGCTGTTAAACGACTTCAGTAAACACCAGGAAGGTGAAACTGCATAAAACAGAATGAGAAAAACTAGAATGTTATATATGAGAAAAAACAGCAAAAGGGATTTACTAAACAAAGTCAAGGATGAGGCTTCATGCACAGATAATGGTGCAGTTGCACAGAAATTCATCCAGAGTTGAGCTGTTAATCATCTGGCTGCCATAGTGGCAAACAAGCGTGACTTTGGAAACTGCCAGGTTTCTGCTTGTATTAGACTCATATGCCACAGAGTTTTTCAGAGACCGAGATGTCCTTTGTCAACAGCACATTCAATAGATATTTTTCCTTAGTAGTAATAGAAAGTCTGTGGCAAATCAATTTCAAGGTAATTGTAACTGGCTTCTGCAGAAAATCATTTTTAAAAAGCTTATGCAGTAAGTTAAAAGGACATTAAAAAAAGAAAATTTTACAAAAGGTTCTAACTTTGCATAGTAATATAACAGTCAAACGGCCCCTATCATGACAGGTCATCAGCGATTCACCGAGAAAGGAAAAAAAATCAATTAACCGGAAAGTTACTCTCAATAGGCCTTCAGGGTTCCTATACAGTATGGAAAACACTAAAAAATAGGGGGGAACAATAATATAATATTATTTATATAAAATATTAAGGGAAAATAGTCAGAATGTCACATATGTTAATGGTTTAATTTTAAGCAATGTATTTACATAATAAACATCTAGCTATTTGTACTCTGATGTCATATATGATCTCAACAATCTACCAAGAAGTGGAAATTTATACCGGGATAAGTATGGAATTTGGAAAATGTGTAGGAACCCTGGGCCTTGGTAGTTTATTTCTACTGATGTTGAGTTTGACAGGTTCTGATTATAGATTATAATCCGGTGAATCCAGGCAGAGAGTGCTCACTAATATAATTATTGTAAAAAGAAAAAAATACAAACGCAGTGACATGTTGGAATTTCAGCATTTTTGCCTGCTTTTTATATTTACACGTGTTGCTGGGAAAATCAGCAGGTGGACTGATGAGTGCATCCCTTGAGAAATTGGATGGATATCATTTCTGATATAAATGAATTTGTTTAAAATAGCTGTGTCTGATCTCTAATCAGTCTTTAGAGTACAGTATAATGCATCATCAACTATATGTGTGTGTGTGTGTGTGTGTGTGTGTGTTCCCTCACTTGCATAACTTCCTAAAAATAAACCTACAGTATCTCAACAGTGTCAACAAAAACAATATATGATGTGCACCTGTGCGCATTGGAAATAAATCAGAACACACTCCTGGATCTTGAAAATATAGTTGGCCCCCAGATGATAGAGGGACAGAGTGGATTTGATTGTGAAAAATGTAACTGAAGTTAGGAACGTCAGTGAAAGAGAAATGTTTAGTTTTTTTGAGGTTCAACAAGTACATCACTAAGCTAGCTAGTTCTTGTTCTTATGGAGGAGGGAGAATTTGTTAATACTTGATAACATTTTAATAATTATCTTCACTTCTCCCTTACGGATCACTTCTCTCCTTTATAGCTGGTCCTCACCTCTGCTTTCTAATCTGCTAATCTGATTACAGCAGTGGATGAAACTCCTCTCCTGCTTTTTCTTCTTCTGTCCTTTAGGGTGTCACCTTGACAGCAGCTATTGGAGGCGCTGACATGCCGGTGGTAATCACCGTACTGAACAGTTACTCAGGCTGGGCCCTGTGTGCCGAGGGCTTCCTGCTCAACAACAACCTTCTGACCATCGTCGGAGCGCTCATTGGATCGTCTGGAGCCATTCTGTCATATATTATGTGTGTGGTGAGTGAAGCTCAGTCTCATCTTAAAGGAGAACATACACTGTAGTGCTACTGCCTTGAGTCTCAGTAGCACTGTTTGAAATTCCAAAGTGCAGCATTTGATGCGTTTTTAGCACACTGTTAGCACACTGTTGCATATGGTTGTTCCTCTCCTGTCCACCAGGAGGGACTCTAACTTTACCATAGTAAAGAGTCCCTGTACTGAAGAAAATCTCAGGTCACAAATATCACTTCTTAGACATTGCTGTATTTTGTATCACAATGAAGTTAAAGAAAAAGGTAAATAACTCCCCCCACCCCCCCACTCCAGGCCATGAATCGTTCACTGGCTAATGTGATCCTGGGAGGCTACGGCACGTCTTCCACCGGTGGAGGAAAGCCCATGGAGATCACAGGGACACACACAGAGGTCAACGTGGATCAGACCGTCGACATGATTAAAGACGCCCAGAGCATAATCATCACTCCAGGTTAGAAACGCACACAAATACACACACACACGCACAACTTCACACACTTCAGAGGTCTTGTACGTGAGTGGAAAAACATGGTACTTTTTTTTAGCATTAGCAAAGTGTGTGTTCTGTTTATTTAACCTTTTCTTGACCCATGTTACATCACGATTTTGCTAGGCTAATTGACAAGTCATGGTAAAGTGCCCACACACACACACTCAGGTTTCTGTGTGGTCGTCAGTCCCTGGTAAATAGACATTCTACAGTGCAGCGTATATATGCAAGGTCAAGGGGAAAATTAGATGGAATGAGGGTATGCTGGGTTTTTGTTGACAATTCCAATAATACGTTCAAAATTGGCTTCTAGTTCCTTTTTCAGGGTTGGAGTGAATGGTCCAACCTTTGCAGCTACATGCTTATTTTTTTGTTTCACATGTTTTTTCAATATTTGACTCTAAATTTGTGTCTGAACCTCCCACTTGGGCAATTATGATGGTCCTTGGAGCTGCTGTCCTGAAATAATCATTGTGTGGCCCAGTGACATTTTTGTCCTCTTGCCAGACTGTTGTGAACTAGTCACAGTTCCAAAGAGTTGTTTTGCTCACGTGGGTACATGTAAACACAGACCAAAGGCATTCAGCCTGCAAATTGGTGATTCCAGTCAAAGTGCTGAGTGCCTATATACAACTCTTTAGAGGATACCTCTGCAGTTTAAAAGAATTGCAAACTTAAAAGTGGTCACATGGTTGAGAAGAAGTGAAAAAGAAGTTATCTATGGAGATGAATCCAACGTAGATTAAACCAGCTCCCCCCCTTACTTTTGTGAGACTAACACAAAAGCTGAAAAACAGAAAACAGGCCAAAGACATTTTGAGTTGGAAGGGAGTGGGATAAATGAAGGAGCGGAAATGAAAAATCATGTGTTTTTTGTCATTTTCTTATTCTAGCTTTTTCTCAAATGGTCTGCAAACAATACAACACCAACCAGACGAATAATAAAATGCCAGGCATTTCTTTGAATAATTATAGAAAAACCTAAACCAGTAAAATATGAGAAGAAACTAATCATATTACAACCTTTCAAAGTAATTTCATGAATTGAGTGAGACTTTGAGGGTCAGTCAGGGCATCACAAAACCTTTAGACCAGGACGTGAAAGCCGCACACTTGCAGTGGTTTTACAGACATATTCCTCTCTGCAGCTGCAACATTTGTAAGAAACATCAGTGCAAAGTTTATATGCTATTGTTCAGACATCAATAAAATTACACACATTTATTTAAAGTTCACGCATCGCATCGGCATCACAACCATCCAAATGCATAATTCTTCTCTCTACCATAGTAGTCAGTTGTCAGACTAGTGTCGTTACCCAGCTCCGTCTTTCAGTCAGTCCCCGTGTTTCCATTTTGACCATTCTCCCTAATTGGAGCCGTCACAGTCACTTTGCCTGATTGACATCTGTGGAAACAGTCAAGACTCTGCCTGATAAACATAAGAGTTTTCCTGGCTTCGTCTGGCCCATCTCGGCATGGTCTGGGTCCACTTGTTTTTCTTATAGGAGAAACTCCAGAGAGAATATTGGAAGCACAAGGAATGAAAGAATTGGAAGCCATTAAATTGTTGAGCTTGACTGCAGAGAGTCAACCATGTTTCTTCTAGGCTTTTTTCTTTTTTCTTCTTTTATGCTGAGTTTTAAACCATGTCATTTTGATTGGTGTGTCGGAACAAGACTTTTTTCTGACTGGTTGTTGTGACGAGGCTAGTAAACCCCACTGGACCGTTAGACATGTGTTTGTGTGACTTGATAAAAATCAAGTACCACACAGCAGCAGCATTAAACATGATTGGAGAGAAAACATGTATTGTGTATAGAATTATATGGCAGCTTTCATATATAAATATGAATACATGATTAAAAGTTAGTATTCGGAGACATGAAGGCAGTAATAAGCAAAAAATGCTTAATTGAAATAAATATATATGAGAGCTTTTTTTGTTGTATCTATTGTTCAATCCATCATCTGAAAGTTTGCACCTTATAAGAGGCGAGTTGTTGCAGGAAGACAACGGTGGAAAGGTGAGTCTGCGTTGGAGAGAGGAGTTTGTTGTGTTGGAGTGACGTTAAGAAATAAAGGCTTGCTAGCAGTTCCTCTTTGTACACAACTCCTCTCCACCATCGTTTCCACCGGCGTCTTCCTGCAGCAACTCGCCACTCGCGAGAATTGTCCTTGAGCAATACTTCTGTTTCTTGTTAAAAACAACGGGTGTTACTGGGAGTCACTTTGACTGGCGCAATTGCCCCGAAGGAATGCATTGCAGCAGTTTCAGAATATATGCTCCCGACAATATATTAAATTGTGGTTGAAAGGATTTGATATTATGCTTATTTTCTGTGCTTGCTCACGGTGTGCTGTTGAGCATTTTATTTTTCTATTTCTGGATTGGTAAAAGTTATTTTGTGGGCTGCACATTTGAGAAGCTGGAACAAGAGCATGTTCAGTGTTTTTGCTTGGAAAATTACTTGGAGAATTTAATTGATGGTCAAAAAAAGTTAATTGTTTGTCGATCCAGAAATTGATTAATCTACCAATGGTTGCTCTAGTGCAGACTAGAGGAGCCTGTGCGGCTGGCACTAGACGAGTCCTAGACTGTCGTCATGTTAATGTGCGGTGCACAAACCAAACGACTCAACCGTACTACAAGTTATTTCAGTCAGAGACCAGTGGAAAGGCACTCTATCTCTTTGTCTGCTGCCCCACTCCTTCTTATAAGGTGCTCCAACTTCAAACATATTGTTTTTGGTCCAAACATTGTTTACATTGAGGTCAAGACATGTCTCAGAACTGCTTGCACTAGACCACCTCTTGTCATATCTGCATCAACACAAGATTTTTTTTTTTTCTCTGATCACAAACAGTTGTTTTTAAAATCTCTTTCAGGTTATGGACTCTGTGCTGCGAAGGCCCAGTACCCCATCGCTGAGCTGGTGAAGCTACTTAGAGATGCAGGCAAGAATGTCAGGTAAAGGGTTGATAAAACTCATGTACATGAAATGTACCTTCATTGAATGAATCTACAGTACTACAGTAACTAGTGTGTCTCAGGTAAACAGTTTTGGGAAAAGTAATGCATGTTCATAAACAGTCAGCTGTAATTTAAAGAGACGGATATATATAGATGGTATATATATGTCAATAGATACAGACCGTATAGATGGATGCACATGTAGATTAAGGAGGATGGAAATAAAGTAAAACAGTTTTACCAAATACAAGATGTCAACTGTAGTACAAAGGACATAAAAGACGAGTTGAGGTTTGGGCTTGATGACAAGGAGATGGGACGGGACAAATAGGAAGAGATCTGTGTGAGAAGAAGGAATGAGAAAAGGGGAAATGCGAAAGAGACGAGAGGAAGGACAAGGTAGAGCGGAAGCTTTTGTAATTGTCCTGCCTCAGCCGTTTGATCCTGGCTGTTGCAGCTGCTGCTACTTAGAGCATTTGTGCTTGATTAGAGGAAAGTGGGTGGTCAGGAAAAAAAAAAACCTTCACCCCCCCAATCTCTTTCTCTCATATTTTCTCTTTCTCTCTGTTCTGTATTCTAATGCATTCTCTTCATTTGTCACTGGTCTTCTTACTATTCATATCTGTCTGTGCAATCCTTCTACACCTCTTCCTCAGTCTTAATAAACCACATGCTGTTTTATTCATTTTCCTTGGTCACGAGTTTGAAAGCGCAACACCAGACCAAAGCTTCTGCATCTTCCCACTGTGTCCTCCAATGCATGCAGACTGTATGGAATTACAGAAACTGACTTTTTCAATCGGCAGCCACAGCTGCTAATGGATCCCAGAACTGACAGGCGGTCTGCACTCTGTATCCGCCTAAACTTGCAGAACAAATAGAAAATAAATCTCTAAATGGTGGTCAGTCACATGGCAAAGCGGCTGGAAGGGTAAAGAGAGAGAGCCAGCAACCAGAATTCAGTGGTTGGTGTTAATTCTACCCTGATTACATGACATGGCTAATTGAGTTTGAGAGCTATGTACACCCAGTTACAGACATGCGCACACACTCAACAAATAATATATGGTGGAGGATTGCAATGGGAAGTGTGCGTGTGTGTGTGTAACCAGACAGTATTCACAACATCTCTCAAATCCACTTGTCCAACATTTATTTTGATCTCTTCTCTCCCTTTGTCATGTCAGGTTAAAGATAATGGTGGTCAATAAACAGGTCTATAGAGGAGTGACTGTATTCAAGGACTCATTAAATTTTGTTCCCACAGGTTTGGTATTCACCCTGTGGCTGGCCGTATGCCCGGTCAGCTCAATGTGCTGTTGGCTGAAGCTGGTGTCCCATATGATATTGTCCTGGAGATGGAGGAGCTTAATGAAGACTTCCCTGGTAAGAGTCAATCCTTTCTGCCTTTTACATACGGACTGAAAATGTTGATGATTTTGCTGTTGTGAGTTTCCAATGAAAGCAGATGGCATTTAAAAATATCGAGTTAAAAGGAATAGATTGACATTATAGGAAATGGATTCACTTTTTTGTTGCGAGTTAGATGAGAAGGTAGATACCGCTCTCATGTTTGTACGCTAAATATGAAGCCAGAGGCAAGCAGACAGTTAGCTTAGCAGAAAGACATTTTAATGAGAAGTTCCAAGTGAAAACATATAGTTATACTTTTCAGTCGGATTGAAATCTCTCACACAGTTTAGCCCATAAAAATGATGCCAATGAGCCAAACAGAAACACAAAAACAACTACTCTTGTGATTTTGCGAGTAACATCGACTTGTTCCAGAAACATACAGCAATACATTTTCTGAAATTTCTTGGTATAGCTGTAAAATCTGTTTCATATGGTTACATGGATTGACATCATTTTGGAATTTTCCAACCACATTTTCCCCATAAACCTATTTTTGTAAACTTCTCCCACAAAATTGATCCCATCGTCTCCAAGTGCGTCATGGCCAATCTCCGACTAAATGAGCCCTAACTTATAAGCCATATCGCCGGTCCACACAAACAAGAGACACACAATTAGAAATATTTGATTTGGCACGTGTTGAAATACTCAAAATGATTGTTGGTTATTTTAGGGTGTGAAGTGTGTGTGACAGACTGAACTGTGACAATCGCCACAAAACCACGACACACTGTAATTGTGTTGGAAGGGAAGGGGCATCACTTCCCAAACGTTACACCTGCAGAAATACAACTTGATAACTTGAGTTGATAAGCGAAAGACTGGATGAGGGGAAAAAGATATCAAAGCCAAAGATCAATATTGCACTTGCAGATCGAGTTAGCATTTAGCTCAAAGCACCGCCACATCCTACGTACATCCTCACGGAGCAGCTAGTGTAGCTGTAGACTGTTGTTTCTAAGTTGCAAAGGCTGAAAGAAATAAATCCAGAAAAACATGACGTCAAAGTATTGAGATATGTTTTCTAATTTGATTTGTTACGTGTCCAATCAGAAACGGACCTGACCCTGGTGATCGGTGCCAATGACACAGTGAACTCAGCCGCCCAGGAAGATCCCAACTCTATCATTGCCGGTATGCCTGTGCTGGAGGTCTGGAAGTCGAAGCAGGTGAGACATCTGGTACACTCATGTGTGATAATGAGGTTGTCCTGAAGCCCTAAAAGATAAAGAGGCTTGGAAGATTTTACAATAACTGCACTGCTTTTTATCGCCGCAACTTAATGTTGGGGAGTCCTGCTTGAAGACACACACAAACTTAAAGAAATACATTCTCACACACACACACACGCGTGGACTCAGGCTCACATACATAGACACAGATTGTTACTGTTCCAGATGCAATCCCATCCTGATCCCATTAGTGGTGATCGTGTCGCTGTGGAATGACGACATTCAGAGCGTCCCATTGGCACGGCGCCGAGATCTGGGATTTATATTGGGCTCCTTTGTGTGCACACGCACACGCACTTTCCCCCGGGGAAATCAGAGAGAACATTCTACCTAACCACACACACGCTCATACAAACGCATACAGAGAGACGCACAAACAGGTGAAAACACACAAAGACAAACATTTGGGTTTACTAACAAAATCACACAAATTTCATTTACTATTCACATACACTAGTTTTAGACATTTGTTTAAGTCAAACTCAACTAAAATATGTCCTTATTGAATTTATGGTCCAAAACAAACTGTAAAGTCTTTATATTTCTGCTTCTTCTTCACTGTAGTAATCTCCAATTTTCCACTTTGAGGCTAATGAGTGTCTGTCTGCCCCCCCCCCCCCCCTTCCTCCAGGTGATTGTGATGAAACGTTCCCTGGGCGTGGGCTACGCCGCTGTTGACAACCCCATCTTCTACAAGCCCAACACTGCGATGTTGCTAGGAGACGCCAAGAAGACTTGCGATGCTCTGCTGGCCAAGGCCCGCGAGTCCCAGAGCCAGTAAGGTTACTCTGGGACTAGTGTGGCACACATGGAGCTAGTGTAGTACACATGGCGCGAGGATGTTTTCCCCCCCAAAAGTCTCAGTATTAAGATCTTCTTTGTCCCATTGTGACTCAGCCAGTTGAGCAAAGATGATCTCTAAGATACAATGTTTATGACACACCCTTCCTATCATTGATAGATTTAAAAAAAAAAAAGGCAACATTTGTTGTAAAAAAACAAAAAAATGCTTGTGCAGTAAAGCCAAGTAATGCAGATACTGTAGTTTTACTCCCAGTTTTCTCTTTGACACGTTTATTGTGTTTATTAGTGAAGGAAGGGTACGTCAAGCACATGCACATGGTCTGTAATCTGCAGAGCAACTGACAGATCTTCATGTTAGACACCTATATTAATGTAATACAATCAGAAATGTAGATGCAGTAAGATGTTAGATTTGTTAAATTTCACTGTTAAGATGTTTTAGGAAATAGTAAGTTGTTGAAAGAAAATTGAAGACGAATTGGAATTAAAAAGGAGCTACGGCAGAGATATAAACATGAGCCGCCAGAGAAAGAGGTCTGAGAGACTTATGTTACAGCACTAATGTTTTCCCACGCTGTAAAAACAGTCCCCCCCACCCCCTCTCCAGACTTATTATAGTAAGGTCATTTGATGTTCTCTTTGAAAGATCTGTTTTGCTCTAATGTCCCACCTTCTTTTTCTGTACAAGTAAAAAAAGCTGAATAGTGCAACATTTTTGTAAAGTTCTTTCAGTTCCAGTTTTATACTGTATTGAGAGATTTTTGTATTCGGTTTAATAATTATCATTAACCTAGAAAATGATCCTGTTTTAAAGCCATAACCAGTTATCCAAAATCTAGTCATGCTACTTGCTTTTTTTCTTTTCACTTGAGTGTGTCTTGTGACCTCCACCCATGCCCAGATATCACACATGGATCCAAAAACTGTCAGAAATCCACTCAAACCTCGTCTATCGAGCATTTAATGCAATAAAACAGAATGGATCTGACCTTTAAGTGTAAGACCACAGCTACCCTGTAATGCTAGTAAAGACTGTGCTACTCCTACAAACAGCTCTGATAGCTCAATGTATTTTATGTTTTTGAACCAGGCGTGTCCCATCATCCTGTGTGGTTCTGATGTTATAGTATATGTCTGGCCTTTGGCTTTTACGCTAAAGAAGTTTTTTTAATTTTTTTTGGCTCATCCACTCCAATATGTGTGTCCTTGTTATGGCTTCAGAAGGAAATGTAAAGTAGGGCCATATGTAAACCTGACTGTTGTGTAAAGACAACAATGAAGTTAATTGATTTGATTTGTTGCCGCATTTCAGAATACGTGAATTATTCAACATTATTATTAATTGTGCATTTCTAAATTCAAATGTTCCCTTTTCATTTCTTTTAAACTTGTGCCAAAACATCCCCTTTTGTACTCAATCTGGATAGAATCCATGGCACAAATGTAGATTGATTGGTTGTTGTCTAACCACTTGAGTAATTCTTGAAAAGATCCCTGACATAATGACAGTAGCTCCCACGCTACATCTGTCTTCACACAGCTGAGCTAACTGAACTAAAAACACCAAATACCTTGTCCACCAAGTTTGAATTTTTGACCAAGGTTGGTTTGCTGCCATCCTATTATTACTTTACTTTCTCTGTGTTTTATGGCCATGATACAGTAAAAGAATCAGTACGTTTCCTTTGTACAAGGTTTGAGGAACAACAGGTCATGAATTGACAGGACAACTAAGTTAGTACTGTAAGAAGTAAGTTATTATGTTAACCCTGGGGCCGTATACATTGACCATGACAACTATCCTACCTCTCCATAAAATGACCAATAACTTTGCATAGGACCTTCACCTGACCAATCATCAATGACTGAATCTACTACGGGCCAGTCATTTACCATACACACACTTGCATACCCTAAATCTGCACAATTGCCTTCTGTTTTGTGTTCATTGTTTTTTAACCATCAGACCTCAGTTTGCTGCTGACTAGTTTACTGTATGTTATGCAAGTGAAGAGCTGCAGATGTCATTAGTGCTCATGAGGCTTATTGTTCTTACATGTCAGTTTACACAAGCAAACGCAATCTTTAAGGACTATTACATTGAGATGTCTGCTTAATATTTGGAGCCTGTTGCCATTTTTTGTACTTTATAGGTATTGATCAAATTAGGGGAGATGGAAAAATCTTAAGAAATTTACCATGGCCAAAAGCAAACCAGTCCCCCCCCCCCCCCCCCTCCATTTCCTTACCCTTTTTGCTTAAGGAAAGTATTTTTTTAAAGAGGCTATTTGTGCAGAGCAACAATGGGGTTTTGAAGTTGTACAATGTTTCAATGCACCACATAGGGAGTTAAAATGATGAAATGTACTGTGAATGTTTTTCTCCTCATGTTTATCATGGAACATTTTCATCCCTAATAAACCTGTATTTACACTAGATGTTGTCCGAGGCTGTCATTCCTTCCCTGACACACTCGTAAAGCTGCAGCTGAATTCCCTAATAATAAACAAGTTGATCTGCGAGGTTTTCCCTGAGGTCTACCACAGCTTTGATGGTAATGTTACCTGCCCAATTTTGCACGGCAGGGTTGAAAACTCAAATATTTGCAGCAATTACCTGGATGAAGGATCGTGAGGGGAAGGAGTTGTATGCACGCTACTTAATGTGTTCAGTGTTGCTTTACAGAGGGAAGACCACATAATGCAAACACCTTGTGTCAAGCAATTTTAGCTATATCAAAATCTGGCAATCAGCACTATGATTGGTGAGTTCTCAAAGCAAAAGGTGCCAAAACTGCAGGTGCATCGGCCAGAAAAGCAAAATATTTAAAATGTAGAAAGTAGGAAGAAAATATATGGTAACGGGCCTAATCTGGAGGAACTGTTTCCAAATTTCTCACACTGAAATGGAAATGAAATGCAGCTCAAGAGTTCAAGATAACTATAACACATTGTTTTTAAAAAGATACTAAAACCTTTACTGAAAGATCATCACAAATAAGCCTCTTAAATATAGCTGGGAGGATCCCGCAACCAGTCCTGCAACAAACATCTCATCTAATCCAAAAATGAAGGTATGAGATGAACAGCTCTACTTTGATGAGGGATAGTGGGAAGAAGATGCACATGCTGGTTAGGAAAACCACCTCTCTAACCTCCAAGTGTCCGCGTGCAACAGAATGGGATCGCATGAGTCCATCATGAGGGTTGTGATAATGACTGAAATGTAAATAGTTTGTGTGACATTTTCACCTACAAGCGGCACTTGATTGCCATTCATCAGGGGAGAGTGAACTGGAGGTACTTAGAAGGGGAGTGGTGACTATAGAGATGGAGGAGATTAGACCGTAGATAGATTTATGAGGATGGGGATTGCATGTGTATGAGATGAGGGTGGCTTCATCCTGCAACAAGTAGCACTCAGACGAGCTGTTATCTGCTCTCAGGCTGGAGGAGATCTGAAGAGAACTGTCACTCCCCCACGAGAGGCAAGATGCAGCGATAGTGATAATCATTTACTTTGTGAGCATCATCTTTTTGAACTATTGCATTCTTGTATAAGTCATCTCTAGATTCATCCAATTTACTTCTTGTAGATGTTTATTTCTGATGAAGTATGCATCTGGACGGTCTAAGGTCCTGACCAAGGTCGTGTGTCTTTGTGGTGTTTGTGTGTGAGATAGAGAGTGATAAGTGGTAGAGACGGCTGGAAGATCCACAGGTCTGAGTGCTGAGGTGACAGCCTCCTCAGTTTAAGCTGGCCTATTGTCACACTGCCAGTATTTACTCAGAGCGCTGAAGGATAGCCAGCATGTTCCAACCACAATAAGCCTCCATCCTTCCTCCCTACAGGGATACTCTGTCCTCCCCGAAAAAAAAACACTGTTTGTTTTGCCTTGCCTTGCATGCAATTTGATGTGGAGGGTATTATTATTATTATATGACGGGAGTGTGTTTTGGTGAGTGAATGCTTTTGAATCAATTTGATGATGAGAAGACTATGTGGATTCCATGTTTGATAAGGTCAGTGAGCATGCATGTGCCTGTGTGAAAAGAAAATATGCAGTTCTGGATGAGATGTTCAGATTATTTTACTAATCTACTAAAGTAGAAATACCACAATATAAAAATACATTCAACCTTTTTTTTGAAAAATTATAAATGCAGAGGAATTATCAGTAATGTAGTAAAGTATCAAAAGAATAAAAGTAGTCATTATGCAGACATGGTAGGAGGCCCTGAGGCTAAAATAATCTATGGGCTCCTACTGATTGTTTAGTTAGCACATTTTAACACACGGTCCCTGGTAGACAAGACAGGTAATAACCCAGAATCTGCCTTCAGGCCCATATCATTTCAGATTATTGTACTTAGGCTACTGTATTTTACCAAACAAATGCTTAATTAAAGGTATTGCAAACTGACACACAATGAACCTGGTGCTTTTGGGGGCCCTGGAGCAATTCCCTGCTTTGTCCAGGTGTCCCAATTGTATTATATAACATTATTGTACTGTAGTGATCTATAACAATGCATAATATTTTATATAAACTGACTCCATGTTTTGTACGTAAAATTTTAACCCACACTTACCTCTAATGGAATATAGGTATAAAGAAATAATCTTGTACAAGTACCTCAAAATTATACGTACAGTATTTACTTTACTAATTCCAGAAAATATTTGTATGACAGCCTACATTTCAAATTCTAGTCTATAATGCAACAGTACTTCTAATTTTATCTTTCTCAAACACAGCTTGTGACATATTGTACACATCTATATCAATAACCCACCATACCACGTTGAAAAAGGCGGTTAATTTAAACCATCACTGCTTATAATCACTCTACTGTGAAACTGCACAAATGTTACTAGCTAGCATGTAATAAAAGCTAGCCCGGAGATTCAGATTCGGCCATGTTGGTTTTTCATCACTTTATGGACGGCTTTGGCAATAAATAATGTTTCTTACAATAAAGTGAGAAGTTATGCACCAGGTGTGGGCCTCAAACGTCACTTCAAGTGCGAAGGAGTATGGTCTTTGACTGCTGCTACTTGCCCATGATGTCCTGTTTCCCTTCAGCAAGCTAAGTAGCTACATTACTACAGTCTGTGCTTGTAAACTATGCTATGCTAACATTGTGTTTGCTCTGTGCAATTGTCTTCTGCATGCTGCTATTGTGAATTAATTGAATTTCTAGTGGTTTAGTTAACAGTTTTGCTATCATTGTTGTTTGATGTGACCATTCATGAATACTTATCATGCTTGAGTATTATGCATTTTATGGGCTTAATTGATTTTGGCCCAATTAACCTTTTGGAAACAGACACCTATTTGCAGGAAAAACACCTAAAATAACATACGCAAAATGAATCAGTAATAACTCCTTAAAGGTTTAGTGTGTAATATTTCTGAGGATCTATTGACAGAAATGCAATATAATATCCATAACTATGTTTTCAGTGGTGTATAAAGACCTTACATACTGAACCGTTATGTTTTTATTACCTTAAAATGAGCCATTTTTATCTACATAACCATGGGCACCCCCTCCTATGGAGGTCGCTGTATTTTGTCGTCATGTTTCTACCGTAGCCGACAACGAACAAACAGTGGTCTGTTTCCACGCCCATAAATCTGTGCAACATTGCTGTTGGGCATGCCATTGAGACAGTAGCTGATTGTCAGCAATATCAAAACAAAAAATCATTATTAGTCTATCAGAATACGCTATCTTAAATAAAGATGGTCTAGTATTTCAACATGCTCCCCATCTCCATACAGTACAAATGGAGTGAGCAGTGGTGTAAAATTATTCTGTAGTGGGAGCATTATTTGATAGGGGATATTAGTCTATCAGAATACCTAACCCTGAAAGGATGTTACAATGTAATCAAAAAAACAGAAGATGTCATAATACATAATACTGTGAGAATTATAACTTTATGGGATTGGAAAAGGGAACACATAAGGTAGCATTTTTCGATAGGGCAGAGCGATTCGATAGACTCTGCTATCGATTTGCGCTACGGTAGCGCCTTTGACAAGGCAGCATATATCGTCAGAACACCGGCAGTGTAGACGCCCGTCACTACATTGAATACATACATAGAAGAACAGGGAATAATAATAATAATAATATACAGTCTCTGAGTAGTCTTCCGGTTTATTAGAAGTAAGAAGAGAAGTGACATTTGGACAAATGAACCAGCACACGTGTTATTTAGCATGAGAGCCTGTGGATCTTTATACCATGAAGCCAGAAGAGTCCGTACAGATACAAACAGCTGACGGCAGAAATCACGTAAGTTGTGGATTTTCCCAGATGGAAGGCTATAATGTGGGACAGATATTTTCAAAGCAGTGCTGAAGTTGTTTGTTTTCTGCTGGACAGGTAATTAACTTAAGTTTGTCAGACTTTAGCAATGCAAATGAAAGCTGTTGTTTGATAGAAGCTGGCTATAATCACACAGAGAGGTGAGGTGTTTCCCCTGTCAGTATGTAGTTGCATTAATTTCATGTCCCCTACTTATTCTCCAGCCTGTGAGTTGGCTTTGCAGGTGTAACACCAAAACTGTGACCTATCAGATTCTGTGACTATACCCAAACGACGATGTTTTCCTAACCATAGCCAAGTACTTTGAGTGTCTAAACCTAACCAAACTGCAGCCGGTTCACATTATCAACAAAGCCTCTGGCGCTTAACTTCCCATTTGGGTCACAGAATCTGATAGGTCACACATTTTGATGTCACACCTGTTACATTAGCGAGACAATCAGCTGATAAGTAACATGAATTGCCAATAAAACAATAAAACGTTAGCTTAGAGCATGGAAGCATCAGCCAGCTAAACTTTCACTGCCCTGGTAGAAAAATCATGTAAGGTTAGTTGGATTGGTTTATTCTCTAGCGCTGGCTTTGGCTTGTGGTGTAAATTATGTAGCTGGATTAATTTCATGTAGTTACTCTCTCTCCAGCGCTCTGTTTTGGCTTTGTCAGTTATGTTCCTGAGACAATCAGCTGATCATTAATTGGCTTACAGCTGGAAGCTGAGATCAGACAGCTAAACCTTTACTGCGCTGGTAGAAAAAATATGTTGTTGGATTAGTTTTATGTAGTTAATCTCTCACTCCAGCGTTCTGTTATGGCTTTGCAAGTGGACAGAAATGTGTCCTTAACTTCCTGAGACAAACAGATGATGAATATTATTGGCAATAAAACGGTAACAGCAGGGAAGCACAGATCAGCAGCTAAACGTCTGTTAAATACTGCCCTGGTGGAAAACATGTATTTCTTTTTACTGCTAATGGTGATATATGTATATGAATACTTTCCGAATTTGCATTAAAAAACGTGTTTTTTTGGATATTGCCTTCCCACTGTGCACACAAATCTGTAATTTGTACTTTCAGATGCTAAATGCCCATTAAAAA